TACGTGTTAATGGCATTGCTAATATCTCGGCCTGGTGGTATAGATCCCCCGCGAATCCGCGACACACGGCCATCAAGCGCGTTGTCGGGCTCCCCGGTGACCGGATTACAACTCGGGAGCCCTGCATGAAGGAGTCGCAGATTGTGCCGTTCAATCATGTGTGGTTGGAGGGTGATGCGCAGGATCCGCGGAAGTCCATGGATAGTAATACCTACGGTCCGGTCAGTTGTAGTCTGATTACCGGCCGGGTGTTGGCTGTGCTGTGGCCCCGGTGGCGGTGGTTGGATTGGCAGGATTGGGAGAAGGGGCGAGTTGAGGGCGATGTCGAGCGCAGATTTGGGGATAATTATAGGCAAGAGGTCAGGGAGCGCGTGGTCAAGGAGGCCGTGCAGTTGGAGGCTCCGCAGCTGTCGTAGACTGTGCTGTGCACTCGTTGGTACAGTACTGTACAGTACATCATGTGTGTTCGATTACTATGTACATAAACTTCTCTCTCTCGCGCGCCTTCGCTCGTATATAAACTAGACCTTTAGAGCTGCACGCGCGCAGGCATTTAACGTTAACTACTACATACCTAGAAGCTGCAGTCGCTAGTTCTGCTGAGAGATTATCCGCACATCCTCCGGTCGGTCATTTTGCATTCGGTCAATCTCGGATGCTATACTCAACACCCACCGATCCTTCTCGACACGGCTGCGCGCCTTAAAGACGATGGTTCGCCCGTGCACGCCCAGCGTCGACACCTGCTTCAGTCGCTGCCGCTTTTCTCCCTTGGTGCCGTATTCGCGCGATCGGAAGTAGTTCTTGCGGAGAGGCTGCCAGATCACGAACGCGATCGCAGTATCTTCGTCACTGCTTGTGTACACGTCGGTAGAGAGGTAGACGCGAGGGAGGGACTGGTGGCCGGGCCGATTGCTGTCAAAAGTCTGGTTTGTGTAGAGCAGATCCGAATCGGTCAGAAGACCCGAGTAAATATAGCAGTCGGCTAGGTCAATGGTAGTCTCCAAGCTTTGGTGTATATGAGGCACTTCGGCGCCGTTACGCTTTCGCAGGGAGGTCCGGAATATCAACAACTTCCCGGCCATGAGGACTACATGGCACCGCTTGAAGGTGCTGTGACGACGAGGCTTCCGATACAGCTGTCCGGACATCTGCAACTCGAGTCAATACCTTGATCACTGTCGTAGCGGAGTGCGGCCTACCTTGATTGTCCGACAGCCTGACAGAGCGCAGATGTTGTGCAACAAGGGCGAGGCTTCGGCTTTCTTGACCTCCCACTTTCGCGCAAATTGCCCCATGATTGACTCCATCTCCTCGTCAATGCCAAGAAGCTCCTGGTTGCGCTGCCGCAGGACCTTCAACTCTGCTGCATCAGCCGCCAGCCGGACTTTCCAGTATTTCACCAAGGCATCCAGCCGTTTCATCCATTCATTCTTTGTGATTTCATCGTACGCCTGGAATCGAACAACAAGGTCATTGTGCAATAGCATCTCGAACGTCCTGTCATCATCGAACTGCTTCGTAGCACCGTCATCCCTGTGCGAGTCTCTCGCGTCAGAATGGAATTCGACATCCGGCCCTTGTTCGAGATTGGGATCGGCAGGGCAGCTATCACGGTGAACATTACGGACTTCTTTTACCCGACTTAGATCAAGGAAGCCGTCCGCATGCTCGATGTTATGGGCGTTTCTTTGCTGTTGCGCGTAGGCTTCCTCGTCATGTTTCACAACGTGTTCCTTATTACCACTTGACAACCATGTAATCTCTCCGTCTTGTAACGGATAGGGATCAATGTCGTAAGAAAGAGGAGAAGCATCCATGATCTGTTGGGTTGTGGGCATAGTCGACGCATCGCGGTCAAGCTTTGGAGGTGCTGGAGGTAGTGATTTTGAGGGCCTGCAGAAAAACAAGTGGTGATCTTGGGTAAAGAAATACAGTCTTTTGAAGAACATCTTGTTTAACCGCTGATGTACGCCACGTTGTGACGTGAGGCGCACAAGGAACCCTTCCACGGGCGCAGGCTCATCCTCTTTTTCGGTGTCGTGTTTGACATGCGTATGATAATGTTGCCTCGGTCGCAGCTCAAGCTCGTGAGTGGTATGCATCGCGATTGATCCGTACATGTTCGCCTCGTTGCTGCCGAACACCCATTCCAATCGATCATACCGTTTCCACGCAAGCCCCATGATCTCAGTTTTCATCCAGCGATTCAGGACCTCGGCCCATTCAGGGCGGTGCTCCAGCATTTCCAAGCACCCACGTACAATGGCTGCGGCGACAGATTTCTCCTCTGTTGCAGCTCGGCCCAACACACCACCCTTCCCTTTCTTCGAATATATTGCTTCAAGTTGTTCGAAGGGATTTTTGAACACGAGTGACACGCCAAGGTCGGGGACATAGATTGGGAGTGATGACGGACGGCGCTTTCCTAGCACCTGGCTCAGGAAGGTGTACCATTCCATAGCATGCGCCGCAGACTTTGGCCGTATGATAAAGATCTTCGTCCCACGCTTGCAGGGGCCCCAGAGGACAATTGTCTTGTCCAAGTGGGAGTAAAGGTTGACCTTGGTCTTTTTGCGACCCAGTGGTATATCATACTGCGGTGAAACCCGCGTGCCGGCTTTTTGGACCTCAGGAATGACACGAGTCTTGTACATCTGCAGGGAGAATGGCGCATCTGGATTAGAAGATACTCGACACGCCACGAGGTATTCGCGCCATTGATCCACGACTCGGTTTTCGGACTTGAGACTATCATTTTCCGTATAGTCGTCGGGGAGCTTATCCTGTAGTGTCTCCTCAATTCGGACGAGCATTTTCTCTGCTTTCAGTACCTCCCCTTCTTGGATTTTCCGCCGGTGGGGGCGGTGTCGCGACAACACTCCCTGTGTCCTTGATATGCGAGAGAAAAGCCGTTGTTGTTTGTCCAGTAGATTGTCATCCAGGTTGTATTTGACCGCCTTCTTGTGAAAAGGGTGTAAAGGGTTGCTTCGCACTCGCTTCCCTTGCGGAATCGATTGCTCTTCATCGCTCTCAACACGAGGCTCATGCTGCTCTAAATCTGTAGATGTTGCCGTCGAAGGTAGCCTTCCCTTTCCTTTGGATCGCGAAGCTGGCCTTAGCAACCCAGTTGTGGATCCATGATCGCTAGCAGGAATCATGGGGCTTGACTGACTCTCGGCATATTGGCTAGGAACCTGTAGAGTTTGCCTGTCCTGTTCCTGCGTGGCTTGCTCCTGTTGCACCATGCTGGGTTCCAGGGATGCATCGCTAGGGCCGCGCTCATGCGCCGTGTAGTAAGCAGAGCCGCCATCTTGTCTCCTAGTAGACGCGCCTTCGTAGTTCGCTGTTGAGCTCGAAATTGACTGGCTAGTATCCGCAGTGATCGTTCGCGAGACTTCGTGCTCCTCGGAGAGAGTGTAGGGTATAGTTTGTAAGCTCTTTCGCAGGCGCGACTCGCGATCACTGATCTCGTCCTCTAGGTCCCGTTCTGTTTCCTCGTCTTCTGTTGTGTCGGCCAGACCAGCTGACTCTTCTTCGGGAGATGATTCATATTCCTCACTGTCATACTCCTCAGTGTAACGCGCGACCATGGGATCAGCAGAGAAAGTGACAGTTCTCGAGGAGTATTTACTAAGCCTTAGCCTCGACCTCCACCATGACTTGCGGTGATTCTGCAACCAGCCCTGCGGGATTGGGCCGATGAAGAACCGCCGATTCGTCATATGGATGTGCTTGGGGGAGGCATGATGCTTCGCCAGATCAGCAACCGGCTCGACGATTGTAGGTAAGCACATACCAATTTCTCTGCAGTATGGGAGTCGGGATCTAGCCCGCGATACTTGGAGCCTTGATATCCGAGACAAGGATCAGTAGACATTCCGTCACTGGAATGCTGCTCCGGAGCCGAACGAGAGGTCATGACATCTCCTGTAATTCTCCGGGAGAAAGAAAGCTAGGATGTCCTCAAGGACAAAGGATGATTTTGCAATCGAACCAGGAAAAGATGGAGGTTGAGATGCAGATCTGGCATCGGCCAGGAACCGACACTGGGGTCGAGTCTTGGCCTGGAGTCGATGACGTCGCTCTCTGGAGCTTTCCCCCCTTTCCCAAAATGCTGATGCCTGTGTGCCTGTATGCCTTGTCGCCTGAGTCTGTTTGCACGCTTTGTCTTAAGTCAAGTGAAACAAAGCGCTGACATAACCAGGGCTCAGGGGCGAGGCGACCCGCTTTGTTTATTGGTCTCGACCTCGCCGCTTGCGTGTCCCGCTCCCCTACGGCGGTGAGTGTGACAGGCCGCCGTGGGTGGTTGTTGATGAGCTGCCCTCCACTTCCCCTCCACGTTGCCTTTTAAAGCTCCTCGACCCCCTGATTACTCTAGTCCCTCTTTCTTCATTATTTCCTGTCATTCCACCTTGTCTCTTCGTACTTGCATTATCCACTTCTTTCCTCTACCATCACCAAAATGGCTACCTGGTTCGACGGCATCAAGTCCTTCGCGGACGTCCCCATCACCGCCAACGGCATCGCAACCCAGGAGTTCCTCGACGCTGCTGAGTCTCTGACCACCTTGTTCGGTACGTAGCCTCATTGGGAATGATGTGGCACTTCACCGAGCTCAAGATGCTAACTTCAACCTCTAGACCTCATGGAGTCCAAGGCTTTCGGCGTTGTCAAGAACGATCTCACCGGCAACATCAAGGTTCGGATAGCATACCCCGCATTCAACTATCGCTGGCTTCTAACCCCATCACAGAAAGTCCGGGACAGGTTCCTGGCTGCTCCCGCCGAGTCCCAGACTCTCCAGGAGCTTGTCGTGAACGAGCTCAAGACCAAGAAGCACGTCGCCACCGAGGGTCTCCTCTGGCTCATGAGGTTGGGTTAACCCCCGCTCCCCTTCCAGGCAACATGCAGCCGCATTTTAAGGATCCATCGCGCATGGCCCGTTACGGCCCCCTTCAAGGATACAGCTAACCGTTCGGTCTCACAGAGGTCTTGACTTCACCGGCCAGGCTCTCCGTCACAACGTCGACAACCCTTCCTCCGAGGTCGCCGACTCCTTCCGCAACGCCTACGGTGGCACCCTCAAGCCCCACCACTCCTTCGTCATCAAGCCCCTCTTCTCCGCTGCCATGTCCGCCTGCCCTTACCGCAAGGACTTCTACGCCAAGCTGGGTAGCGACCAGGCTAAGGTGCTGGAGGGCCTGAACCGTGAGGTTCCGGCTCTCCAGGAGCGGGTCCAGATCCTCAAGGCATTCATGGACAGCCCTGAGGCCAAGTGGTAGATATCTGTGAAGAAATAGTTGATGTCAGGAACATTCGGCATATTCAAGGAGCGCAGTTTTGAAAAATGTACATACATATATTCGTGAGAGTCTGAGACTTCTTGCATGTTAATTATAGAAGAATATTGGTCTGCGCTGGTTTTTCGTATCTCTACTGCCTAAAGTATGAGGAAGAGTCGCCGTTCCTTGAGGACATGCTCCCCCGTGCTTCATCCAGCAGTTAACATACCGTCATAAGGAAGGGCATTGCTTAGAACGATCTATAGACTATTTCATAACATGACTAAGAGTTGGTCAGCAACTTTACCAAGCCATCTTTTGGCTACTTGGGCGCTATCACAAGCGTGGGGCCGTTCCATTTCTTGTGACCAGGCGCAAACCAATCGACGACCGCGAATAGCAGCGCAATGCCAAAGACAGGGGCCCCATAATTCATGTTGGACGCTGTAACCGGTCGGGTCTCTGGCCAGGGGAGGAAGATGGTGATGTAGGTGCCGTACAGCAAGGCGAAGATGTTGATCGGTATGCCCCATTTGCCAAGATTATATGGGCCCCATTGGAGGTTTTGTGGGTTGCGTATGCGCTTCATCAAAATGAAGAGGACAGGAACAAGGTAAGAGATATAGAGGGCTAAAGTGTCTAGCGACAGTACTGCGTTGAACGCAGCGGAAGACCCGATGTTAATAAGTGCGATTAACACGGCTATGGCTGTCACGAGAAAGAGGGAACGTAGAGTATATCGTGGCGAAACATGAGAGAAGAATGCTGAAAAGGGAAACCCCTCGTCTCGAGCGAAAGCCCATGTGAGACGACTGACCGATGTTAGAACATTGAAGGATGAGTAGAATCCAGAGAGGAGAAGGGGAAGCATCATCGCACTCGCTGCAGCTTTGGATCCTGTCTGAACGTAGAATATCTCAATGATAGGGTACCCCGTCGCAGATTTGAGAACAGCACTGTAGTCACGCATGAAATACAGTAGAGCGATAGCGAGTCCGAATGCGAGAGTAGCGTTCAAGACCAAGCCCCATAACATCGATCGTGGCACGGCTCTTGGCGCATCGTTCACTTCCTCCGACATGTGAATGAGACCGTCAAAACCTGTTGACCGCTCTAGCGTCTTGAAGAATGATCACATCACAGAACCAATCTTGATGACCTTACTGCTCAATGTAAAGGCTGCTGTCAGCAAGCCGATAGAGTATATCACTCCATGATTGTGACATCCGCTTTGGTCGGTCACAAATTCTGTCCATACAAACTCGTGTGTCTCTGTCCAAGAACGATCATGACAACCATTATTGCAGGGTACGAAAGCAAATGAATTATGCCCGACCATACTTCAAATGGTGCTAGAAGGCGGCGCGCGAAGATGTTCACCAGTAATGGCAAAATCAGTACTGCAAACACAAGGAGTGTTCCATGCCAGTTCTGGGGCTTGCATGAAGGATAGTTCTGAATGAGAAGTCCTTGGATTTCCGTTCCAACCAGACATGGCCCGATTGCCACATTCGCCCACCATGCAACGACCTCCATTTTTATTAGACATGTCGAGTAGTGCCTGAGTTTGTTGGCTTACCGTGACCCATCCTAGCATTGTATGCAGTCGTTAGCTAGGAAACACACATGCGGGACCAGAGATCAGATCTTACCTTGGATAAAACTAAGAAATCGTGGAGCAACGGGTGCAAGCTCATATGTCCAACGGTACTGGGCTCCAGCAACAGGATTACTAGACAGGCATCGTGGTCAGAAAACAGGACAACGATGAGCTCCACATTGACGCAGCATCCTCACATTGAAGCCATCTCCGCCATCGACAGTGTCAGACTCAAAGAACCAACAAAGGATAAGGTGAGTCCATATATGATGACCACGGGGCCTCCATTGAGTAGTCCCGCGTATAGACTGCCTGCCAAAGATTCCCATGATGCTTGTAAAGTTGCTGCAAAGGAGAGCATGGGCAAGAAGCCCAAGTATCTCTGTGTCGTACTAGTATGGTCTAAGTCTTCAGAGTCATCTGCATACCTCGAGTCGTGGCTTAGGTTTATACCGATGAGTAGGCCGTGGCTGGCGATCCTCTATGGTGTACAGGGCAATGGGGGGGACGGCTCATTAAGAGCCGATTGAGGAGGGGGCCCGAGTATCGCACGCTGGGTTGCGAGATACTGGGAGGCGGACAGACATTGAGTTCCTATATGTCTTAGCCTGGAACCAAGCCATCAACATGACAGGGGTTTAACCAGTCGAGTTTCCCCAACACCACACTATCATGCACCCCTCCCAATTTTCTCAGTCAGAGGCAGATCCTTGAGCGAACTAAGCATTGGTGTGGAGGTGTTAATCTGCTATTCTTTGTCCGGAGTACGAATACGACAATTTCGGGACAGACGAGCTGCATTCCCGAGTCTGGGATATCAAGTTCCTGTTCAAAATACTTGTAATTACCTTGCCCTTTGGATCAGAAGCCAGGTGAGTGGGGGTAGTGTCGTCATGAGTGAGACCATGGGACGGTTCGTGATTTCCGCTCATTTGCGAAATGTTTCTATATTTCTCATGATCCCAACTACCTCCCTCATCGCAAGTATTCGCCATGTCGTCTACTGAGTTCCTTGCTCCGTTAGCAACAATCACGCCAGACAATCGAGGCGCTGTCATCACACTGGATGCTTACATTCTCTTGTGCATGACTGTTATTGTTGTGGCCATAAAGGTGAGTATCAATATATACTCTCGGACGTTCATGGCCAGCACAGATATTCCTCTTCTGATCGCCTTGGTGGGTTTGTATTCCCCCATCAGTATCTTTTATTATTAGTGACTTTTGTTGACCACGCCAACAGATTGTTGCGTCTTTCCAGAGTCTCCTCACTCAGTTTGCCGCTGATTCCGGTCTTGGGAGACATAACAGCCCTCTGATACTCAATCAAATCAGTCTGATAAAGTCCGCTGCACTCTCCCAAAATACCGTACTAACATCAAACTCATATATTCTCTTTCCCTGCAGTTTTTTTATGCCGCTCAACATTTGTTGATCCTAGCCCTCTCACTATTCATGATCTCAACATGCCAGCTCATCTATAATATAACACCGAATCGAACAATCAGAAGCACATGCGTCATAACTCTGACTTTCAATGCAGTCTGGACAATATTCGCTTTACTTGCGACAACCCTACAATGCCAGCCGCCTCGATGGAAGTTCTCTCCAAGCCGGTGTATAGGCAAAGTAAGGCTTGCTGATCCACATTTTCGACTAATGTATTCTCTTGCTAATAGGCTCTAGGGGGCAATCACTTATTCCATTATGGCCATCAATATCGCAATATACCTCGCGTTTTTGATTATATCCATAGCCATGCTTCGGGGTGTACAGATGGCGCTGCGAACGCGGCTCCAGGTACTCGCGGCGTTCTCGGGCCGATTACTGCAAGATATTCTTTGGGAAATGGCTAGAGTACATGCATGCTGACTTTTGTTCAGGGTAGTAGTCACCAACTTTGTTGAGATGGTATATCTTTCGGACTACCTGCAGTCAACTGATCCAACATGTCTGTAATCAGCTGGGTGACGTGCGAGAAGAGACGGTAACCACTAATAGTGCATCTTTAGGGCCATTCGTCAACGTGGATCTGTGCAATCAGTAAGACGCCTTTGACATGGATGTCTGCCTTTCTAACCCCGGCTTACACCCATAGTAGGGTCATAATGTATCTAAGCATCATTACAACGTGCATGCCCTCGGTATATCGAGTCTTGAGCCACTTGAACTACGGTTTGAATGGCGTACATCTATCAGAAGAGTGCGAGCTTAGCAGCATGCCGAACTCCAGCGGGTGTATAATCACTCCTCAAATTTGAACTGTCTCTAACACCCAAGGGATACACCGTTTGTCTCTCCTTCCCAAGTGTAACAAAACAGGAATCATTTCGCGAAGAGATGATCCAGCGCAAGTCGCTCTAGTCGCTGCGTCCGCCAATTTTGACAAAGACGAAGCTGAAAGTGCTGAGATTGTGAGATAGACGGCAGCGCATTGATGACTGAGAGAAGTCCAGAGATTGAGTATTCACGTGCAACTGGCCACGAGCTAACATAGAATAATTGATTTGGAGATCAATGGATATCAGCGAATGATATAGAACAGAGAGAGACTATCTAATGAGCTTCTGCCCGTAGGGGCTACTCCCCCTTCAAGCTTTTCATGCATCAGCGTTGCTCTTAACGGTTTTCAGATGGAAGCATTCCCAGCCTAGGCGTGGGGATGCGCATCACCAATTGCCCCGGGCCTACTGCGCTTCTGTCCTAAACGGGTAATCTAGCATGACGCTACCGAGGCATTTTCGCCAATCTGAAATATGAGTCTCCACGCTCCAACTACACCCTTATTAGGTTGCAGGAGAGAAGAGCAGGTGCGTTCAATTCCACCCCCTTTTTAGTAATGCAATGCTTAGCAATATCGAGGTGAATCGTTCTGATGAAGATGGTCCCCATCAGCCGTCAACGCGAGCTGGGAAGACTGGCCCACCGTTGAGTATCTCTAAGCCCCCTTGTTACTTATGGCGCTTCAAACAGCTTCCTTTGTCGATGATCATGTTGATTGTTTCCAGACTAGATCCACGTACCGGTAGCATGTACATTTCCGTGTCCCGGTAAGGCGTCGATCGTATCCATATGCGCCTTGCCACGGTCTAGGACGAGAGTACTAGAGCTCAATGGGGTCAGAAAACCGCGTTGCTAGGTATCTATCGCGTGGGGCAAAGGTGACTCTTCAGAGTTCTGGGAACCTATCCAGCGATCCCAGCAAGCAGTGCACTGTTGTATTCAGGCATAGTTACACATGAGAAACAACTCAGGCGCCAAATGGCTCGCGCAAACCGAGAAACGGAAAACTTGTGCATCCTACACGAAATCGCAGTCTAGAACCAGGGCCCTCCACTTAATCATTTATAAATAGCATATAAGGTAGTCAATATAAATTGCTCTCGGGGGATGACAGATGAAACGTGCAACCAAGCAACGACCGTTTCAGGAGGTGGGGACCTTACTTATCTACTTATAGCATGTGACGAGACTGATATGGGTCTATGTCAGATAAGGGAGGGTGCCGGATTTGCCAGTGTTAGTTACACTATAGCATATCAGGGAACACAACAATGCGCTGGCTCATCGAGATCCTTCCCCGCTGTTAAATTGAACCAAGGTGTGCTGTGGACTGTGATCGACGTGCAGACTGTCATACCCTGTTCGTATGAGGGGGGGACGAGGAAGTGCTGTGCTTTGCACACACGAGATGTCCTCGACTCGTACCCATTAATTGGGGAAGATGGAGAGTGGAGCGAGTCAAAGATTATACAATACTAATAGCTGAGCTTGATATGGTTCGTGAATGCCACTTCCAGGTCCGCTATGACCCATTCAAGTGTTGGAAACCATAGGCGGAGCAGCTCCGGAATCGGCTACCCTTCTCCGAGCTGTACTTAACGAAAATTGGGAATGACTCGGACTGGAATGGAGTAAGGGAAAAGATGTGCAATGGCACCTGGCATGGCTTTCTGTATTCGCAGGTCTGAATGGTGAGGTGGTTGCGCTACGGAAAGCCCGGCGGCACTAGGCCTAGCTCGGGTTTCGGTTAGGCGAGACGGTGAGAATGTTAGGCAGGGCGGGTGAGGTCCCTGGCAGATGCTGACACCTGTCACCTGTCAGACATATAAGGGGGGGGGAAGTCAAACGGAACCACGCCACTTATCGCACAGGATAGAGATTGTCTCTAGTCTCTAGACCTGTTGGCGATGTGATCGTTGTTCTGTTGTCACACTCGAGCTTTCCCAAACAGAAAGGTGGAATGGTGAAACAAGGTGTAACTCCATCTGAGATCCTCAGATGCGATCCCCTTGCTGGATCGGCAGATTCATATTAACTGTGGAGTTGTGTTGCCGGGTAGGAGCGTACGGTAGGAGGCTAGGAGCTTAGGAAGAGATGGGCAAAGTTGGAGACCGTTCGGCAGTTGCCCGTCACGAGTTATCATGGTTTCACTCGAAGACTCCGCTCAATCGCCGCACAGAATGGTCAGAAGAGTGCCTCTAGCTATGCATGGTGAGAGCGAATTTGAGCCGGGGTCCAGATACTTGGGTTGAGACCAAGTCACTGGGCTGTCGTCATCGCATTATTGTCAGGGAGAGTATTCTTTCAGTTCAGGCCAACGGTGTTGACAGGGTCGAAGATCGAAATGAAACATCCGTTGGTGGGACTGTCTATCATTACCCCTCTAAGACCAAAATTGGTCCAACTGGTTCACTTTTTGTCCAGGCTGAATCTTGATCCCCTTTGCCGAGATTGCCCATCTTGATTTCCTTTGATTGACCGACTGTAGGATATTATCGCTTATTATTAGCTGGCTGATTACCACGAGTAGTTCTGGATGGGGTAAAATGATATTCTGCAACAAGAACAAGGCCTTTACCACAGATGCTAAAATCTGCTATTTCTGGACAAAGTACGGAGTAGTCTCAGGGGAACGGGCAGAACCTTCGTTTGCGACGGGTAGTGGCTTTTTCAGTTCCATGGATGAATGTGAATTGACTCTCCTGCCGCACCGGCCCAGTCGAATGCTCTGTATCTATTTTGTTTTATCCACCATCAGAACTACTTTACTCCGACAACGCCCTTCCTTAAATTTTCGGGCCTGGGAACCTAATACAAAGTGACGTTCCATCATAATTCAATCGTTCATGTCCTGCAGTGTGCATTCCTTGTTACCCGTCTGCATGCATAATACAACAGTTTTGAGCAACTGTTCTTTATTGTACAGCAGGCCGTTCCTCACAAGATGAAAAGTTTGAGGCATCATCATGGGTTCCTAGTCAACTAACTTAGTTTACTGCATCTTCTGTTGTCATCAGTGACCAAGCAGGCCCAATCTATGCTAGAATCGTTTGTAGTAAAGCGTCCGTGCCTGGGAGGGGAATTTCCCCACCTAAGGAAGTGTCCCCGTGCCGGAGACTGGAGTCATGAACCACTGGCGCCAATGCACCATCGGAGTAGACTACTGACTACATTTTCCATTCAAGGCAAAGTGCATATGCTTGGATCTGCTCAAGCAAGGACCTGGCCACGTTAGAGTGGGATTATTACGGAGCCATCTTTCCTTCGACGCTGCTAACCCGTGACCCAGTGCCGATCGGCCTGTTTGGGTCATTGCTAAGGCGCGCCTTCCCCTCACTGGATCTTCAATTTCTGTCAAATCCTATTGCTAGCCCTAGAGGCATGACATGATGACATTGAGGGTCTCTTTAGAACGTGCCTAGATATCCCTTCCCCACTCAAACTCCAGCAGCAGGGCTTCATTCGTCACGCTCCCATCCCCAGTCGCTTTCTTGCCACTGGGTGCCATTCCATGCTATGCCATGAACAGAACTTCCATGTCAGACAGTCCGATCCGACCCGGCTCCTTGGCGCAGAAGCTTCTTCTCGTGCAGCCAGCCTGATCCCCTTAAAATGCTGACCCGTCGTCTGCAGCGTGGAATCTGGTGCACTGTGACCAATTCCTATCTCTTGAGCTTCTTGATGGTCGCTTTCCCCTCCTTGAGGTGACCATGTCATCGGCCCCAAGATCACTATCCTTAATCGTGATCGACGCCACCTCTCAAACAATCTACAATGGTTGAATTTAGAGGTCGCAGCGAGTCTATTTTCGTTGTTACCGTGGTGTTCCTCGGGCTTTCGTTCATTTCCGTCTGCTTACGATGCTTTGTGCGGCTGCGACTGGTGCGCGCGTTTGGCTGGGATGATGCATTGATGGTTCTTGCCATGGTATGTGTCTAGATGTTCTCATTGTCCTCGTGCTTTGTTCTTCAATCATGCTGACCATGAAACAAAACATGCCATAGGCTCTGGAGGTTTTATTTGCACTATGTGGTATTACCGGATCGTTGTATGGCATGGGCCAAAAACTCGAGTGGCTTGACAAAGACACGCTGGAAACCGCCTTGTTTGTATGTCATCAGGAAAGCCATCTTAATTTAACAGTAGCACGTCAATTAACTGTGTCAGTGGTGGTGGCTAGGGCAAACAAGCTACGTCGTGACTGTGGTCGTTGCCAAGATCTCAATTGCATTGACGCTCTTTCGTCTCACCGTCTCCCGACTACACAAGATGCTCTTGTGGTTTGTCATCGCCATCTCGATTATCGTGGGCCTGGTGTTCTGGTTCATGTTGACCCTAGAATGTCAGCCCGTATCATACTTCTGGGAGCGTTTCCACTCCACTGGAACTTGCCTCTCTATCGACTACCTCATCGATATCGCTTATCTGTATAGTGTTACGGCCATGGTCTGTGACTTAATCTTGGGATTGTTGCCTGCCTTCTTAGTCTGGAACCTACAAATGGGCGCGAGGACCAAGGCTGCACTGGCCGGGATTTTGAGCATGGGTTGCGTGTGAGTTCTGTTTACGGACATTGCTACTTAATTGTGTGATCTGGACTAATCACTTTCAATAGAGCCAGCGCAGCTGTCATTGTCCGCATTCCTTTTCTTCCCACTTACAACGACAAGGAGTTTCTTTGTAAGTTCGAATCCTCTTCCTAGGCGTTTACCCGCAGTTTAGCATTTCAGATCAGTCATACTGACATTCTCCAGACGCGACTGCGCAGATCTCGATCTGGTCCAATGTCGAAGCTGGTCTCGGCATCACAGCTGGCTGTCTAGTTACTCTACGTCCTCTTTTCCGCTGGCTTGGCGACGCCAGCTACGGCGCCACGCGAAGCAAGAGGACCGCTGGTAGCATGCCTCTTTCAAGCTCGATCTGCCATGCAACTCACGCATCACAGAGCAACGCGACGAAGTACTGGCGCCCGGATCTCGACCCGGAAGACTCTCAGGGCGTGGTCACGACGATACAGACTTCCGCCGGGAGCCCACACAGTAGCCAGGAGGACCTCAACCCCAAGCCTAAAGGCATAAGCGGGGTCAACATACACAAATCCTTTGTAGTTACATCGGACACTGTATAGAAGAACATTTATTGTTGTCGTGCTATGTCAGTCATGTTGATCATCCGTGCCTGTACGTGGCCTTATATTAGTGCTAATTTACTATTATAAGTGCCCGGGCTATCGCCTTCTTAGAGCCATCCATAACATTTAACATGTAACACTTAAGATAGGGTTTTGTACACATCACTGTATAAGCTACTCAAGTTCTTGCGCTTGGTCTTATTAGTCTCAGATGGGCCAGTGCTATGAACTGATGGTCAGCCTTATGCATGAATATGATGCATCACATGATATTTATTAGATCCTACAACTCGCTGACTTATAAGCAGCATGTCATCTTATTACTAACTAACCCCGAAACATGAACTTCATATAGAGTTTCATGTCGAGGAATGAGGGAGCTTCAACCGAACATGTCCGACATCTGTGATTTATGAAGGCATCGAAGTGCACAGAAAATTGAACATGCCGAAAACTCCCCCTTGTGTCCTGTCAATAGATTACTTCTCGATACTAGTCCAAATTGTGCCTTATTTTATTCACTGTCAATAAGGGTGCTATAGGAATTGTTCCAATTCAAACACAGTATTCTGTCAAGATTTGACTCCCCGGGTTTTCATACGAGTACCGGATCTCCGTCTCGCCGAACTGCGCCGAGACTCCAGGGAGTACCGCTGTTTTCTCATTTTTATGGTACCAGGCCTGAAGTAAATTGACCTTGGTAGACAACAAGTGATGTCATGTAGCTTTAAGAAGCTTTGCCTTTGCCGTACCCAAAGCAGGAAATATACCGATTACCTTAGCATTTTCTGCCGCGCTCGGCGAAGTAATATGTCAACAGCCATTCGGATTGGACGAACAATGGGGGGATGGCATCAGAGATTCAAGGTCGTTTAGAATCAGACAAGTTCATCCCAGCTGAGGCTCACCATCGGACGAATTGCACAAGTCTCGGAATTAGAGCCGGTCTGTTGGCGCTTCTTCAATCGGCTTTGGAATTCGGCTTTCAACCGAGAATTCCACAAAGCTCATGCTCCAAAATGCATGGAGTAGGTCAGTTCCAGGAGGCAATCGCATCCGATTAGACTTTCCCGGTGATGTTTGGAAAGGTCATATCCGTTGGCCTTCAATATGGTGGCCCATGTCATCTTTTATCGAGCCCCTGGGTCAGCGGACTTGAGCGGTAGAGACTGTTCCCAGGACAAGGCATTGGCATTTCCGGCTCGAAGCTGCAACCTGGCTTGGATTTGCTGTAACTATAAAAGCCGGGTGGCCCTTCGGCGTTCACGAGTGCAGTTCTATCGGCAAACATTCAGTCTTCTTTCCATCACGGTTTGCCGTTCTTTGGTAGGGCCTCCTAGTTATCCCTCAACTACCATCAACATTCAAGCAAGTTCGATTTGATCTTTAGCCCAATGCCTGACCTCATGTCAAACTCGACTCCACTGTCCCAGAGGTTCCTGGTCGATCCGGATTCAGACAAAGAGCGTATGCCCAGCCGCAGCGCGGACGACTCCAAAATGACCTCCGATCTCGTGTGCTGGGATGGAGATGAGGATTCCGTACGCTTCGGCTTCCCGAAAGAACCGATCCTTTTCCATGCTAAAGGCCCTGTAGAAACGGCCCTCAAACATGTCCACATTCCGAAAGTATGTTATCACTATCAACCTAGGCCTGATTACTTTCTGCGTGACGTTCGCATCCTCGGTTTTCAGCACTGCCACTACGGTCACGGCGAAGGAATACGGGGTATCAGAAGAGGTGATGATCCTGGGAACGAGTCTGTTCGTCCTCGGATTCGCGCTAGGGCCCATGATTTTTGGGCCACTCTCGGAGCTCTATGGGAGGAGAACTCCCCTCTTCATTGGGTTTCTCGTCTTTGCTATCTTTCAGATACCTGTAGCTGTGGCTCAGAATCTCCAGACGATCTTCATTTGTCGCTTTCTTGAAGGTGTCTTTGGGAGTTCTCCGCTAGCTATTGTATGGCCCTTACTAAATCCTTTTCCTTCTTTTGAGACTGTTTGTTGTTGATATTGCTAATGATTATCAGGTCAGTGGCAACTTGGCTGATATGTTTGATCCTGTTCAGCGAGTAATCGCAGTAGCTGTATTCGCGGCAAGTATTTTCATCGGTCCAGTTGCAGGTCCTATCGTTGGCGGTTTCGTGACGATGTCCCATTTGGGATGGCGATGGACCGCATAGTTAACACCAATCATGGCGGCTTTCTTCGGCATTATCGGATTCATTCTGGTTCCAGAGACCTTTGAGCCCGTCCTTTTAAATAAAAAAGGCCAAAAGGTTGCGCTTCCACGCCAAAAACTGGGCATTTCATGCTCCAGCAGAGGCGCAGAGCACGGAGCCTCGCGATATTTTCGAGCGGTATCTTCTACGCCCTATCTTGATGCTATTTCAAGAACCGATTCTCTTGCTGGTCACTCTGTATATGGGATTTATCTATGGCTTTCTCTACCTGTGCTTCGAAGTCTATCCTATCGCCTTCCAGGAAGTACGCGAGTGGGATGCGGGCGTCGGAGAGCTACCCTTCCTAGCCTTCACTGTTGAAGTTCTGATAGCTGTGGGCATTATTATCACGTTTACTATAACTCGCTATAAGAGAATCATGGTTGAACAGGGATCAGTGGCCCCAGAAGAGCGACTCCTGCCGATGATACTTGGCGGAGCGGTGCTTCTGATCGGGATGTTCTGGTTTGGATGGACATCTAACAAGTCCATCATCTGGGTCCCGGAGGTCATAGCTGGAGGTGCTATTGGAATCGGGGTGTTGCTGATCTTCTTGCAGGTAAGCTGATCCCTAATTTGCCCCAAGTCAGTGTACGGGCCTTGACCATATTGTAGGGTCTGAATTATATCATCGATGTCTACAAGCTGAACGCAAACTCTGCAATGGCAGCCAACACTCTCTTTCGGTCGTGTCTGGGTGCCGGTTTTCCTATGTTCGCAACAGCCATGGTGAGCCCGATTCATGTAACTTGTTCCATCTTGCCGGCTATCCCTAATTTTCCTAGTTCCATAAACTGGGGGTCAATTGGGCCATGACACTTCTGGGATGCTTAACTGCCATCCTGTTCCCAGTCCCTATTCTTTGCTACATTTATGGCGCCAGAATTCGCAGGATGAGTCGCTTCAGCCCGGACGTCTGATCGGTGTCTGGAATTCTGATTTTCGACTTTGATGGCTGGTTTGTTAGCCGCTTCACGAGAAGGTCATCCCCATTGCGATGAAGGGATGCCTACCAAGGTATGTGACTTAGGGTTTTCTTTCACTATCGGTAAAGCTGGAAATATGTTGTTCTATGGGCTTTGTCTTACTCGATTAAACGGAAGGGACAATCTCCAGCCTACGAGATGACAATACTTGGGATGACAATACCCGGCCTACATCAAATCACAAAGAAGTTCTATCACGAGGGACGGTATCATTCATCTTTGAATGTCACGAGCTCGGCCTCGAGATACCAGTTATAAATAGGCCCATGTCGAGCCAAGAGGGTTAAAATCAATCCTCAAATATCAAACACTCGTACCAGACAGATCTAGTTGCACTCCAAATAACCATCCCAATCATGGCTTCATTTGAGTACTCCGCAGATCAGCGGATCGACATTGCCTGGGTTTTCCAGGTAGTCAACCATCTTGAGGAGAACGGGGTCCCGGTGGGTCTGATGAATCGCTGCTTATTCAGGGCGAGGGTAGAGGAGGACCGACTTTATATGGACCCGACCATTGATTTGGACGTTCCAGACGACCTTCTGGGAGAAGCCGTGAAAGTTCTGCGGAATGCCAAATTCGACGACCGGCCCCGTGCATGGAAGGAGACTCGCAAGCTCATACCCTGTCAGGCCGTATCGGCTTATCAGGGGTGGTTCGTGCCGGCCCACGCGTTCTATGTGCGGCGGGGTCCGTTTGAAGATGGCGATGCCCGGCTCTGGGAGCAGCACGACGAGGGCTTCGATTACGATTCAGTGGTCAACCGGAGGGGCGATGTCTTGCTCCAGCTATTCCGACATAGCGACTACCTCTGGAATCTGCCAGCACCCACGCTGGGGCCGCCGGCCCCAGACGACCGTTTCTACGATCTGATCACCCTCGACGAGTCGACGGCTGGTGGTAGTACTGGTGGTCTGACCGCCAAGGGGATCCGGTTGGCGCGATACGCCGAATCAATGGTCTTGTTGTGCCTACGCGACAAGACCTCCATCTCGGCGGGACCGTGGGATATCGTCTGGCCGCAGCTGCAGAATATGGCGCGCGAGGGCCACGAGGAGCAGGCGTCCTGGTGGGCGGTCTCGGCCTTCCGGCCCTTTTTCCAGGAGCTATGGCGGCATGTGCTACTCAAGCCGGAGCCAGGCCAGGAGCCGTCCACTTCTCCACCCTCTGCGGAGTGGAACCGGAATTACAGGGAGATCATGGACAAGATGGAAGCCACGTTGACTGAACGCGGGCTTTTACCCGATTCGCCTTTCCCGATGTTTCCTGTCTCTCGCATGGCCCCAATCCTCCACTCGGTCTACGAGGAGGAATTGTTTGAGAGTGAGGATCCCTAGACTTTCTTTGGTCTGGGTCGGAGAACCTTGGGCTTTTGCGTCAGGTACTTCGGAGACTTGATTTCATGGGTCTGGTCATCCAGCTCTATAAGGATCAAAGTATACTTCCTAAATCCAAGATAAAATTCCTATTCTAGGTCCAATGAGGCCGCTTTTAAGGAAAAACCTGATAGAATTTCTGTAGTCAAGAGTACTAGTCATTAGATAATCATTCGATCATGAGATTAATCTGCATGCTTCTACTATTGTTAGTAGCAGTGTAGTGACTAACTGAAATGTTTTGCTGCCTGATACGGGTGCCGCCACTTTTGTGAAGGAGAAGGCACCACCCGCGGAGTCATTCAAGATACGTCGGTGTAAAGTATACTATCTAACCTAACCATGTTTTCAAGATACTGCATTCCAGGGATTACACTCTATTCTACCTGCTTATAGAAGCTAATAAGGGGGCCAGTATACGACATTTGGACCACGCTTTGTGACCGTTGTACAGTAGACTACGCATTTTGGGCCACTGCAATGGGTGTTGTTACTCGTGATTACGTCAAAGAAAGAGTTGCCTATACGACTTGCCGAGATACTCGAAAGTGACAAAAGCGGCTGCGGGAGAGTATTGAAGCTAGGGTGTTTGTTTATATTGACTGGATATCCCAACTCCCAAGCATCCTGAGCACACACTAGCGATGTGTAAGAATAGCATGTGCTGTGCATAACAATCAACCTATCGCTCAGCCTTCCCAAACCGTTCTTTACTGTGGAACCAGTCTCCGTATCGCATCATCAAACCCAAAGGAGGAATGAAAACGGCCGCGATAAAGGCTAGAACAGTGTTACCCCAGCCCTGTCCAATGCTTTGATATAAAGGAGGCCCGATCAACGGTAGAAAAGCCCCCGCAATCGCTCGGAAGATCACCCCAGCAGCGATAGCAGATGCCCCATGGATCTCGTAAACATCCACCACGTATGTCTCGGCCGGGATGGCGGAAAGCGTCATGCTGAACCCCGCCGCGCACGTTCCGACGAGCGGCACGATGTAATGGACATGAGACTCTAATGTCCATCCGTAGATGAGGAAGCCCAGAGGAAGAATGATTGCGGCAAGAAGCAGATGCACCAGTCGAGACTCCGGCTTGAATGCGTCGCCTTTGGTTTCCCGCTGGTGAGTTACGTAGCGGTCGGAGGTGAAAGTGTAGAAGATCAGAGCGGCGGCGTTGCCGATGGCTAGACTTAGGAACGTCAAGCCAATGGAGCCGCTAGAGAAGACGGATGGGTACGTCGACTCCATTGTTTCCGTGAGGGTGGCCATGATCAAGGAGACTAAGGCATAGGTGGTGGCCATGTAGCTCGTCGTCAGAATGAGGATGGGAGACTGGGCCAATATATGCATTGGTTTGATCGCGTTTTCGAGCATGGTGGATGCATCGACCCGGGCCTGATGCTTGGACCGATACGTCCGGTTGTCGTCCGCAGCGCGCTCCTCTTGTAATCGCTCCGCCTTCCGCCTCAGAATGACGACTGCGTATGTCTCCCGCAGCACGGCCAGTAAGAGCAAGCTGAAGAACCCTAGCACGATGGCCGCCAGCCAAATCGACCATCGCCAGCCCAGGCCCTGTGCGATATACGCTCCTGCGATAGGCGAGATGAAATCTGCCATCAGCTGAGTTGCCATGACTACTGCCATCGACCGACCGGTTTGTTCCATTCGGAACAGATCCCCGACAATGGTGGGTCCGAGGGTGAGAATCGACAGGAAGCAACCCGTTAAGAATCGGAAGGCAATCAGCATGGGGATGTTGACGCTCAGGGCGCTGGCGATCAAGCAACAGAGCGCGAGGAGGTTTCCAATATGGAAGACGGGAAGCCGGCCAAATCTTTCGGAGAGCGGCGCAATGAAGAACGGACCAATCCCTTCCCCGAGCTCCCAGATCGTGACGAGCAAGGTCTGGTCAATCTTATTGTTCGAATGGAACTCTTGCAAGACCTGCGGCGCCGTGGGCACGATCGTCATTGTCGAGAAGACACTTATTCTGTCAGGGGACGACGGCAGGTATACAGAGACTGGAGAGAGAAAAAGAAGACGCTCACCTAACGAAGCCCATCCACGAGACAACGATCACAATCAGCCATTTGTGCATTGGCGACCAATTCAGAGGGTTCTGCGGATCGTTCTCCTCGAAGTCCACGATGACGAAATCCGGGTCGCTATCTTCAATGACATTTTCCAATGGCTGTTCGGCGAGCTTTTCGTTCTCGCGTCCCGCCGCAGCTATACTTTCCTTGCCTGACAATGTCCGCGGCTCAATTGCAGATAAAAGGGGGACTGGATGGGTGACAGCCTCGTCGATGAAAGACATCAGGGTCAAGCGGGTTGCATACGCAACCAGTGTCTAATCCCCTGCTGAGAAACCAAGCAGAAAGGGGCACATTGCGAGACAAAGCGACATTTCAAGGGCTGACATAGTTTATCACGTGAATAGCCTAGTCAATGTCTATGGCATCGACGTTTGAAAAATTATCAACGAAAGCCTGGGGCGAGACTCCGCGAGCGGAGAGTATGACGTTTTATCCACCCTTCAAGTCTGGATTCATCGGAGTTCCGGCGGCGGCACGGCGGGACTTCCCGCTCAAGCCAATAACCGCTACCCTTGAATCAGGACCTGTCCTTTTATGGAGTCAATTTCAATATGACCTGATCCATGGAGAACTCTAAACCTTCCCACCTTTCCTCCTACTTGATATTCATACCTTTTTCGTTCAACGGGAATGAAGACTCGAAGAAATTGCAATCCACTTTCAAGACTCAAACCCTCCCGGCACTCAGACCCTCAAATACTATACCTCACCATAATCCAGCAGGGAGCACGAGATGCATCTTCGTGGAGACCAGGCAAGTGAAGATCACAAGCACAAGGTACAGTACCAAGCCCTCCATATTTGAGATATATGCTGATAAAGCTCCCGATCTCCCTATAAAGTTGAGTGCTTGTACAGCTGGTTTCCCAACGAGATCTCTTTCGTGCTATGAATGTGAAGGAATGGACAATAGATGATTGAAGATTTCAAATGCGCGAAAGGCACAGATATAAAGTAGCCGCATTTTCCACCGCATACCCGTATATTCAAGACGGCAAGCAGACGATAAATTCTTTCGAGGGGTTACTAATGGTGAAGATATGTTTGCATAATTTGAGATTGCTTCGCGCTCTGCACTGTCTTTAGCAGCTGCCGCTTGAGCGAAACATTTCTGGGCCTCACTCCAATCACGTGCAGGCCACCCTGCCTCAGGTTAATACAGCGCGAGGCGAAATTGTAGATGGCATCATTATGGCCAGGGACTTTGTTGTCTTGCTGGGCCAGTATGTCCTCGCCGACGAGCAATTCTTGCTGTGTGGGGTTGGTCTTGATAAGAGCTGCGAGTGCAGCGGTGCCAAGAGACAAGACTTTTGGGAGACTCGATTTCAGCGCGTGGCAGCAGTTGCGGATTAGATTTTGAGACAGCTCAGGGTGAGTGAGCAATGAGGGATAAGAGGGGTGTTGGCCTTATGTCACCTGACTGCCTACTGCTACTACCTCGATTTCAGCAGGAATCCAATTTAGTAGTTTATATCTCTATAACTCTCTAATTAGTTACTTGATATGTGGTATAGTCAACCTCAGGGTATATCATGCTGCCTTAGTGTCTCTATGAAACAGTCATAAATTGATATAGATGAAGATAATTTTCTTGTTCTGAGAGATGCTTTCCCTATCACCTACTTGTCCGACCTATGTTATGATGCTATGAGAAAAGCACATTAGTCTTAAACTGTTTGTGCATGCATAAATGTTGTAAAAGAGACACTAAATCGAATTTATCGCCAGGCGGGTACTGAGTAGCATGCGCAACAAGCAATCGACTAAGGAAGAAGTGGAGGCAGGCAGTTGATCAGACAATATACTTGAGTCTAATTCTCGGCTTGACCGGACCGTGTCTCGGCTTCTTTTTCACCTTCCACTTAGTTACCCCATGCCCGAGAATCCCTCCTAGAGACCTAACCTGCATACCCACTTTCTTTCCGGACTTAGCGAATTCGCTCATCCAAAGTTTTCCTTTCCTTTTGCTTCAGTCATTATGATATATGGTCGCCAAACACTAGAGATCTTACTTGCTGTCGGATGCGCCCCACAAAATGAGTGCCAGGTTCAAAGTGGTCTCGTTACCACTCAGAGCAAAAGCAGGTAGAACGCGCGTTTCTCGGGCTTGTGACAGATGTCATCGGCAGAAGGTAAGCAGTCACGTCGATTGATCATGAGCTTTTTGGGCTACATTCTTGAGTTGGGGAAAGATAAAATGCGACGCAGCTCAGCCCCGGTGCAACTGGTGCAGTTATCAAGATGTCCCTTGCTTATACAATAGACAACGCAAGCGACTGTGTAATTACACATGAGTACCGTCTCTTTTGGCTAAACTTGGCGTCAATGAATCTGGGGACATGAGAGTGTTGAATGTAAATTATTTGGCCTACTTTCACCCACATGTGCGCTGGCGTGACCTATAATTAGGCAGCCATGAAAAAATGCGAGCAATTTCCAATAAGGTCGGTTGGATTCTAGCTTCGCAGGCTTGCCCAAGATAGAGCGCCAGCAACTCCGCTCACTTCTCGATTGACACAAACACGGAGTGTTGTAGTAGAATCTCATGCCAACAGATCCGGTGATAGGGTCATCCAATCGTCGCATAGTGAACCTTCAGGTCGATCTTCGGAACACTTGGATGCTAGCTGCCATACAAGCCAAGGCATTGCCTCGTTGACACCAGCAGCTGCCGGCATCTTAGCAGCTTCGGACCTGCAGAGTAATCGTCCTGTTAAGCATTCGTCATCGAAAAATGACTTAATGCCTCTCCGCATTGGGAAATGTTGCACAGTTTGATATCAACTTACAGAAAGGAACCAGTTCAATCGACCGACTATGTCTGCCTGAGCTTGTTGTGATCAATTTTCTTGCCCATGACTTTCAATGTTCGACATATAGCTCCGTCTTCTCAGTATTAGACCCCGTTCTCTTCACGCACACGATATCACATGCTTGCGAGACTAGGCTCAGGAGTTCTGCATGCCTCTGCGTTTGGGCTTTTCTTGCATTCATGTCCGTACATCAATTGGATGCAGGTAATCGCGTATCGACACCCGAACGTTTGCGCATTCTGCACTTGATCGAAACTTCCATAAGTATAGGAGAGAAGCCCGATATGGACCTGCATCTATCTGTTATCAAGAAAACTTCGTATGGTTGTCATGTGGAGCGCTTTCGCCTCTTGTGCCGTCATTTCTCTCAGGGGCCACTTGAAAACTTGCCTTGAGAGCGCATCACATCCTGCCAAGTCAAGCGAGCCATGAGATGGGGCAGATGGTCATCTTCGGGATCTCTTCTGGTTGTGCTATCATTTCGACAAAGAACCCATTCAGCGTACCGAGCAACCGCCATTGTTATCTGAGTACAATTGCGACCTGACTCTACCAGTCAACTATAAGGATCACGTACAGTTTACTATGGAGACAGACCATTACTCCCAGCCCCTGTTCCCGGGCAGTCTCTGATTGACGGAGATTCGTTCCCAGGCTTATGCCGCTTTGTATTCGCCAGGTGCCTTCGAGGAAAGTGATAGTGAGATCTTACAAGCCATTCAAACACTGAATGGACAGCTTGGAGCATGGCGAATGGCTATTTCGCCGAACCATCGTCCCAAGCTTTTCTTCTGTTCTGCCACCGGCGTTGGTCGTGAGGGCGCAAACATGCGGGCGGTGATGCTTCGTCTTGAATTTCACCACTGTCTGGCTTACGTCCATCAGGCGAGTGCTCGGTGCGAGTCATGGGGTCGCCGACCAAGAGTAGAGCTCGAGGGGGTCAGCTCGAGCCTAGAGATTTCTCTGTCAGCGTGTCGATCCTCCTTACAATTCCTGCTTGCGGTGAAGCAGGTTTTGCAACCTAAAGTCTTTTGGTAAGCATTCTAAAACAAAAAAAGGCTTTACCCGTCTGCTTTACGTCGATCTTGCATTTATCTAGGCTTAACCTTCTGACATGGGATCATCCAGGCTTATCGTGTTCTATCCCCTGATTGCTGTGCGGAGAATCCTATGGAGCAACCAGGCGAACCCAAACTCACGGACTGTGGCGAGTGACTTTGCCCTGATTGGTCAGATTTCAGGAATTCTCAATGGCCTAGCCACACAGGCAACACTGCAGAATGAAGGACTGGGGTTTGAAAACCGAGCATGTATTTCATTGCAGACCTTGAACGCGCAGTCCGACATTTAATCACCGAAAGTACCTCAGTGGCTACCAGACAGCGCAGCACGGACATCGCAGCTTGACTCCACCGCATACGGATGCAGGAACATTTAGTAATGTAGCAGTTGTTTCGGTTTGATTGCTCTCACTGTACTATCACATAGTTATTCACCGTTGGCCTTGCGTCTTCTAAGTAGAAGAAACAAATCGATAGGGCAATCTATATTTAGCCGAGTGTTCATGTATTCGCGGCGCCTGTGATCATAATAGATTGTGAAGATGAAGCCCATCATGTTGGTGTCTAAATAGTGCAGTAGATTAAGAAGAGCATCCGGGGGAATGATAGAATTGGTCTTAATGAAAGGCCGCTACGTGCCCTGAGCGTCGCAGAAAGGTTCTTGGATAGCTTTCATGTGAACAATTTGGCTTCAACTTGCCAGTGCGGGAATCTTCGAGGGATAGAATGCGCTGTCTGCAAGTCAGAGTGCATAAGATCAATGCATAGATGAGTAAATGTAGTAATTGCATCATCTCTTATCAACGCGGGCGGGAAAATCCCAGCTCCGTGCGGGCACGTGGCGGCCAATCGCGACCAACGACGGGCCTTCCGTACCTTCACCTTCCGGCGGCGAAATCCCCAAATTTATACCGTTGAGGTGGCTTCTTCGTGCTTTTCCTCTTCATCTCTCATTGTGACATCGGCGCGACATCGGTAGCCCGGATTAGATGGTTTAGGCACTTCCTCTCCTATGCTTACCTACTGAGAGGCATTTTTCCATCTTTTCAAGTTCGCGTCGTTTGACCCGCGTCGTGGTCATTCGAGTGTCATCATGTTGGTTTCGCCCTCGTTAAACTGCATGACATGCTCGTTCGTCTACTAACACCGGTCTCATCATAGGGCAAAACTCGTAGACGATCACCAAATCAAATATGCGTCGCTTCACAATCCCCTACCCACCCAGCTACACACCTACGTTTGGCCTTTCTTGATTATATGGCCGGCGTTCTTTGCCTTCTACCTGTCTCCTGAGCGCTACGATACTTACATCCAAGGCCAGGAATGGACTTTTGTCTGGACTGGCTCCATCATCACGGTTCAATCGCTTCTCTGGCTGATGACCAAATGGAATATCAACATTCAGACCCTGTTCACCGCTACCAAGGCTAGGTCGGTCGATTCTGCCCGCCTTATCAAGGTCATTCCGGCCGCAAACGCCGGCTCCGCTGAAATCTGTCCGTTGGTCGTTGATACCCGTGGTGGAAAGAAGACAATTTCGTTTTTGTTCCAGAAGCGCCGTTTCCTCTTCAACCCCGAGACTCGGTCCTTCGCTCCTCTGTCGTACGTCCTTGATGCAGAGCCCAAGCCTGCGCTCAAGTTCTTTCAGAAGAGCCAAGGTCTTGCCACTAAGGAAGAAATCGACCGCGTTCGGCATCACTATGGAGACAACACATTCGACATCCCAGTCCCCGGTTTCGTTGAGCTCTGGAAGGAGCACGCGGTTGCGCCTTTCTTCGTTTTCCAAATCTTTTGTGTCGGATTGTGGATGTTGGATGAATACTGGTACTACTCCCTGTTCACTCTCTTCATGCTTGTCATGTTTGAGAGCACGGTGGTGTGGCAACGGCAGAGGACTCTCAGCGAGTTTCGGGGTATGAGCATCAAGCCTTATGACGTTTGGGTTTATCGCGAAAAGAAATGGCAGAAGGTCACCAGCGACAAGCTCCTGCCCGGTGATCTCATGTCTGTCAACCGCACCAAGGAAGATGGCGGTGTTGCCTGCGACATTCTCTTGATTGAGGGCAGCGCCATTGTCAATGAGGCGATGCTTTCCGGAGAGAGCACACCTCTCCTGAAGGAGTCGGTTCAACTTCGACCCGGAGACGACTTGATTGAGCCTGATGGACTGGATAAGAATGCATTCGTTCACGGAGGTACCAAGGTCCTGCAAATCACCCATGCAAACACCGCACCTGAAGATCTCGTCTTCAAGAATGACTCGAGCATTCTTCCCACTCCCGATGCTGGTGCGCTGGGTGTCGTTGTCAAGACAGGTTTCGAGACCAGCCAGGGCAGTCTCGTGCGCACAATGATCTACTCCACCGAACGTGTTTCTGCCAATAACGCTGAAGCCCTGCTTTTCATTCTCTTCCTTCTTATTTTCGCCATTGCCGCTTCTTGGTATGTTTGGCAAGAGGGTGTTTCGCAGGATCGCAAGCGGTCAAAGCTCCTTCTGGACTGTGTCTTGATCATCACCAGTGTTGTCCCTCCCGAGCTCCCCATGGAGCTCAGCCTTGCTGTCAATACCAGTCTGGCTGCCTTGAGCAAGTTCGCCATCTTCTGCACGGAACCCTTCCGCATTCCTTTCGCCGGACGCGTGGATGTTGCCTGTTTCGACAAGACCGGTACACTCACTGGCGAAGATCTGGTCGTTGACGGCGTCGCCGGTCTTACCCTGGGTCAGGCCGGTGCTAAGGTTGAATCGGACGGCGCGCACACCGAGCTGGCCAAAGGCGGTAACATTGGACTCGACACTACGCTGGTTCTTGCAAGTGCTCACGCCTTGGTCAAGTTGGATGAGGGCGAAGTGGTTGGTGACCCCATGGAGAAGGCTACTCTGAAATGGCTCGGCTGGACCCTCGGCAAAAATGACATCCTGACTGGGAAAGCTACGCCTGCCACTGGTTCCATCGTTCCCGAATCCGTTCAAGTCGTGAGACGGTTCCAGTTCTCGTCCGCCCTCAAACGTCAGAGCACCATTGCCACTGTTGTCCTTAATGATCACAAGGCACACAAGAAGGTCAGGTCCACTTTCGTCGGTGTGAAAGGTGCTCCCGAGACTATCCGTACCATGCTAGTTGATACTCCACCGGGATACGAAGAGACTTACAAGTACTTCACTCGTAACGGTGCTCGTGTTCTTGCTCTCGCTTATAAGTATCTCTCCCATGAGTCAGAATTCTCTCGCGGTCGCATCAACAACTACACCCGTGAGGATGTCGAATCTGATTTGACCTTTGCCGGTTTCCTTGTCTTGCAGTGCCCTTTGAAGGACGATGCCATTAAGGCCGTCCGCATGCTCAACGAGAGCAGCCATCGTGTTGTCATGATTACCGGTGACAACCCGTTGACTGCTGTCCATGTTGCCCGTCAAGTTGAGATTGTTGACCGTGAGGTCCTGATCCTTGATGCCCCTGAGAATGACAGGTCCGGGACGAGACTGGTCTGGCGGAGCATCGACGACAAAGTCAACATTGATGTCGATCCTACCCAAGCTCTTGACCGTCGCATCTTGGATACTAAGGACATTTGTGTCACCGGTTACGCTTTGGCTAAGTTCAAGGGACAGAAGGCTCTACCCGATCTTCTCCGTCACACTTGGGTTTATGCTCGCGTCTCTCCCAAGCAGAAGGAAGATATTCTTCTGGGCCTCAAGGATGCCGGTTACACGACCCTGATGTGTGGCGATGGTACCAACGACGTGGGTGCTTTGAAGCAAGCTCATGTCGGCGTTGCCCTTCTCAATGGTTCCCCTGAGGATCTTCAGAGGATTGCCGACCATTACCGTACAACGAAGATGAAGGAAATCTACGAGAAGCAGGTTGGTATGATGCAACGTTTCAACCAGCCTGCCCCGCCTGTTCCTCTTCAAATCGCACACTTGTACCCCCCTGGCCCCAGTAACCCCCACTACCAGAAGGCTATGGATCGCGAAGCGCAGCGCAAGGGCGCCTCCAATCCAGGCGCGCAGAACCAGGCAGAAGCAATTCCGACTATTACCTCGCCTGGCGCACAGGCTCTACAGCAGTCCAATACCAACATGACCCCCGAACAACAGCACCGACAACAAGCGGCAGTTAGCGCCGCTGGATTCGCTGACAAGCTTACTACGTCCATGATGGAGCAGGAGCTTGATGACAGCGAGCCTCCGACCCTCAAGCTTGGAGATGCCTCGGTTGCTGCTCCTTTCACCAGTAAGCTTGCCAACGTTATCGCCATCCCCAACATCCTTCGTCAGGGACGCTGCACCCTCGTAGCAACCATCCAGATGTACAAGATTCTCGCCTTGAACTGCTTGATCAGTGCGTACAGTCTGAGTGTTATTTACTTGGATGGTATCAAGTTTGGTGATGGTCAGGTTACTATCAGCGGTATGCTGATGAGTGTCTGCTTCCTCTCCATCTCTCGCGCGAAGGTTAGTGCTGATAACCAACTCAAATGCTTCACCCCTACTAACATGTAAATCTAGTCTGTAGAAGGTCTGTCCAAGGAACGGCCGCAGCCGAACATCTTCAACGTTTACATCATCGGGTCTGTGCTTGGTCAGTTTGCCATTCACATTGTAACCTTGATCTATCTGTCAAACTATGTTTACTCGATCGAACCGTGAGTCATTTTCTTTATCCCACTCCTGGTTGCAGTGATGCTGATAGTCATCTAGGAGACAATCCGATATCGATCTTGAGGGAGATTTCGAGCCGTCGCTTCTCAATAGCGCCATTTACCTGCTCCAGCTTATCCAGCAGATTTCGACCTTCTCTATCAACTACCAGGGCCGTCCCTTCAGAGAGTCGATCCGTGAGAATAAGGCGATGTACTGGGGTCTGGTGGCAGCATCCGGCGTCGCCTTCTCTTGCGCAACCGAGTTCGTTCCCGAATTGAACGAGAAGTTGCGCCTTGTTCCCTTCAGCACCGAATTCAAGGCTACCCTCACTGTCTTGATGGTCTTCGACTATGCTGGATGCTGGATCATTGAGAATGTGCTCAAGAGACTGTTCAGCGACTTCCGGCCGAAAGATATCGCTATCCGCCGGCCGGATCAACTCCAGCGGGAGGTGGAGCGCAAGCGCCAGGAAGCGCTGGAACAGCAGACGGAAACGAAGGTGTAAGAGGTTTTGAGACGATTTAGGATGTTGGGTACATTAGAGAGACCTCTTCTATCATGTCCTGTCTAGATATATACTTTGTTGTAGTGAGAGAGGCCTGGTTATGACTTCGGCCTTGTGGAAGTATGTTCATAGAACGAATGCAGCTTTAGAATTTCGTACACTTTGATTCTCGTGTGACGTAATGAATGAAGTTATCTGTATAAGGCATGAGGCAGCGCGGAATGTGACAAAAGGGGGCATTCCCTGGTTGTGACGAGGGTGTAGTATAGTTGGTTGAAGGCATTTTCTGCCTCAGGTGTGCGGGCCGGCGGGCGACAAGCAAGTTTCCGGCTCTTGTCTGTCACCTTTCCACTTCTACTTCTTTCCTCCTCCCCCCCTTTGAAGCTCCACCTTTCGGGCAAGGCTGCCGCTCAACTGACGCCCACGGTCTCCTCTTAACCACCCACACTCCCCCTTTTGACTAACACTAACTCCCCTCCTTCTCTTTCTTCTCCAAATTGTTCCTCTCACTTTTCTCTGCTCCACGTGGGCTTCTCACTCTCATGCGATCATAGTTCCCAGTCACAATGTCCCGGAGGACGCTGGGTGGAGGTCGTGTTCTAGGCCCCGCGAACGCTCGTTCTCCATCCGCTGCTGCGATCCCGTCTCCGCAACTGAACCACCCAAGGAACCTTGCCTTATCGCCCTCCGCCAGCAGCCTCTCCCTCAGTTCCCAGGCGTCCGCTTCTCAGATTTCGTCCGATGCCCAAGACTTAACCTCGCGCATCTCCCTCGACAATGGCTCCACCGCGATACCAGCCGCTCCGGCGGCTGCCGGAGCTCAGCTGGTCTGTCCGATTTGCAGTGAAGAGATGGTACGGACAAGCATGCTTCCCAAAGCCCCCCAGCGCTTCCCCAGCAGATACAGCAGAAATGAAACTGACGGTATACTTGAACCTACCAGGTGACGCTACTTCAATTGAACAGGTACTTTGCGCCGTTGACTTGAATCTCTGCGCCGACACATAAGCTAATCCATCTCTCCCATGCTCGCTCCGCTAGACACATCGATGACGTACACCAAAACCTGGAAGACGATCGACAGGATGAAGTTAAGGACTGGTTCAAGACCCAGATGGACAAGGCGAAGCGATTCCAGCCTCTTGCCGTACTGAATCAGAAACTCAAGGGGCTCGACGTGTTCGAGTCGAACGAGAATCTCCAACTGCCGTTCGTGGGCCCGAGTCGCGCGTCGGCCGGCCCGGCCGGCTCGACACCACATTCACATTCGAATCCCCCGCCGCCGTTGCCGTCGTCGTCGTTGTCGGAGAGATCGCTTGATCCGGATGATATTATCACGAAGGAACATTGGCAGGGGCGGAGTCTGTTCGATTCGTGCTTGGAACCCTCGTGCGGGAAGCGGCTCAATGCGACGAATGGCTGCGTCAATTGTCGGAAGTGCGGAAAGCTGTTCTGCGAGGAGCATACGATGTATCAGATGAAGCTGTCGAGGTCGGCGCAACATGAGCCGGTGAGGGGGCTGTGGTGTCGGGTTTGTGAGACTTGCTACAAGTCGAGGGAGGGGTATAATGATCATACCGGTATTCTTCTGCTTCTAGTGGTTGCGTGGGTAGGGAGGCTCTGGGGGAGGCTGACAGCTTCAATAGGTTTGACTCGAGACCGGATGGATGAATTCAAGGCGGTGCGGAAACAAACGGTCGACAAAGCTCTGCTGGAGGTATCACGTCTGGAGAAGCGTCTGACGCGACTGACACAGCTGTTGGCAAGCTTGCCTGTGGATCAGATCCAGTCAAATGCCAACAAGCTGTGGTCGCTCTCGTGGCAGGGCGACCAACGGAAAGCCCTGGAGCAAACGATTGTCAGCTGGCAGGACGATGCGAGCGTTCTTCGTTGTCCCTTCTGCCAGCAGGAATTCTCTAGCTACTCTTTTCGGAGACACCACTGCAGAACTTGCGGGCGAGTCGTATGCGGTGATCCCGCAACGGCCTGCTCCACTGAGGTGCCCTTGACTATATCGTCTCGTACGTTTGCCTTTGCATTCTACCGCGGAGAATACGAGCTTACCAGATTTGTAATGGCAGACACGGCACTCGCAACAACACCTGCTGAGAAGTCGGATCGCGCAGGCGTGATCAATGTTGACGTCCGGCTCTGTGAGGACTGTCGATCGACTTTGTTTGACCGACGTGACTTTGAAGCTGAACTACTCCGAAAGCCCCCCGCGGTGAGGGCATATGAGAATCTAACACAGTTCGAACGAGGCATTCGACTCCTGTTGCCGAAATTCCAGAAGCTTCTAACAGCTTTGCAGTATGTATCATTGGGCATTCCGCTTGAGTTAAGGCAACACTGACTTTCGTGGCAGAGACCCTCGACGGCCCCCGTCGTCAGCACAAATCGCAGAAGCTTCCAAGGTCCGTAAACGCCTCACGGACTCTTTTGCACAGTATGATGTCGCTGCTAGGCGTGTCCGGGATATGCCTACCGAGTCACCAACGCAACAACGTCTGCAAAAGGCCATCTATCAGCAGGCGAGCAACTTCTTACATCTACATATGTTGCCGTTGAAGACGCTACCGAAGCTGCTCAAGCACGCCACACCCAATGGACGATTACCCGGCCCCAGTAGTACCCCAGGAAGTCCCATTCAGGACCCAGTCGGCAGTCCCCGACGGCCCGAGTCCGCTTTGGCCTCGATTAAATACGGCAGCATCGCAGCCAGCGCAAGCACCAGCAGCCTCACCAGCGACACCAGCAGCGCTGTTTCCGCGCTGGAAGCGGAGGAGAAAGCACTCCGGGAGCGGCTGATTGTCCTTGAGGAACAGAAGTTCTTTGTGTCGGAGATGATCGCGGATGCGAACCGGCGTCGCAAGTTCGATGAGGTCAGCAGTCTGGCGATGAATGTCGAGGACCTCACGCGAGAGATAGACCGGGTCAATGGCATGCTGGATGGCTTAGACTTTGAGGGTGTCTACACCGGCAATCGTCAGCAGACTAATTGATATTGGTTTTTATGCTTTTGATAATTGGCTTCCCATATCAGGGGCCTTGAGACCTCCACGAATCCTTGCAATTTCTGAGTTCGAGCCCTGTGCAGGCACGGCGTTGGGCGGGTCGTTTTGGTTTGCGTTGAAGATGCATAGCATGGGCGTTTTGTATGTATGTATGAATGTATGCATGCGTGATTGGATGGTGGACTAGCTTGTCGAATTGAGGACTCGGATTTTCATTGAGTGGAGTAATGTACAGCGTGTATCGTTATGCTGGGTCAAGCAGTTCGGAGATGTTGCAGGAGGCCAGCGGTTGCATTGCGGTTGCATTGCGGTTGCAGCGACATTTGCCTTCTTTCCCTCTCTTCCTCTCTTCTTCCAGCATGGCACCTCTATCGCGGCCGAGGACTATCCATCCTACCAATTCTCTCCTTCTGGTCTTCCCGCTGGATCACACCCTCAATCATCCACCCATCCACGCAACCCAATTCCTTCCTTATGAGAAGCTGCACGCCACACGGAGACCCCCGGGCCCGAAGCCCGACCCTCCCGCTGCAATTCTCCCCCTCCCCTCCGCCCAAATCCCAACCCAAGCTAGAGCTAAAACTAAACCAGTAGTAGGTAGACGCGCTCCACCCACCCTCCCACGAATCGATCATCCATGATCCATGCCCAACCCACTCCTCAGGTACTTACGGTAGTTATCTAGGTACTGTACAGCGATTGACGAATACAGACGTAGCACGACCGATCCCAACCCAGCCAGTGACCAGGACACACGTGGCGCAGCCCAGCCCAGCCCAGCCAGCCCAAAGTGGAAAAAATGGCGAGTCTAAACATTTCACGCCCCATTGTCTTTACTGTTGCTGTAATTGAAGAGGGGTTGGTAAGTAGATATGGGATTGGGTGGTCTTCGTTTTAGTGGGTGAGTGGTAGGAGCAGGTAGGTAGTTCTTTTAGTTCTGACAAGGGTGGCTAGGTTTGTTTCGGAGGGTATTCGCTTTTCTTTCTTTGTTTCTTTCTTCTCTTCATCTTCTTCTTCGATCCTATTCTTCTTCTCCTTAACTCATTCTTGTGTGCTGTGTTGACGACGTCATATTGAGCTAGACACAGATACAGATACACAATTCCCTTGTGGATTGAGTAAAGTGCGGGGCCTTCATACCTCCTTCTCTCCTCCACGAGTAAAAGTCACCCTGGCTGGCGGTGCACGCAGTGGCTTGGTTTCGCTTTGTTTCGGCTGCTACGACTCGCTGCCTTGGGTTGGTGTGGTGGTGCCTGGTGAGGTGTTCACTAGGGCTCCGTACAGTAGTTGGTTCTCCTGCGTGCGGGGTTTCTTGAGGCGCTGAGGAGGAGGAGGGGGGTTCCTGCATTGCTTTTATTGCGCTATCTCGGTTCATCGGGGCTGTATGTTGTGGGAGAACGGTGGATTGAGGTAGACTGTTTTGGCTGCTTGCTTGCGTGTCTCTCTGTCTGTCTATCTGTGCGTGTGCGTGTGCGTGTGCGTGTGTGTGCACTTTGGACTCTATTTAATACCCTGCCTACCCAACTCGTATCTCCCACTCGCTCTTATCCTACGGGCTCACGAAGACGGGCTGCTGCTCGTTCGCTTACATTACCTACTATATACACCCCAGCTACAGCAACCTACATCTACACAAATCGAGCTCTTCAAAGCGGACACGAACGAAAAATGACCGACCCCCCCAAAGACAAACTAGAGGTCGCCCTCTTCATGGCCGCCTCCCAAGGCTACGACACCATCGTGACGCTCCTCCTCGGCACGCCGGGCGTGCAACTCGAATGCAAGGACGAAACGGGCCGCACGCCGTTCTTCTGGGCCGCCGCGCAGGGCCACGACAAGGTCCTGCAGCTGCTGCTGGGCACGGGCGCAGTGGATGTGAATGTGCGTGAGACTGGCGGGCGCGAGCAGTCGGCGCTGTGCGCTGCCGTCGAGGGCGGGCACGAGGTCGTCGTGGCGAGGTTGTTAGGCGCCGGCGCGGACTGTCAGGTCGCCGATGGGAAGGGGAAGACGGCGCTGGGGTATGCGGTTAGCATAGACAACCCTGCGGTGTGTTTGACGGTCGTGGCAGCGTTGGTTGGGGCGGGCGCCAAGGTTGATGTGAGGAATGACGGCGGGGAGGTGCCGCTGATTGTTGCGGTTGAGAGGGGGCTTGCGGGGGTGGTGGAGGTTTTGGTGAAGGCTGGGGCGGATGTTGATGGGAGGGATGGGAGGGGGGTCAGGGCGCTGGAGGTTGCGGTTGCGAGGGGAGATGCGGAGGTTGTTGGGTTGTTGGTTGATGCTGGGGCGGATCCGAATGGGGATGCGGGGGTTAAGGAGGGGGAGGAGGGGGAGGACGGTGGTGGAGGAGGAGGAGAAGGGAAGGTGCCGCCGTTGTCGGTGGCGGTGGAGAAGGGGAATGAGACGGTTGTGCAGTTGCTGCTTAGGGCCGGGGCGAACCCTGATGCTAAGGATCTTGCGGGTCGTGCACCGTTGTCGGTGGCTGTCGAGAAGGGAAATGAGACGATTGCGCAGCTCTTGCTCAAGGCGAATGCCAATCCGGATGTCAAGGATGGGGATGGACGGCCGCCGTTGCTGTGGGCGGTGGAGAAGGGGTCCGAAGAGGTCGTGCGCTTGCTTATTGCGTCGCGGAGGGTCAATCTCAATATTGCGGATGATGCAGGACGGTCAGCTTTGTGGTTGGCGGCGCGGATGGGTTCGTTGTCGATCGTACGGTTGCTGGTTAGATACGGTGCAGACTTGGAGGCTCGGCCTGTGGAGTCTGAGGACGGGCAGCAGCCGCAGCTACCATGCGGGACGGCCTCGTATCAGGCTGGTCGACACGGTCATTTCGACGTGGTCAAGTATTTGCTGAAGAAGGGGGCGGATATCAATGCCCCGGCTCGAGGCCTATCGCTCCTGATGTCCCTGGTCCTGCATGACCGGGGCAAGAGAGGACGGAAGATGATCCAGATGCTCCTTGACGCAGGTGCAGACGCTAACACGCAAGATACCTCCGGACGAACGATCCTAGACATCGCAGCAACGGACGGCGACGTGGAGCTGGCTAAGATCGCACTCGACAATGATGTGGAATTGGAGACCACTGCCAAAGACGGCATGACGGCCTTGCACCGCGCGGTCATTAACCGCCACGACCACATCATGGATATGCTTCTTGACTACGGTGCCGACCCCGAGGCCCAGGACGGAAACGGGGATACACCTCTGCACTTCGCGGCCGCCAGTGGTCGCCGGAATCTGTTCGAGCTGTTCCTGGAGAAGTCGCCGGACATCAACGTAACCAATTTCTCGGGCGAGAGTCCCCTGCACAAAGCCGTCCAGCGCGGCCGTCGGAAAATGGTGGAGTACATGATACGCAACGGGGCTGATCTCGAAATCCGCGACGACTACCAGCGGACACCATTACATAAAGCAGTAGGAGCAGAGAACCATGTCATGAGATTGCTGGTCAACAAGGGCGCTCACGTGCAGGCGAAGGACATGTTCGGGCAGACGGCGCTGCATATGGCGGCCGAGGCCGGGTTGGCCGACGATGTGTACTTCCTGCTGGGTCATGGTTTGGCCGGCAACTTACCGGATGATCGTGGCCGGACAGCATGGGAGCTGGCAGCTAAGAAGGGTAGGAAGGAAGTGGTGGCCGTCTTCAAGAGGATGGAGTTGCTGGCTCCGAAGCAGGATGGAGATTCTTCAGAAGGGTGACGGGGGTGCTGGTCAAATAGAGATAGGAGTCAATGGGCTGTATGTATGTATCATCTTTCGTGTTGATTAGCGCATGTACGGGTTGTGATAATGAAGAGGAAGCAGGGTACCTTATCATGACGCTGGAGGTTGTCATATGTGTAACATCGAAGGCGTGCGGCAGCTCCATCCGAACCATGGGCAGCGGGAGAACAAGGTTCAGTCTTATGGTTCGAGATCGAGATCAAGCGCCGCATGTTTACCTTGCAGGAATGCAATTGAAGGCTCTTGCCAACCATTGATAGGCGAGGTACAAAAACTGAATTGAACAAAAAGTGAAAGCCCAACGCGGGGGTTGAACCCGCAACCTTGAGATTAAGAGTCTCACGCTCTGCCGATTGAGCTAGCCGGGCTGGTTGTTGAAAAACCTTTCCTTCTAAAGGTATATGACTTGAGAATGAAGAAGAATCGTGAAAAGCTAAATGGTCTTGTCATGCCGGAGAGCGAGAGGGACTCCTCTGCCATGGGAGGTTAACCGGTTGATAGAGGAATCTTGCCGGTGGTAGCTTTGACCTCAAACTAGGCGGTACGTCCAGGCTCAGTCTGCCTCAGGAGGGCAAATTTCAATTCCCTATCCTCGACATTAGTTAGGCAGTGCCACAAGGGGGAAAAAAATGATCGATGAGTTGCTCAAAAAAAGTAAAGCCCAACGCGGGGGTTGAACCCGCAACCTTGAGATTAAGAGTCTCACGCTCTGCCGATTGAGCTAGCCGGGCTGATTTGTTGAAGGCAATTTGTACTGTTTGCCTCATATTCAACACAACAAAGACAGTGTCGCCGTGATGGAGCGAAGTGGGCGCCATATCACGGCAGGATCTTTAACCATCAGTATTGAGCATTGCGGCCCAGGCTCCATACTAATGCACATGCATGTAGCCGACTCGCATACAGGCCTGACTCGGTGGCTTGGCTGCACATATCAACCCGGGTTGGAACAGAGAAAGGTGCTCGAGGACAACCGTAAAGGCGGCTCGGCTAGCTTTGGTCTTGTGCATGGGATACGATCATCTGGACTGCGCCAACCTGGGTTTGAGCTGGGCTTGAGAAGGTATTCATACGTAGCATATTCCCGTTGCCCTGCGTGGGCACAGGGCATGGTGGCACCGTGGCATCCGTGTTGTCATGTCGGGCTTGATCTGGCTGTGGTGATGCATGTGGTACTGCTATGCGTGGTAGGACTCGTGTGCCCACCTTGTTTTTGACGATGCTCTTGTGCTTTAAGCTTTATCATCCAGTGTACGTCAATGTTGAGTAGCTTTGGTGCTCGATGTGTGCACTTGCCTTCGTGGCTCACAGTGATGTCAGAGGTAGGTTGTGGTTGGAATGCGAGTCGACACGTGGATATATAGTTCCCGGGGACTCGATCAAGATATGATCGGACCAAGATCGGTCTCAAACTGTACGGCAAGAAGCGATGAGGTAGCTGCCCACGCATTGATAGTGGTAGCCACTAAAAGGATGCTGGAACGAACAAATCCAGTGAGTAGCTTGAGGGGTGATGTGTTGTTTATCTCATTGCCTCAATACCAAGACCACTTGCAGGAGCATTAAGCCCGATTCGGTGGCGTGCATGACTAGCACTGTTGTATAATATAAAGCCAAGCACACAGTCAAGATTCAACAACCGGCCCGGCTAGCTCAATCGGCAGAGCGTGAGACTCTTAATCTCAAGGTTGCGGGTTCAACCCCCGCGTTGGGCTTTCACTTTTGCCTTTTAATTTTTATTATTTTTTTTTTTACCATTCCTCCTTCTGCCATAGACAACCTGGACATCAGGATTGAGCAGGACTAGTATTTCTTCTTCTACCCCAGCTACACACGAAGACACTGAAATACACCGAGCCCACACTTATCCGCAACCAAAACGACAGAAACACACAGCAATATGAAATTCCCATCTACAGCCCTGAATGATCGGCACCCGCCACGCTACACCAACTCAACAACATACAAATCGATACTCCAAGAAGGGAATAACGACACGTTCGACTGTGCGAGGTCCGCTCTACTCCTCGCCTAGCATAGTCGAACTTGACTCTCCGATCACCATTGCCCGTTTAGCTTTATCCTCGGTCAATTGCCGAACAGTCTCGGTCAAGGCCACCACCTGCTCTTTCAACTGCACGAGCTCAGCAGTGGTACTGTCAACCTCCAGATTCGGTGCAGTTTCCTGAACGGACTGTCTCCAGACATCGTCGATGTCGAAATTCACCTCTCCAGCGGCATGTTCCCATTCCTGAACACTGTCATCATCTTCCGCTCCATTTCGCCGGTTCCATATGATCCGCCTAGCGTCCCGGACTTCCAAAAATGCAGTGACCAGAAGGATTGGTGAGTAAATTATACCCATTATGACATCGTTCACTTTAGCATAGTACTGCCGTGGCAACCACCACTCGAATGGGAGAACCAAGAAGATGATCTCGAGAAGGTTGAAGGCTTGATAGGGGCGTTAGCCACAGCCCGCACCCAGAAAGATTGGACTTACGAGGTATGAAGACATTCTCATCCGGAGCTCGGACGAATTGCATGGTTTTCTGCGCAAACGTGGCCATGTACTCGTCAATGGCATTGCCAGAGATGTCCTCATATGCACTATTATACAATGCAATGAGGATATTCAACAAGACTAGCAATATTTAGTCGCCACAGACAGACAGGAGGTGAGTAGGGTACTCACTCGTCATAACCACGAAATTGAAGAGGTAGTAAAGGATAATACCAAAGGGAAAGGCAAAATCCTCGAAGGTGCCGAATTCAGGACTCTGCATGATACTGTTCGCCATGCCCTGGATGATACTTCTTGTGATTGGGATATCGTTGTCCACCTGAGCCATTCCCATGAATGCCTGGAAGAACCCTGCCAAAACGACAAAGAGAAGGGCAAAGAAGATCAAACTCTCCTTCATCATGACCCGGAGTACCACAAACATGGCACCGAAGAACCGGAACGAGTCGAGATAGAGCATCATGCGCATCCAGAACATTGGCCCCGCGAAAGCTAAAAAGTTGTAACTGAGCTCATTGAATTTCTGCCGCTCAGCATCATGCACAGACGGCGAATGAGCCAATGCCACAATCCGTAGAACAAAGGAAACGACCAAGATGGAATAGAGGGTGGAATTGAAGACATTCCAGAAATCAATGTAATGCCGGCCTACCTTCCACACCTTGGCGATTTCATCACAAACAAATGCCAGAGTCATCACGTAAAGGACACCCTCCACGACATCCAGATCCCCGGAGGGGTTGACCGTGTTGATGACTTGGGTGTATAGGCCGAGGTACACAAGGGAGAAGAGAATCTGACAGACATTCTGGTAAAGTGGTGTCCGCATACGATCCGGGTGGAAATGGACCCTGAAACTAGTATTGTCTCTCTCCTGATAGGGCACAAAGTTGGTTGGGTTGCCCTCCTGCTGGCAAAACCAACCATTCCAGAGGTATCGAATACACTTCTGATACCCCGAAGAGCCAATCACCCTGAGGGCATGGAGATCGACTGCGCGCTCAATGACATTGGCTGGCACCTTCTCCTCGCCATCAAGGAAGATCGAATACCGTTTGAGCAGAACATGAGCAAGAAGAGTATCTTGATCTTCTTCATTCTCGATTCTGGAAGCAATCAGCACGGCCATCCAGCATTGTTGCGATACGGCAGATACCATACATGCGCTTTGCGATGACCTCGCACGCGAGAGCTCGCCGTTCATGCAGGTCTGAATCCCAGAGCTCCTCCCGAGCTTGGATCTTGAACCAGCGCAGACAGACTAGGAGGCAGAAGGGAACGCAGGCCCGCAGTTCATCGCCTCCCGCCTGACAAGCGGTCCGGACGACATTTTTGGTGATGATTCGACTGTTGGGGGCAGTGAGGGCATCTTCGTCAACCTCACACGAAACGACCTGCTCAATCTGGTATTTCAGGCGAAGCGCAATCCTAGTCACCTCTTTGGAAGGGCAAGTAGAAGAGACTTGATCGTCCGTGTAGGCGGGAAGCACTATCATGCCTGTTAGCTGCCCGACCTCGACCTCGTATTCCCACACCGAGTTTCACAAATGACATGACGTACAACGGTGCCGCTCCATATGCAGACGATGCCGGGTTTGCGCACTGTCGGTGTTGAATATATCCCTCCAATGACCCATCTTGCCAAAGTGATCGACAGATAGAAGCAGTCGAACGATGATTGGGATGAAGAAGGAGTCGAGGATTAGAGGAAAATTGAATGAATGGATAGTAGACTAGCCGGTATGCTTAAAACGGCGTCTTAGTCCGAATGAGTCGAGCATCCCGTGTGCCCCACCAATTTACTCTCAATGACCAGCCGCCCAAGAATTGCAACTACATTCAGAAATTCGCATCATGGATGGATTGATGTATCACCACATTTGAGGTAAGTTGTATGGAGAAGTTACTAAACTAGAACAGTTCGGTTGCACTATAGCCAATTGCCCACGTGGAATCGAGCCCTAGCTAGCTACGAATGCGTGGTTGGAAAACTTATCCTATGCCTCGAAGCATCCACGCCCAGAAAGAAAGGAACAGCGAAAAAGGGATTTTGAGTCAGTGTCTGAAATGGCCACTGGCGTGATCGTAGATCAAAAAAGCTTATGTACACCAGAATCTGTAAAGCTACTCTCGGTCGGAGCCCAGTCATCAACAGAGAGTCAAGCAACAGCTACTGGCTTCCTCAACGCATGAGGCTGAAGGATTGCCCTCTTTCTCCTCATATGGTCTCGACCATCGCCGATGATCTCGATTCGCCCCGTCGCGCATCAAACCGTATCTCCGTCTCATAAAATCGTGTCACGTCCAAAAACTCTATTGAACTTTTCCGATCCGTGTCCATCGTACTCAACATTGCCCTGTGATACTATTAGTCACAGTTCGTTAGACGAACTGTTGTTTCTTCCACCATCCACCATCATTCGAGCAAGCCCGTGGGCCATCAGACGGTATCAGTCGGCGTATCCACGCGCGATTTACTCAACAACACCCTCATCGCTCTCAGAGTCATTCTCATCACCGCTGATCTCCATGTTCTCACGCTCACGCTTCTCCATGAGCTCCTGGAGGGCAGCATCATCGTGCTCAGTGACGGCCTTGGGAGCCATCTTGACAGTGCAGCCACCGCCAGCCTCCTTGATATTGGCCTCGATCCGTTGAATGGCCTCTTCAAGCTGCTGAATACCAACGGCCTTATCCAAGCACTGGCTGGTCAGGACGTAGAGCGGTGGGGCAACCAGCTTGACCTTGATCTGGCTTTCGGCGGTGTTCTGGGCCTCAGCGGTGCGGAGGGCCTCCTTGACCGCGTCGATGCCATCGTAGCCGAAGCAAGTAACCTCGATATCGGCACGGACCTTGGTGGGGTGAGGGGTAAGTCTCTTGCTGATATAATGCGTCAACTCCTTCTTGACGGCCTCGCTGGGGAACTCGACTTCGTTCCACACGTCGGGGTTACTAAGATTATCATAAGCCACACGGTTCAGTATTGACATCATTGCCCACCCCAGTGAAACCTTACGTGATGGAGATCTTGAAGGCGTCGTGCGAGTGGCCATATTTGCGGTTCAGGGGCCATCCGATCTGCTGGTATAGGGTCTCGAGAGGTGTCTGGGTGGCCTCGGCAACATGGCGCATGATGGAGTGCACGGCCTTGCTCTTGTTGTATCTTTCCTCACACTTAATAACATCCTCAGGGGAGACTCGTCGCTTGGAGAGATCGATATAACCTGATGGCGGGAAACAAAGAGATGTCAGCGGGACCCCGCTCGACGACGACCAGTGAGTTGCCCTTACCCTTCTCCTTGTCCACACGGAGGACGATGACGACCTCGTTACGGCCGATACGGATGAGCTTCTGGATACTGCGGATACGTCTGCGCGACAATTCGGAGAGCAGGATCATGCCGTCGATGTTGTCATATTCAAGAAGCTTCACGTATGCGCCCATTTCGGCGATCTGGGGGGTTGCAGAGCCGCAGAAGTCAGCCTGGTGCTCCAGCCATCACTTTGATCTGACTCAAGCAGATGCGTACCTGCTTAACATTGACCATGACATAGCTGTCCACCTCCGGATACTTCTCCTCGTAAAAACGGGAATTTGTCAACGACATTTTCGGCGGGGTTGCGCCTTGGGCTAGGCAAAGCTTTGATCGGATTCGGGGGGCGGATGAGGGCCGAAAGGAAATGGGATAAACCGAGACTAGATGGTCTCGAGTCGATGTTGCCGTTGAAAGCACCGAGGTGGGAGTGAGGGTGTTGTGAGATGGGGTAACGAGGATTGCCACTTAATCGGGATCACAGAAGCACATTTCGAAAAACCCACTTTTGGGCCTCGCGCTTGGCTGACTCATCACGTGCCAGAGTGGTGACTCCCACCGCCCGGCAGAACCCGATAATGGCAACGATAGCAAGTCGTTATCGCCCAGGCCAGGCGGGACGGGGCATTAGTTCATCCCCAACCTTGCCTCTACACACCGGGATTATTCGCGCGTGGTGGCGGGATGAAAGGGATCTGAAGGCAGGTCCGGCTCCAGAAACGTTGCTCGTGCCCAATTTCCTATTCTCTTCTGCTCGACTTGCCTGTTTGTATGTCCTTTGTCCACCCTTTGACTTCGCTTGCTCCGCTATCTGCTGACGATCCCGCTAACTTTCTTAGCAGCAGCCACCGCGCCCTGCGCTACGGATTCCGCACCTTTGGACTCGCTGCTTTGCCCTGAGAGGTCAATCTTTTAGCTGTGCTGTCTTAGTCGCTTCGTGATCTGCGAAAGACTTTTGCCATACCTACAGAATTCACTACACCTGCCGCATATGGCGCGTTATACATTTATTTAGAACTGCCGATTTCTTTATCTTTACCTGGTGGAAATTCCCCCCGCGACGCTATGTCGGAGACAAGCGAGCATACCCGACAACACCGCTCTTTGCGGGATCAGATTGTCAGCCTCTTTCAAGGCTTTTCGCAAAGCAGCTCTGATGCCCCTCACATCGAACGGTTCACTGCGTCTCTAGCACCCAGCGACAGAACCCGTCTGCTGAAATCCTACGATGGTGATGACCCTGCTTGTGGACTAAGGGATTCTTGCAATCACGGTACATTCTCGCCACGCCCGGGTAGTGAGGAATATCATAATGGCACTCTTGGATCAGATTCTGTCCAGGGGCCCGAGAATATGCCCAGAGCCGGGGCAACAGCAGCATTGTCAAGGAAAAGCACTAGATCTTTGTATGTCTAGACTCCGGAATCACTCAAAGAGGCCAGGATGCTCATGACAACCATTTCTAGGTATATATCGTATTACATTCCGTTCTTCAACTGGATACCCCAATACCGTTGGTCCTTTCTGCGCGGCGACCTCATCTCCGCACTGACAATCGCGTCGATCTATATCCCAATGGCCCTGTCGTTGGCCTCGAATCTTGCCCATGCGCCTGCAATCAATGGCCTCTATTCTTTTGTGTTCCAACCGTTCATCTACGCCATTCTTGGAAGCAGTCCCCTGTTGCTTGTTGGCCCCGAAGCGGCTGGGTCTCTGTTGACGGGAACAATTGTCAAAGCAAGTGTTTCCCAAGGACTCTCAAGAGAGGATGACGACGCTGCGAGTGCCATGGTTGTCGGTGTGGCCACCGCCATGGCAGGCTCAATGATATTAGTCGCTGGCTTGACCAGATTGGGCTTTCTAGACAATGTTCTGAGCCGGCCTTTCCTCAGAGGCTTTATCACCGCCATCGGCTGTGTTATCTTTGTCGATCAGCTCATACCAGAAGTGGGCTTAGCTGACTTGGCGAGAGACGCTGGTGTCAGTCATGGAAGTACGGCAGAAAAGCTTGTTTTTCTGATCAGGAATATCAAGAGCTGCCACGGTCTTACAGCTGCAGTATCATTTGGCAGCTTTACCATAATCATGCTATTCCGGTACGTACTGCATCTTAGATGGAGTGACTGAGTCTCTAACATGTGCATCGTACAGAACGCTCAAGAAGATCCTGGAGCCACGGTTTCCCCAGGTTGTCTACTTCCCTGACCGGATTATTGTCGTCATTTTATCGGCTGTTCTGACTTGGCACCTTGGCTGGTACGAGAGGGGACTTGAGATTCTGGGCCCCGTCCAAGAAACAGGCAGCGGGATTTTTGCTTTCAATTGGCCTTTCCAGTTTCGGCATATGAAGCACGTCCGGACGGCGCTGAGCACATCCTTTGTTATTGCATTGCTCGGCTTCTTCGAGTCTTCTGTTGCCGCCAAAGGACTGGGGGAGAAACGCGATGGAGTGCAGGGCATGCCCGTGAGTGCTAACAGAGAAATGGTGGCGCTTGGCGTTGCCAATGTTGTTGGTGGCTGCTTCATGGCGCTTCCTGCCTTCGGTGGTTACGGAAGAAGCAAGTTGAACGCTTCCACGGGAGCGCGATCCCCAATGAGCAGCATCTTCCTGAGCATCATTACCGCCGTTTGTATCAAGGTGATTCTGCCTTATCTGTACTACCTGCCGGTGAGTTGTTCTTCTATTCTTCCCCCGCCGGATCAAAAACTGATGGTATACCTTAGAAAGCTGTGCTTTCCTCTACAATTTCCGTGGTGGCATATAGTCTTATAGAGGAGTGTCCTCATGATGTGGCTTTCTTCATTCGCTTGCGTGGTTGGACAGAGCTAGCATTGATGATTCTTATCTTTGGCTCGACAATCTTCTATTCCTTAGAGCTGGGTATTGCGCTCGGAATCGGACTATCCATTCTGATTCTGATCCGCCACTCCACCCAGCCTCGAATTCAGATCCTTGGTAAGGTTGCTGGTACCAGTGACCGGTTCGACAACGCCGAGCTCCATGCGGAGAATGTGGAGCTCATTGAGGGTGCTCTTATCGTCAAGATCCCCGAGCCTCTCACCTTCGCCAATACAGGTGATCTGAAGAACCGTCTCCGCCGTCTGGAATTCTACGGCACCAACCAAGCGCACCCTTCTCTTCCCCGCTCGCGACCTCCCGAGCACAACAAGAACATTATCTTCGATGTGCACGGAGTCACCAGCATCGACGGTTCCGGGACCCAGGTTCTCTCCGAGATCGTCAATGAATACCTGAATCTTGGGGTGAGAGTCTTCTTCTGCCGTCTTCCCAACCGTAATGTCTTCCGCATGTTTGAGAGAAGCGGCATCGTTGACCGGTGCGGAGGCATGCAATACTTTGTACAGAGTGTTGACGAAGCACTGCGACTCGCCGAAGCAGAGGGCGGGCCGTTGGAGCCTTGAATTCAAGAGCCCGCCACCTTCGTGTTTAGGGACTTCGTCCGACGTCCCTTTTCACGATCGTTGCCATTCATATCACGCGCCACGTGTTCCCGACATCTTGTTTTGAATTTCTGTTGCTAGTAGCGCCAGTTAGATTTGCTGATAGCGATGCAGCCCAAGCGGCCCAGCATATGAAGGCTTTGAGGAGTTTACCTTCTGTTCCGCGTAGGTTCCGGTGCCCGTAGCGATTGATCCGTAAACGTCACTCGCCTTCAGCCCTCAGGACTCTTCATTCTCGCCCTCCACCCCCGCCGCCCGACGCACGACCTCCAGAAGCAACATCTCAGCAGCCCGCAGGGTGAGCCGATCCTTGAGACTGAGCGCAGTAGCAGTAGCAGCAGCAACAGTAGGAGGTACGCCCCCCTCATCATCATCCTCACCGGCACCCACACCATCCGCAGAAGCAGAAGCAGCAGCAGCAGGGCCAACCAATTTCACCTTCCCATCCGCAGCCAGCACAAACCCCCCACACGCAATCCTAGTAACCCGGACCACCCCCGGACTTACCCCGTTTCCGACAGCCTTCAAATCCACCTTCATCGCAAGATGCCGATCCAGATACTCGCCCACCTTGACCAACACATCCCCGTCCTCATCATCATCATCACCACCACCCCCAGCAACCAACCCCGCCACCGCCGCCCGCGGAACACAAATATCCAGCGCCCTCAACGCCGGCGCCACAGGCCCCTGAAACCCAAGCACGATATGCAGATCCCTCAACACGCTCTCCACCACGCCCTCCTCCCCAGCCCCGTGTCTCCCCTGCTCCCCGTCCTCAGAATTAACACCCCCAAGTAGAGAACGAGTATACACGCTCAACGCCCCACACAGGAACCCAGACTCGAGACTCAGAGTCGCGCAGTAGGTATCGAACGTGGAAGCCAGGAACGACACGAGAGTTTGGCGGAGCGGAGCGGGGAGCTTGGTGAGGAGGAGCGGGAGGTGCGTTGAGTGGGCGTGTGATCGCGAGCGGAGGGTTCGTTTTGGGGCTGCTTTGTTGTTGTGGTCCGACGAGGAGGACGGTGAGGATAGCGCGGTCGAGGTCGAGGGCGTGAGCAGCGCCGCGCGGTAGGTTTGCGTCTCGTAGTGTAAAGTGATCAGAATGCCGCCGCCGGGCGTGCCGGGCGTGGTGGCTGCGCGGCGGGGGCGGCCGCGTCGGGTTGTGTTTGCGTTCGCATTTGTGTTGTCGTCAGGTAGGGAAGTGGTTGTCGTTGCGTGGCCGGAGAGCGAGAGCGTCGGGATCCGGTCCCAGGTGCAGGAGACTAGGGCGCCGGTTTTGCTGCTGCTGCTGGACGATGGGTTCTCGTCGGTGGGACCGCTGATTTTGAAGGTTGAGGTTGTGGTGCCGGTGCTGCTGGTGCCGGTGATATGGTCGCGGAGGCGCGCTGCGTATGTTTTTAGGGCGTGCTCGTTGTCGAGGAGGGAGGGGAATTCTTTGCCGTGGTGGAGGGGGGACAGTCGGTGTATTGTCCAGGTGGTGTTTAGCAGGTTGAGCTGGGCCATTCTTGTTTTTTTCTTTTAGTTGTTTGGTGGTGACTGTAATATGTAGGTCGGGAGGAGGTTGCGCTGGGCGCAGGTTCACATGTCGAGATGTGGAAGGAGAAAAGGTCTCCTGGCAGGGAACGAAGCTGATGTTTTACTGCTTTGGGGATCATATATTAACAGTTAAACTACTCCGTGATCTCTCCGGAGACGCGCCCGCGTTGTGCAAACATGCCAAGCCTGATATGTGCATAGGGACATTCCGACGATACCTATATGACAAGATGTGATACCCACGTCGATTCTAAAATATGCTATGTTTGACACCCCTGACTTTGAAAGTGACACTCGCTTCGTCTTCCGCTATCATGGAAACAAAAATCCCCCAAGTGTAACGCCTCGCCTCGAAAAGAGGATTATGCAAGTATAACACAGCGCTTGCTAAGCCAAAAATGATATTTCACGCATGCCAGCCCTCCCTCACGCGGCACTCGCGACAGGACAGTAGGACGGGCAGTCCATTCCAGACCATGATGCGGTCGGCATCATGGGGCGCCGCATGCCTCGACGCCAGCTCCTCCCCGACCACATCAAACCAGACATCCTCCACAGAGCCGTGTAGGTGGACATTTGACGAGACCTGGAATACCAGCGATTGAATGTCGTCCTTCTCATTCAATGTGATATCGTTATGGAAATTGTGCATAAACTCCTTCCGCTGCATGCGTTGGTTTCCGCCGTCGCCGATCTCCGCGGAGAAATACTCCACAATCCGCAGGAATGGCGACACTGTGAGCAGTGACCCGATCCAACTGTCGTCCGACACTGTAGGTTCATCGGGTGGTACGGTATATCGCAGGTAGGAGACAAGGAGTTGCATGCAGTGGTGCGTGGCGATGAGAGTGGCCGTATCGGTGAACGGGGGTGATTTGATGATCTTTACTTGTAGCTCCCGATACATCACTTTACGGATGTGGGGAGGAATGGGAACCGGAAGGCGTCCGGCCTCGAATTCTCGTAGGAGGATGTTGGTCTGCTCTCGTCTGGCAAGCGCATACGTCTCCAAGAAGTAGAGAGCGTAATACCTAGAAGACGAAAAAGCATGTCAGCGTGTTACCGATGGCGACGTGTCCAAACATAATACTCACATCAGTGGAGTAAGGTGGAACCATAGGCGCGCAGTCGTCTGTTGCACAAAAGCGTATCGCTCCGCTTTAGAGGAGAAGACCGACTTCATGAAGCCTGGCTCGCTGTGCACGAACCGATCCATGACACGGTCCGCAAGGTAGCAGCAAAGTTTCGAACACAGCTTCTGCCGACGGCGCAGACTGGATATGTATTTGAATGTGTAGATATGGCCGCCTCTCGCACTTTTTGCCGGGGGGAAAAGATCCGACAAAAGCACTACATCATCTTCTGGGCTTCTGGTGTATGTTTTCTCGCCGTCGATAGGAGACGGCAGCGTTCCGCCGCGGCGTTGGCGCAGGTACTGTCGGGTGATCCATTGTTCTTGGGAGGTGAGTAGCTGGTAGAATGACTTGCAGACGAGCTTCAGCGGTAGCAAGTCTGTGACGCCACAGTGGGCGAATATCTTGATCTGGATTTCGACGGGAAGAAGATCCCAGGGGCTCGAGGTAGGTACTATGTCTACTCTGTCAACAAAGGAAAGGAACACGTCAGTAACGAGCACGCCTCCAGGCTTGAGCGTCGATATTCAATCTTTCAGCACGGGGCGGTCAAACGTACAACGACACGGAAGATGGCACTGCACCGTGTTTGGAGGAGTTGCTCTTCTTGGCGTCCGATCTCTTGCCTCTGTTGATGGCAGCGCGTGCTTTTTTGGCTTGCAGCATAAAATTGTGGAACGTACTCATCGTCAAGCACCGTTAGACATGAGGAGACCAGCTCCGACTTCAGCACTTCAGAATAGATAGCTTGACACCATGCAGGTCCCTGATTCCTCTCGTCGATTGATTTTAAGGGAGTCTCCGCTGGCGCCTTTTGGCAGAGGGGCGATGACTAAGCAGGGCTGAGCAGAGGGCTTGTTGCTAATTTAAACGCAGGCCACGAATAGAAGTGGAGCGCACCTGGTGTGCAGATTGTGTGGGATGGAAATGGAATAGGTAAACGGTGATGCAGAGGTAAGAAGAGGCGAGATCATATTCAGAGGATTGGGGCTAGTTGACGGGGAAGGGGATGGAGGCAGATGCGGTCATCTGAGACTGACAGGCTGCTGCTAATTTGGGGCGGAATTCACTGCTAGTAGTATGCTTTCATAGCGGATGAGGGATGACTGATGAAGCGCTGTAATTGCATGGACGAAAACTTAAGCGGCGGCTAACCGGATTAGCCAGCATTATTCATTGACAGGAGAGAAGACAAACAAAGAGAGAGACACCTGAATAAGAACAATGGATTGGGGAAGGGTAAGCAGCCGTGTCACAATCTGGAGTCGGACTTACGTCATGGGGAACAGGGGTTGTTGTTGACTAAGTCGGGGAAGAGGGGCAAAGCAGGCCATTGATCTTGCATTGTACTCAGCTGAAGCTCTCAGAGAGATCTGTCACTCTCTGTACCTTTGTCCTTTGTGTTGGTCGACACAAGTCTTGTTGTTACGAACTATGTCCGAGAACATTCTGATCATCGGTGCTACTAGAGGCTTGGGGGCGTCCCTCAAGACTCTATATGCAGGGAGACAAACCACGAATACGGTTTTTGCAACGACCAGAGATTCCTCCAAGCCGAAAGACGAGCCTCTTGTCTCATGGGTTGCGAATATTGACGTGGCCAGGCCTGATGTCGGCCAGAATCTGGTCTCCCAGCTGCCCTCATCTGCCAAGATCTCGACAGTCATAATCTCTGCCGGCTATTTCGGGTTCGAGACATTCGACGAGCCTGACTGGGAGAAGGAGGTCAAGATGTATACCACCTCTGCTATCGGACCTGTCTTTCTGGTGCATCACTTGGTCAAAGCAGGGCTCTTGGGCGCCGGTAGCAAGGTGATTCTCGTCAGTAGTGAGAGTGGAAGTATCACGCTGCGGCATGAGAAGGAGGGTGGAGGAAACTATGGCCATCATGCTAGCAAAGCAGCTCTTAATATGGTGGGGAAGCTTTTAAGTCTGGATCTCAAAGACAAGGGGATCGCTGTCGGCATTGTTCACCCTGGGTTTATGCGCACAGAGATGACAAAGGGCGTGGGATTCGATAAGTACTGGGATGCCGGAGGAGGTGGGTCATCGAAGTTCTTGCATGTGTAACTTTTTTCTCCGTTCAGACCATACTGACTGCTTGTCTTTCCAGCTGTCACGCCGGATGAAGCAGCAGGGTCGCTCGCTTCATTCATTGATGAGTTTGACATCAGTAAAACCGGACAGTATTGGGCACCACGGGGTCCTAGGTTCGTGTAGCCCTTCTGATGTTTGAGAAACAGAGCTAACCTGACCAGGGATATTGGGACTGCCGAGCCTGTATTAGGTAGCGACTTGCCGACACCACTCCAACTGCCTTGGTAGAGAGCCTTGTTGTATGTCAAACCTGGTACCGATGTTGTTGTACCAATGAGAGTTTCACTTGCTCTTCGTACTACGGTAGCCGTTTGATCGGCCATGTTGAACGAGCCTTATGTGTAAAAACTCTGGATATCAAACGTGACTCCTATGCCTGGCCAGTGCGTCTGCTGAAATGATTGTAGAAAAATACCTATAATTTGACACATAACTTCCACGATAGTATAAATCTTCTGCTTGATATGACGATGTGGACGTCTTGATCGCAGGCTGATGGGGTGCCTAGTGATATAGATCAACGACCCACCCCGGGGACCTTGCAGACTATTATTTGTATGCCACAGCACCAGTAGAGCTGAAACCGGGTATTGTAGAAGTAGTCGCGAACCAAGAATCAACTGGGGTGGATCCAGGAGCAAGAAAAACAAAATTTTGATGCATCATCCGTGAATCGAACACGGGCCTCATCGATGGCAACGATGAATTCTACCACTAGACCAATGATGCTTGTTATTGAGATATAATCAGGAAAGAAACTTTATGATCGACAATCTTTAACAGTTAGTAGTTGTCCATAGCCAACAGTTGGTGGTATACATCCGGCTATATGTGCTATTTTCTCAGTGATGGTCCGATCAGACGCACCGAAAGCTTGAAAGTATGACTTTACAACTGAGCATATGAGCATCTGGGTGTTTGACTGGTTTTGAGTCTGAATGAATATCTAGTCTCTTAGTCATTGGCACCACTTGAGCTCAATTGTAAAGCAGGTTTTCCGACTCGAGGTCTGCATAAACACGAGGAATGCCATCCCGAGCCGATAATGACATATTGTTCGGTCTAGGCCGGGTTGATCGCATTCATACCAGTCAGAGTCTGCATTCATGCTTTAAAGTCGAAAGCCCAGCCCAGGGATATCCCCCCTTCGGAGACAGACATTCAATCGACAATATATGGAAAGTATGCCGACTGCTTTGTTTGTCACGCAAACCATAAGCATGTCGATCGAAGATTGGAGCAGACCATAACCAACGGTCTGATAGGGACCGAATTCTGGTCCTGGTAATTGAGATTGGCAGCGGTCAAATATGCGATTCAGCGGAGATATGCGTATGACCCACTACCAAAGCGATATTGCCTGAGGACCATGTCCTTGGCAGGGTTGCCTCGCAGACTTCTTCCAGAGTAGCTTGCCAGTATCCATTCCAGTGGCTGTACTGCACTGGATGTCGTACTAGCTATACCTGATGTTGTTCCCATCATGTCAATTTGATCACACCTCATTGTGAAATCTGCATAAGGCACTGTTCCATTTGATCATACCCCAGACCAGGAAATATTGTTTGGGATTATAGTGGCACAGGGCAGCATTAGTTCAACCTTAGCCCAACGACACATGAAGGATCATGGCACAGCCCCGTTGCGCCCGATCCCTTGGCGGAAAACAGTGGGGCCATGCTCCGTGCCTTCAATTCTCCCAGTCAAAGCCTTCAAGAGAAAGCAGTAGGCGGTCGTATCGGGTGACACCGCAGGTCACGGGTTGACATGTTGCTCAGTACCATTGCTGCAGTTATACGCGACATGTCCAACGGCACCAGCCGTCGGGCATAATCGTATATTTGCAGTTTTCCTCTGCCGAGTATCCGTCGCATTTCGCACTAAGTCCTTCACTCTGCCTTGGGGTTACACGTATGCCAAGGTTGTCAGCACTAGTCTCCAAGGCGGGTCTGAACCAGAAAGACAGGCCACAGAACGGTAAATAGGGCTGTGCACTACAGAGCCTCAGCATTGACGGGAGATACTCCGCTTGACCCTACCAAATGATGACCGGTCGAGTGACTAGAAAACATCTGGAAGCACTGGCTCACTCACGTGGGGAAAGATGACAGAACGTCTGGGTGCCCCGCTCAACGAAGCCCAGCATCCCAGGGTACCAGGGCAACGATGGGAAAGGAATGTTGAACCAACCAACGTTGCAGTAAGGGCATCCCGATCGTCCCGTCCATGTGTTGGATGTCCAGTTTTCATGCAGGGATTGAACCCGTATGGCCGGGCAGCCCGTTCAGCCTTTGGTAAATGATGTAATTGATGATCGATCCAGGGGGCCAGCATTGACTGGTGAATTGGCTTAGAGATTTGAGACCGGATAAGACGGCCAATCCTTCAACAGCACGCATTGGTCTCCTGGGCAGACTAAATTGCTAGTTATTAGTAGGCTAAAGACTAGTAAACCCTTTGAAGGTACTGAGTAGTAATCGCGTGCAATGAGAAATCTGATCGACCTATGAAGATGGGTACCGTGGAGAACCGAGGAACTCTAACAGTACGGAAGGTTCATGAACTACGCCTTGGAAAGCTCCAAGCCCCCGGAAATCCCTCGGGTGGTGGGTATAGGGGCTGCTCCTTATGATGTGGTGTGAGCTCAGCCTAGGAACTCCATGCCAATGAAATCTCCATTGGGAACAGAATTGAGTTGGCCAAGAGGCAGCCTGAGGAATCAAGGGCCTCGAGGCGCCCCCGAGTAGGAATGGGCCAGACTCCACAGCTGGGCGAAGCAGATCCACCGATACCCCTTAGCTCATGCGGAGAAAGAACATCTGATCTCCGGGCAAGTGATATGGGTGATTGTCTATGGTTCTATGTTGATGAATGACGGTAGGCTACACTGCAGTAGCGTAGGTCTAGTTGACCAGGTAGTTTGCTTAGTCGTTTGCGGTAGGAGTCGGCAGGAACCAAACTAAAGTGTCCGACAGCTGCGAGGCGCCCCTCCCATGGTCGGACAACTTACACACCTGCAGCTCAGCTGGTATTTAAATATCCTTTCCCCTCCTTCGCTGCTCGCTTCTCGTCTTCTTCATCAACTGTCCCTCAATTTGCCTTGCAGTTATCTTGAGGTGTCTCATATCCCCTTGCTTGATGCCATACCACCATTTCTATCCCACCATTGTATACACACGCATCTGAAACACATACCACTTCCAACTACCTAAATAACTACACTACCTACATCATCAAACATGTCCGACATCAATGGAAAAGCGCCCGCCCAACCAGTGAACCCTCGGCCTTCGGGACCCTCTGGCTTGGTCAATGTGCAACCAGCTCGTCTGGAGGACTTGCAGCCTAAGTACGCCCAGCAAATCCAGCACAATGAAGAGAACCCAGATGCGCATGGCTGGTACGCAGGATTTAGTGAGTTAACTTTATACCCAAAACCTCTGGTCCTAGATTCCGGACTAACAAAGCATCCTCAAAACAGTTCACGGACTGGGAGAATTCATCGGATGCCTAGGTGCTATCCCATGCTGCTTTTGTTGCCCGAACCCCTTCAAGCCAGTCGCACAAGGTGAAGTTGGCTTGATCACAAGGTTTGGACGGTATGTGACCTCCCTCTTTCCGACTCTCAGGTTCCTCATTGAAGCTCGCATGCTTATGCTTGATGCTCTTAGATTCGAACGTGCCGTCGACCCCGGTCTTGTTAAGGTGAACCCTCTGAGTGAGCACCTCACAGCTGTGGACGTCAAGATTCAGATTGTCGAAGTGCCTCGCCAAAGCTGCATGACCAAGGACAACGTGAACCTGAACCTGAGCTCTGTTATCTACTATCAAATTGTTTCACCCCACAAGGCTGCGTTCGGTATTTCCAACATTCGACAAGCGCTTGTGGAGCGCACTCAAACCACATTGCGTCATGTCATTGGTGCGCGGGTCCTGCAAGATGTGATTGAGCGCCGCGAGGAGATCGCCCAGTCGACATCGGAGATCATTGAAGATGTGGCCTCCGGATGGGGTGTCGCGGTTGAGTCGATGCTTATCAAGGACATCATCTTCAGCAATGACTTGCAAGACTCGCTCTCTATGGCCGCGCAGTCCAAGCGTATCGGTGAGAGTAAGGTTATTGCTGCTCGCGCTGAAGTCGAGTCGGCCAAACTTATGCGTCAGGTATGTCTCAAAGAAATCACCTCTTTTCAATCCGAGGTACAAGGCTAACTAAGAAAATTCTAGGCCGCCGATATCCTGTCCTCGGCCCCTGCGATGCAAATCCGTTACCTTGAGGCGATGCAAGCCATGGCCAAGACCGCCAACAGCAAGGTCATCTTCCTCCCGGCGATGAACCAGACCGTGCAGCAGCAGCTAGCCGCGGCTGAAAATGCCGGTGAGGGACCGAGCCGATATGGACAGCAACCCGAGGATGGATTTCAGCGTGCGATGAATGCACGTGTGGTCGAGGACATCTGAGCACCCCCTGACAAATTTGCGTGCTTCACACGAGTTCGGCGATTGATTTCATGAGTTTCATGGAGATGTCGCGAGGTTCAATCTGACCCATGACGCTCACTAAGACCACGTGACTGCCATTGCAATTGTGCTTTTCAACATGGATGCTGCAGTTTGCATTCATATGCGGATGACTATGACGATACCCACCTTCGTTTTCGCTTGTGCTTATGATACTCCCGGGATGCGTTTGGCCTTCTTTGTTGATAGTTTTGCTATCGTTTCGGTGGTCCTTGACCTATTAATCTAATTATGATCTACTTGAGCCTTGCCCGAGAACAATGATCGTTGTATTTGCAGCCGTATTGCTTCATTTCAAAAGTCTGGATAATCTATGTCTCTACTCAAGACTTATACCCACCGGCAGTTTGTAGATAATGCCCGAGGCGGTGTGCTGCGGAGTCCGGAGGCGGAGGCGTCTGTAGTTAGTTATGGGGAAGGCTGACACTGCCGCCGCGGGCGGGCGCAATTCCACCTGTACCACTATTTTGCAAAACATATTCCAATCTCACTATCACCCTTGCTCTCCCTGGAGATTAGCTTATGCCATAAAGCCGGCAAACGGGCGCCCTTAGCCCTCCGCAAGATCTCAACCAGAAACAAAATCCTATAGCGAAACAAGCCCAATGGCTCCTCCCTCCAAGACCCCGAGTCCCGCGCCCCCAGCAGCGCGGACAACAACACCCAGCGCCCGAACGTCCCTTGAGCTGACCAACAACAAGAACAACAACAGCCCGGACTTCACCGATCCATCCTTTGACCCTGCCGAATACCTCAACAATGCGCTCCCTGCCCTGACGCTGGCGTCTTCGCAGTCGACCACGACAACGAACTACCCCCGAGGGGCGGCGGCGGCAGCGACGACGATGACAGGAATCCCTTTGCCCGAGCTGTCTACACAAGTCCAGTCTATTCTCTCGCAGATCAACGCACAGAATGTCCGGCATTCGACGACGCTGACGCAGCTGACGGATGAGATCTTGCGCGGTGGGAGTAGGTTGGCTTATGAGGTGGAGGTACTGCGCGGCGAGACCATTGGGTTATCGGATACGCTTACGGAGGCGTTACGGGGGGATATTGCTCGGTTTGTGCCTGAGAATGCTATGGGTAAAGTGGAGGGTTTGGGCAGGGAGGAGGACGAGGAGGAGGAGGAGGAGGAGGAGGACGAGCATAGCCAAGGGCATGACTCTGAGGCTGTTGATGCGGGGGACAAGGGTGAAGTGGATGGTAAGCTCGGGAGTGAGGCACAAGCTACGATACAGGATCCGGAGTTCATCGTGAAGTTACGCATGCTGAACCAGGTGCGGGCTCGGTTGGAGGAGGTCGTGCAGACGTTCGGCGACGCGATGGAGTGGCCGCTTCCGCCGTCGGAGACCTCGCTGGCGTCGTCGTTCATCTCGGTCTCGGCGCCTGAGGCTGGCCCCGACAGTCACAGTCGCGAGGAGAAGGGCCAGGAGGTCGCTAAGAGGCTGCGCGCGGAGGTGACTGGGCTTCTGGAGAGCAATGGTGGTGGATTCGAGGGGGTAGAGGCCGCCGCGCGTCGGGTCGAGTCGCTGCGGACGTTGGCGTTGGTTTGGAAGGGGACTGCCGAGGAGAAGGCTCGCACTCGGGTTGTGGACGGCTTGGCGAAGATTGTAGAGGATCGTCGCAGGGCTCTGGAGAGTCAGGGCCGAGCGGACTCGTCGCAACAGCCTTCTGGCGCTTCCGCCAAAGCACAGTCGGCGGGCCATCGCCGCCAGGAGAGCGAAGGCCCCGCCGGCGGCATATTCCGCAATCTGCAGCGGCTACGAGAGGAGATCTACCTCGAATGAGAAGATCGTTGTTATCCTATATACACCTTCACTAATAGTATAGTTATACCAGCTTATACGAAGCTTACTAATGACTCCGTCGTGTGCATGTCACCGGTGCGGAGATCCTTGGAATGATTGTCCGTCTTCCGCCGTCCTGGGAAGGGGTAAGAATGTTCAGTCTAGGTTGGTCGGGAAATTCTATGATAGGTGGCTGGTCTCTCTTCAGACTGGAGAGCGGCTTGCGCCAGCCAAAGGCTTGGTAGCTCTTGGCGTCAAGTGAAGAGAAAGGCTTGAGCTTCCCAGCATGCGCATTGCTGCCCACCTGCTACTTCGTCCATGAACCATAGATTGAATTCCCAACTAGCTTGGTTCATAGCTTCATTGTCTAGTCCTAGAGCAGACCGCATGTGTGGAGTGACGTGCTGGGAAGCGTCAGAGCACGACGTACTCATTGAGGAACACCTAATGTGAAACGAGTATGCGACTGCTGCCAAGCCTGCGGGTGGACAGAGAGAAACAGAGAGCATGGATGCGCAGGGCTGATGACGCGGCATCACCCAGAGATGGTGCAGAACCTGTCCTCGGAGTAAGACGCTGGACAGATGTCGGCATACGAACAATCCAATGGGGTGACGATCTCAAGAGTTCGTGTTGATAGTAATCTGTCCAACTCTAGTACCGTGTACAACCTCGAGCTACCGATGTTGAACGATCAGCCGGCACTGTGAGAGTAAAGTAAGATGGGATTGAAGTCCGAGTGGGTGGAATGGATGGAACTGAATTCCCCCCCGCCGGCAAAAGAGGAGGAAGTGAAGGAAACCTCCTGTGACCGCCAATCACCAGCCGAGGGGGTTTTGTCCTGTCCCTGACGGCCCCAGCAGGCAACGTAAAGTCACCACTCAAGTTCCTCACTAAACACCACTCGGACTGGACTAGACCAGACCTGCTCGAATCGGGGCTTCGACTAAGAAGTACTATTCCCTCTTTTTTTCTTCTCCCTCTCGATTCTTCCTCCTCTTCCTTCACCTCTGCGCCTCCCTCCTCTCTCCTTGAGGCTCTCTGTACGACTCCCTATTTCGCTTCCTACTGTATGGATCTTTTTCCCGTCCTTGCGCTTGTCAACACCATCCTTTAAATGCCGTCGTAACTCTTGGCTTGACGTCCCACATCTCCACCTTCTTCCCCGGCTCCATCATGGCTCTTTGCGATCTTTGTTGACTTGCCTCTTAACCTTGTTCCCTCCCTGTTGTCCTTCCTGCTGGCTTCTGGCTCAGTGGTTTGCACGTCACACAAGCAGGAATGTTCATCGTTCAGTATATACTTTACCTTGGCTGATCCCAGCTGCTCTGGCCCGGTTTTTTTTTTCGAACTGGCAACTCAATTCAAGTGCTCATCGCTTTATTGAGCGGTGCTCTCTCAACCCTGGCGAAGAATCCCTTACTCCGCACTGATTAACCGTGGGAATGTCAAGTCGAGGCATTCTTGACGGCCAATGGGCCGATCAGTATAAATATATGCGATCGTCCGCATCGTCGTTCTGGCTTCAACATCTCCATCCTCGTCGCCTGAGAGCCCGGCCCATCAGGGCTCTCTTCTTGGTCGCAGCATGTTTGTTCTTGCTCACTCTGTGGTCGCACTCAGCTAGTGAAGTAGGTGGCTTGTTCATCGGGGATTTTGCTTCGGAGTCGAATCGTATCGCTGACTAGAATTGCTTGCTAGCCTTCGGTCAACTTCTGGGTGAAATACCCGTCCTACCCTCCGACGCGACGGCGCCCTGAAGATACGCCCATGCTCCTCGCCGGCCGACATGCCACGAACAGAAACCAATCTGCCCCGCTAGGCTTAGAAAGATCGGCGCCCTCCTTTCACCTCCTTATACCCGCATCGCACAAGTCGGCTTCGCTCTGTCGCACTGTGACGTCCTCGATGATTCTGAACTACCCACCGCCGACGCTGATCAGCTACGGGAAGTCCTCCGCAGGTGGGAGCACAGAATATTCATCCATGGTCGACAGAATCGCGGGGATATACAACTATCTTGCATACAGCACGCAATTGAAGGATGATGATCTGGTCCTCATTGTTGACTCGCAGGATGTGTTCTTCCAATTACCAGCGGGAATCTTGGTGCAGCGTTTCCAGGACCTGCTCCGGGAAAATAACGAAAAACTGCTACGGAAGTATGGTACTATTACTCTGGACCTGCCCTTCCGGAAAGAAGGCAAACAGACTCTGCAGAAATACTCCCAGAGGGTTCTGTTTGCTGCTAGCAAGACGTGTATCTCTGGCCTTTCTCAGGACCCAGGTTGCGTGTCAGTCCCGCAATCGAGCCTTCCTCCAGACGCTTATGGCTGGAAAACCGATGTCCATCCGCAGGGGCATCTGAACCGGCCACGCTGGCTAAAGCCTGGCGCAGTCATGGGCCAGGTGGCTGATCTACGAGTTATTTATGCCGAAATATTGCATTACGTTCATCAGCATCGCAATGCGCGCGGTGACTATCTGGCGATGACCCAGATGTTTGGACGTCAGGAATACCTTCGAGAGCTGGAAAGAAGCAATAGCGCCAGCAGGCTCAAGGAGTGGCTCTATCGCCAGATCGGCATTTCGGAGGCCTCGAACATTACCGGGGCTATTCCCCCACGCCTAACGGCGGGAACCCGGTATGAGTACGGTATAGGGGTTGACTATGAATCCCGGTTGTTTTTCAACATGTTCAACTCCAAGATGGATGTTGAATGGCTCCACTATCATAATGTAAGCAAGACTTCAGCTGTGCAGATGCAGCACGGCGTCCCCAGGGAGAGACGTCTCATGCTTCCAGATGACCTTGATCCTGCAAAATTGGGAAATCCATTCGTCCAACCCCGGTTTACCAAGGATGATTGGCCGAACCCGCCTTGGAATGCTACACTTGACAAGCTGCCTAATCATCGCAACCACACGTGGCGTGACCTCCCTTTGATGACAAACATTCATTCAGCATCCGTCCCGGCTCTGCTACACCTCGATGGAGATCATTCGGTTCGCGACAAGTGGTGGTCGGAGATGTGGTACCAGCCTTGGGCTCGGGCTCTCCTCCGCAAGTACATGCGCACTGCCTCTGGCTTTGATGCCTCCCAGTCCGCCTTGATGGGCGGCCAAGAATGGTGGGACATGCGCGGCGGCAAAGGAGGCTTGTGGACCGACAAGGGTGAATGGCTCGATTACGGCGAGGTCTGCGGCAGCTATAACCGTGATGTCTTCGACGACGACCTTGGGCCATTTGGCCAGGAAAATGGTGAAGACGCAGACGAGCCGGTCTACAACCAATTTGGAAACGTCATCAAGGGCAAAGAGGATCTGACCACTCCTTCGTGGTAGATTGCTCTTTAGGTCCCAGGGACTGGTTTTCTGAGATCTATCACTGCACAAGAAGCAGATGCGGCTCGTGCTGGCAGACACTTTCATGTGGTCGCCAAGTTTTATCGTTTCACCTTGCATATATTACACACAATTGGCGCCATGAAGCGCAGCGGCAATCCGGCCATGAGCCATGGCCGTGCATATATTCCGACGGTGCCTGGATTTCATTTTCTTTGAATTAGCGAGTTGTGTTTCCTGGTTTGCCATGAGACATGGAGAGTTCCCAACGCAGCCATATGAGAAGGGTTTGCGTCCGTCCTGACATGGACAGCGAAGGAGTGATAGCCACGGGCTTTCACTCATCAGAGATACCAATATTGTATAGATAGATAGAGCAAGACCTAATACCTTTTCTTTCCTACAACCCACGCAGAACCCTTTCAAATTCCATGTTATTCAAATTTGATATAATTGCCTTTCCATGGGAAAAGGGGTGTCGTCTTTCATGCAAAACGTCACGGGTATATAAAATCAACGCCCCCCGCCCACAACCATCTTTTTGTCTATGTCTCTCAATTCGTAGCCACACCACCACCTCCCAACGTCTCCCTAATGATAGCCAGAATCCCGGCTACATCCGCCTCACTCAACCGTTCCTCGCGCTCCTCAATGACCGTATCCAACAGCGCCATCGCCCCGTAATCCTCCTCCGCCAGTCCACCTTGCTCTCCATTTTCACCACCAGCAGCAACACCGCCCTCTCCCCCCTCATCCACCTCCATTTCTTCCGGTTGCTGCTGATGACCGCCCTCCTCTTCCCCGGCCACACCTTCTTCCTCATACTCCTCTACCACCTCCGCTTCTTCCTCATCCCCCTCCTCGGACCCCGTCGCCGCAGGCGTCAGCCCGATCCCTAGGTTGACGATCATGAGCACCTCGCCCTTGGTCAGACCGTAGGGTTGTAGACGGGTGACCAGGTCGCGGAGGGCGTGGTCCATGGGCGTGGGCTGGTTTAGGGTCTTCGGGGGGAGCGGGGTAGGTGCGGTCGAGTTGCTGCCGTGGGATTGGGCTTGCGCTGCTTGTTGCGCTTCGAGTTGCGCTAGTGGGATGTGTGTGTATTGTGGGTAGGTTTGGAGGTGCGGGGCGAGGCGTGAGATATAGTTGTGGATCTTTTTTTTGCATCGGTTAGTTCTGCATGGGTATGGTTTGAGTTTGTGGAGGGGCCTGTTGGTGCATTGGTAGGGGTTGGAATGGGTAGGTCCTCCGTTCGCATCACACCTATGGTGAGGTGAGGGTTGGTTGGAGCATGCGGTTGAGGATGTTTGAGGCATGCGAGCGGAGATGTTTGGGCTTGATGTGGTAGACAGGGAGCTGGTTTAGCTGAGGTATACGCACTTCCTTGACAACGGTATTGTGGTCGCGCAGGTCGGGACTCGGTACCCAGTGTCGCGAGTTTGGCGGCGGGTTGGGGGGTCGTCGCGGGGGATTCGCTGTTAGGTAGGCTAGGACCTCGATGTTCGAGAGAGCCGCTGATTGGGGGTCGACGATCTGAATTCGTTAGGGTCTGGTTATCTTTGTGGTGCTGGGGTTATTGGACTTACCCTCATCTTGTTGGAAGAATGTAATGTGATTGAGTGTATTGGTTGATTGATCGATCGGATTGAATTACGGATTCATTCATGTGCCGCGGAAAAAAAGTGCTGGAGATGCGGGGCGGAGAGTGTAATTCTGCCGGTTGTTGCGGGCGGTCGGATGGATCGGATTGGTGCCTGAGGTTGGGAGCGGTCGGTGTCTGTGTCAGGTTGAGTCGGCATAGTTCTATGCAACATGCATAATGCACCTCGCTACATGAGGCGTGTTTGGGATATGGAACTGAGTGGCATATCTGGACTTAATGGGCTGCTACTACCGTTTTGTCCTTCAAATATCTCACTAAGCACATTTGCTTCTATGCTTTTTCTGTTCTCTGATCTGCATCTTCAGTACAAACCTGGCACCACGTGCGCAATGGGCTTCTCTGCCCCTTCCGGCAATCCGATTGCTCTCATGCAAGGGCAGCTACGGTTGAAAGCTTAGCGACCTAGCTTAAGACTAACAAGCTGGCATCGTCTAGCTATAGTTGTACTTGCCCTTCACAATCCTTACTATGCAACAGCTGTCTTTAGAGACGAACTCCGTCTTGCAGCAGCAGCAGACCTTACCTAACCGAGCAAGCACCTCGGAAACTCCCAGAGGTTCTGGTAATTAAGGCTGATGCACACAGGGACTATAATTCCGTTCCTGCAGACTGCCAACCGATCCGATATCTGCCCACATGGCTGACCTGGGCAGACATCATGCTTTCAAAGATCGACTTATAATTTATCCTTTCGGGCTGCGTCCCATTAGATGGTAATGAAACCGGCTTTGTGTCTCTTTCGTCCCTGGACTTCACAGCATAGCCTGGCTTGAGAATGAGGAATTCATTAGTAAGAATTTGTTCAATCTCGGAATTCAAGGGAAATCGAGCTGCTTAGTGATGGACGACTCAGCTTTTATACAGCAGGTGAGGATGTTTGGCAATCCACTCTTGTCCTCTGAACCAGGGTTTGTCAAGTCTTTCGAAGCAAGCCACTCGCTTCTAGCCTCTGGACATGACCCACGGAGCCCGCTTTTAACCTTCAACGGCTATGATTAGATGGAACTCAAGATAATTTCTTGCGCCTGACGGCGAGATAATGCCCACCCACTGCGCCCATTTCCTCGCCAAGGGCTCGCACAGCGAGGGTAAATCGACAGATCAGCGGTACAGACTGCCTAATTCATTTGGGGAAATCTCTCGTGGATGGGTGTTTTTCCATGAATTTTGCACGAGTGGATCCAAGGACGGCATCGAAACATCCCGAACTTCGGAACCGCACGGGTTGCGACCTTGGGAGTCAGTACAACTACGGGATCGGGACTCTTGAGGTAATTGATTCAGGAAACTGATTACACATAGACCATGCGGGTTGAGGTGAAGGACCAAGCTTGGGTAATGATGGTGAGGCTTCTCGACAGTATGGACCTCCGGACCCAGGCGAAAGTGGCTCACTAGGGAGAACTATAAATTCATGTCTCAAACTGCACGATCTGCCTCTCACTAGACTTCATCTCTCACAGCGCCCTTGAAGAATTCAACATGCGGTCTGTTGTCGTTGGAGGGCTGCTCGCTGCCAGCTCCGCTCTCGGAGTTGCTGGCTTCCCGCATGCACACACCGTCGGAAAGGCCGACGTATATGACTACATTGTCGTAGGCGGAGGGCCTTCTGGTATTATCACCGCCGAGCGTCTGGCAGAGGCCAACAAGACAGTCTTACTGCTCGAGCGAGGCCGTGGTCCTACTGTGGCTACGGGTGCCAACGACACGCTTGTTTGGAACAAGAACTTGACCCCGATTGATGTGCCAGGTCTGTCTGCCGACATTGGCAGCCTACCGGAGTGGGAGGATTACATCTGTACCGATACGGAAGGATATGCTGCCTGTGTCCTCGGTGGTGGTGTCACTGTCAACTACATGGTCTTTGTACACCCACCAGACCATGACTTCAACGACAAGTGGCCTAAGGGCTGGAAATGGGACGACGTCAAGCCTGCTGCCGATAGGCTTTACGAGCGCAATCCGGGATCTATCCTGCCCTCCGCGGACGGCAAGCGCTACGACCAAGGGCTCTACACTGTGCTTTCCAACTTCTTCAGCAATCTTGGCTGGAAGGCTGTCGACATGATTTCTCAGCCCAATGAGAAGCATCAGGTCTACAGCTACCCTGCTTGGAACATTCAGGACCAGAAGCGTGCCGGCCCGGTCCGCACTTACCTTCCGCTCGCTGAGAAGCATAAAAACTTTAACCTCCAGCTTGGTTCCAAGGTGACTCGTGTGCTCCGTTCTGGCAGCCGGATTACCGGAGTCGAGGTAGAGAATACTTTCGGTCAGCGAAAGAATATTACACTGGCCACCAACGGCAAGGTCGTTCTCTCTGCAGGTGCTCTGTCGACACCACGCATCCTCTTCAACTCGGGTATCGGGCCTAAGACTCAGATTGAGACTGCTCAGAAGAGCGGAGTCGCCGTTCTACCCCGGAACGAATGGATCAACCTCCCCGTCGGCATTGGTCTCAAGGACCACCCCATCTTCTCCATCATTGTCAAGTCCAACGGCACATACGGCCCCCTTGACTGGACCGGCATCTACAACGGAACTGACACCGCGGACATCAACCTCTATGCGCAGGGTAACGGCGTCCTGACCCAAGGAAAGCACCGGTTGACCTGGTTCTCTTCCAACGTGGTTGATGGTCGGACCCGTTACTACCAAGGATCATGCGCGCCCACCGGCGAGAACGAATTCACCATCACAACTTATATGACTCACGGTCTCACTTCATCCGGTGTCCTTGGTTTGGATGCCGACGGCAAGACCGTCTACGAGAAGACCCCCTGGATGAACACTGCCGGAGATCGTGCTGCTGCGAAGCTGTTCATTCAGGGTCTGGTCGACGATCTGACCCACCCTTCCACCGGCTTCCAGTTGGAGACCTACACCAATGTCTCTTCTATTCTAGGAAGTCTTACGACTGGTATGCACTACACCACCACCGCTAAGATGGGCACGGACGATGGCCGCTATGGAAACGGCACCTCGGTCGTTGATACCAACACGAAGGTCTATGGCACAGATAACCTGGTATGTATTTACTCCTGTACGATGATTTGAACGTCCGCTAATGGTTTCTGGTACAGTACATCGTCGATGGCAGTATTCACCCTGACCTCCCTACGGGCAACATCCAGGCCGCTATTATGGTCGTTGCCGAGGCTGCTGTGGCTAAGATTCTGGCTCATGATCACTGATTTTTGGACTTGATTGAAGGCGGGGGAGAGGGCTACATCAGAAATCAAACAATCCCGAAAAGAAACAAATTAGGTATTTAAGAATCCTTTTTGTATTATACCATAAAGTCTGTCTGCAATAGATATAGAATATTGATAAAGATAGAAGCTTTTCTAGGAATACATGCCGATGATCTATATTATCATAAGCAGGAAAGAGATTCAAGCCTGTATGTCCTACATTAAGAGCAAGTAAAGAAAAAGGTTTCTTGGGAGGTGGGGCTACCCATAGGTAGAATGTTTACCTAAGACTACAGGAAGCCAGGCACTGGAGGGTAAAGGTTTATGCTTATAAACTCTGCTATATCAAATGAGTGGTGACTACATACCAACTTCTCGAAGCGCGTTTCGAACATTTGAGGCAGTCGGGCTTCCATAATTCTAGTTTCCCTATTAGATCGACAAGGTAGCCTATATCTACAATTGTAGACTGGTCCTTACACATCGGCAGCTAGGAATAATAGCTGTGTTGTATCATCATGAACAGAACCCTGTGATACAGAAGTTGATTATCTCACGACTCCTGATAATCCCAAAGAGCCTACCTAGGCTGCCGGACCGCATAATACTTTGATCTGGGGAGTTTTCCTATCACAAGGTCTAGCCAATAGTATGAAACTCAGCACACTAATCATTGATTGTAAGATGCCTATGCCAGTGTTCAGCACAGTTGTATAAACCTTACAATATATGTTATTATCTGTCACATAATACTTAATCATAAGGGTTATAGCGAGCCACTGTATGATACCTGTTCATTCACATTAGATCATTGGGAAAAACCTCTAAAAAAAGATGAGGGGAAAACCCAATTCCAGGTATTCCAAGAGTACACAGATCAGGTATCAGGTTGCGGAGGGGAACCGACGAACAGCAATAGACTGGAGATAATGCAGGCAGCTTGTAACAGAGTGGACTATGGTGGTGTATAGTTGACGGTGGTTTTAGCCTCCGAGTATGTGACTCCCGAGAAGGTCCCCGACTCTTTGAATTGAAGGGTCTCGCCACTTTGGAACGTGACGGTAACAGTGGAGGTATAGTCAACATCCGAGGTACCTTGGAAACAGTATGCCTCACAATGGACTGTTTGGCCGGGGCTCACTGTACTATGTACGTCCCAGCCAATTTCACTAGAGTCCTGCTCCGCTTGCGAATGGGTGCTTGAGGCTGATAAACCCCACTTGATAGTACTTTCCACTTCCGCCAATTCTGGTACACCTGCCTTGACTTTAACCTGGAGGTCAAAGCTGGAGGCCAGAGTCTGGCTCCAAGTGCTTGTGGTAGTCTTTGTTTTGCTGCCGTGAAAATCCCACTCGTATTCATGATTGCCATCAAAGTCTTGGGTGTCAAGTGTGATATGAGTCGGGTCAGGGGCTCCATTTGGGAAGTCGCCGTAATCGACCTCTGAGTGAACCGACTTCAGAGGCTTCAGAAACAGCGGGCCTAGGGAATCAATGTCGAGATTTGCCCGTCCTTGAAACCCAACGAGAAATCCTGATCCAACATCCATATAGTAGTTGTCGGAGCCACCATCGCCCCAGGAAAAAGAATTTCCCTGGTCTGTTTTGAATTCAATGTGGCCACATCGGGTACCAATGCCATTGCCGCGAAGAACCATTTCAGTGCATTTCTCTTTGACCTTAAATGTAAAGCTTTGGGAGCTTCCTGAGCTTTTGCCAATCATGGTTGAGTCTGATCCATCTGTCCAGCTCAACTTCAATCCACGCAAAATATTGCCTTCTTTCCAAACAATTATCTCTTCCACCATGGCGCCTTTGTCATACTTTGTCTCCCAGAAGTGATTACCTCCATTGCCGCCAATGGTGCCGTTACCCACAATTCCCTTTGCCATTTTCGGCCACTGTGGGTATGAAAGCGGTTTCTTCGAACAATGTCTAAGGCAAGAAGAAGAGAAAAAGATACAGTATTGAGGAAAGACCCGTGGGAAGAGAGAAGGGTTTTGTTTTTCAGGAAGGACTTGCAGGAAAGAGAAGGAAAAGTTGTTTCTCAGAAACAGTTGCAGAAAGATCGTTCAGGCTCGGGCTTTTATCTATGATGATATCCTCTGCAAACGGCCATAATGCGATCTCTTGAGTAAAAGCTGAAGTCATCTATGATGCTTGATGTGTTGACGCAATTGATTGAGGAGCCCTCTAGAACGCTCAAATGACTCGTTCTTCATCCAGTATGTCATGCTGCTCCGTGCATCATAGTTGATTAGGCAGTGACAATGTAACCACTTTGCTACTAATGTGTTCTTTTACAGGGTTTCCGGAGACTGAGTTTCACGACCAACACTATTTGATTATTTCCATAGCTTGGGTTCCAGACTAGGCTGGTCTATATCTAAATACTTAGCTGAAAGATTATTGGTCTGTATGTGGGAAGTAATCATGTTCTATTTTTATATAGTAACAGGATTTATAGTCTAAACTCTCTATTATAGTAGCGCTGCTTGCAGATTGACTAAACTACTAATTAGAGCTCTATATGGTCCCAAAAGAACGAGTTCTACCTTAGTAGTGCCGGGTTTCTAAAAATTAGCTTAACTCCCAAAGAAGGGTGCTGAAAAAGAGATAAATGGAACCATAGATGTAACAGAAAGGCACCGAAAGGGTACCGGATAGCCCGGGAGGAACTGTGTCAGTGACACTGCGGTAATAACGTCAATGACTCTCAGTGTATATAGTACATACTGCTTAAAGCACTGAGTTAGCTATTCTGGGAAGGATAAGGACTAGTTATGCATTAGGCTAGTACCTATATGCTGTGCCTAGCTATTTTGTCTATAACAATAGATTGCCAAGTATGCCGCATTCTTACCACTGTGACACTAGTATCTTAGACACTGTATTTTCCTTTACAAGAAAAAAGAACAGCTATTATTCTGAGTTATATGTTCTTATTGAGAGCTTGTGGTAAGAGGAGTATCCAGTGACGCTTTATACAGCAGCTATACTATAATGGAAACATGTCTGATCGAGGCCTCCAGTTTGGTAGCAGACTGCAGGGGCTCTGAAATCATAACAAGTCATACTATCAGGCTGGTGGCCTATCATCACAGTAGGTAACCCGGATCAGTCATATTGGGGCAATCGGAGACCCTATCAGACATTCATCACATCATGGATCATCATTCAAGTCTGTAGCCACGGATAGGTTCTATACTGGTACCCGGAAGCCCTGAGGTTATTGACATAGATTCTAGACTTTTCTTGGCTACTAGGTCATTCCCCCCTCGGTTGACCTTCAAAGGAGAGCCAATTGCAACAAAGGCATGCAAGGGCCCGTGGCCATACTAATTAGTTATCTTCTAAGCACCTTACCAAGCACCTTACTAAGCAAGCAGCACAGCGCAGTGAGGCAGCTAGGCAGGAAGACAAGCAAGCCTGCGAGGGCCATTTGGCAAACGCCATAATCACGAGGAGTAAATTAAGGTTTACAGATTTATGCTAGCCGAAAGTCCCTGCTTTGGGACAGTCAGCCCTAAGAACAGCCAGGCACCCATCTGGGCAAAGCCACCAACCAGCCTATTGCTGCCTAGGCACAGTACAACAACACCTCCGGTCCTCTCAACTGTATACTTCAAAAGCGCATTCGTTCCCCATTCAAGTCGTATACCCAAGCACCCCAATAATCAACACAAACCACACCACCTGTCACATTACCACATCCCCAGAAGACAACCAACCCCAACAATGTCCCTCCCCTCCGATGCCCCTCCCCCCGCGCTCCCCCCTCACTACCACCTCCACATCGGCTACCCGCCCATCGAAGAATACCTCCACCTCCGCGCCGCCTCAGGCCTCACCCCGAAAACCGCCGCTCAGGGCACCGCCGCCGTCCAGGGGAGCTGGTTCGGCTGCTACGTGACCTATGACGGTGATTGCCGCGAAGAACAAGCCGCGGGGAATTCACCACCAGCATTGACAACCGGCCAACCTACAACCATCAGCCCATCGACACCCACCCCCACCGCCCCAGCGGTAGCCATGGGCCGCATCATCGGCGACGGCGGCTGGTACTTCCACATCGCTGACATGGCGGTGCTACCGGAGCACCAGCGGAAGGGGCTGGGGCAGGCGATCCTGCAGACGCTGCTGGCGCGGATCCGGGAGGCTGCGCCCGCCGGAGACCCTTACGTGAACCTTTTGGCGGATGCGCCGGGTCGGAGGCTTTATCGGAAGAATGGGTTTTTGGAGAGTGCGCCTAAGGAGATGGGGATGGGGTTTGTTATGGTTCGGGGGGGAGATAGATAAATAGGTAGATAGATAGGTGATGTGGGATAGGTTATGGATTGGTGGGTGGGAGGGGGGAGGAAGGGAGGGTTTTGTCGGTGTTTGTGGTAGACTGGATGCTTTGCAGCTGTAGAGGATTATTGGGGAAAAAGCTCAGAGCATATACTATGGTTGTGGTACTCTGCTTGTAAATAGGTGGGTTGCTGTGGCTAGAGGCATGGACTGTATTGAACGTACACAGCGGGTTATTAGAATGACTGCCGGACTAGTCCGAGGAAGGCAGTGCCTGTGCTGTTTCCTTCCTCAGCTAGGAGCATGTTCCCGCTGACGACCTACGGCTGTGACAGTTGCATCCCTTGCGGGACAACATACCTACTGACAACAATCAACTCTACTCATACTACATCTTGCAGGATACCTTGAAGTCAACATTATTCCTGGAATTGAACTGCCTTAGACCAACAAAGCACCTCTGCGCCATGGATAGGATGTGAAAAATGCTTCCATCCTTCTTTGGAAATGCCACCCAAACACAATATAACACTTCAACTCAAATAGCAAAGCAAAGGAAAAAGAAACACAAAAGATGTGTGTGATATCATACAGGAAAACATCTCTCGAAGCGTGTTCATCAGGTGGTGGTGATGCGGGTGAAGAACTTTTTTTTTTATAAAAAATTTGGGCTTCGTCTTTCGTCCCTTTACTCGTCACCCTTGCTCTTCTTCTTCTTCTTTTTCTTGTCACCGCTGTCGACCTCCTCGCCGTCGTCTGAGCGCTTGCGCTTCTTCTCCTCGCCCTTGGAAGCCTTCTTGGCCTCCTTCTTGGCCTTCTTGATGTCCTTCTTGCTGACGGCGCTGGGGTTGCCCTCGGCGTCGAATTGGATCTCTCCGCGTTCAAGCTTGCGCTTGTACCGCTTGAGGCTCAGACCGGCCTGCTCGGCCAGCTTCTCCAGCTCGGCATCCTTGCTCTTCTTCTTCTTCTTGGAGGATTCCTCCTCGGACTCCTCATCGGAAGAGTCTCCCTCCTCGTCGTCGGAGGCGGCATCAGCCATCTCTTCGTCCTCAACCTCCTCAACAAGCTTCTTCTCCTTTTTGCTCTTCTTGGCAGAAGCGGGAGGCTCATCGCCGGTCAGAGCATCGGCATCGGGGTTGTATCTCCGGGCCTCGTTAATGTCGAACTTCTGGGGCTGGGCGGAAACACCGTTGGGGGCAATAGCCACACCACGGGGCTTGAGGGGCTTGCCCTCCATAGCGGCCAACTTGCGCTCGAGGTTGTAACGGGCCTCGGTACCGAGAGCAGCCTTGTCCTCCTCGGTGACGTCGTCGTCCCACTCGGCCAGGGCATCCACACGGAGACCCAAAGAGGCCTTGGCGGCCAACACTCTGGCCATCTTACCCTTGTTCTTGCCAGTGGCCTGGCCGATCAAGGAGGCGTGGTAGATCAGGCCGTACTTGGGAGTATCGTGCTTGGTCTTCAGGGCACGGAACAGGGCCTTCTCGGCACCCAGAATCTGGAGGGTAGAGGCAGGGCTCTTGGACAGGTTGGTCAAGCTACCAGCGTGGGCAATGAGACGGGCACCGACGAGGTCACCGACAAGGGCAGTCAAGTTGGGGGCGATAGCGTTCATACGGGCGGTAAGGTAGCCAGCCAGCTGCTGACGGTACTCGGCAAAGCCAACGACCTGCTCGGCCAGAGCTTGAATGTGTTCCAGATCCTCCTGGCTGATCTCGGTACCCATGGACCGGTCAGCAGCGGCCTTGACGGCACCCTCAATCTCCTCGGGAAGGATCTCGGCAAGATCAGCAGTCTCCCAGTTGGTGCGCATGCCCATCTTGAGCACGAGTCTGGCGTAGGCAATGTTGTCGTTCAAGATCTTGGCCAGCTCGGGGAAGTGCCAGCCGTACCATTCCTTAACACGCATGGCGTAGTTGTTGAGTTCCTTGTCCAAATCATCCAACAGACCGATAGCCTGCACGATCATGGTGTCGATTTTGTCGGGTGAGAACTTGAGCTTGTGACGGGCAAGAGAGTGCGACAGACCCAGGGCCATGGTGGACATATCCTGAGGAAGAAGGCCGGGGATGAGAGTGGGCAGGTGTTCACGGATGGCACGGTAGATGTCGGTGGTGGAGGAGTCGGCAACCAACTCGATGGAGAGGCCAGGAAGCTTGCCAATGGCATTTCCTGTGGGATTCGCAGTCAGTTATGCTGACTCGCTTTTTTTGTTTCGAACTTTTCACCATCCAACAACGGGGACTAGCACATACCGAGCTTGGGATCGGAAACAGCCAAAGAGACCTTCTTCTCATCCTTCATTTCGTCCAAAAGGCTGGCGAGACGAGGGGTAACCTTTCCTTCCACAAGGGCAGCAACTTCCTCCAGCGCAGTGGCGGCGCTGTCGAACTTCTGGAAGCTCTTCAATTTCAACCTGAGGTTGCGCAAGTTAGACGCACGGTTGCCGCACGGAGGGGAAAAATTTTTGCGAGGCGAAACCACTTCAATTGTGATGGCAGTGGCTTCAATTCCATCTCGAGACAAGGAAAGACATACAAGTTAGAAACACCCTCTGGGGTGGCGGCCTCAGTGGTGAGGTCGTCTCTCTTCAGAAGCTTCTTGTCCTTGGCCTTGAGCAGGGCATAGCCCGCACTGGTCTCCGTGAGGATAAAGAGCGTCATGGTGTAGGCTCTCGACGTCTAGCTGTAACAATCAAAAATAAAAAAACCCAGCTAGAAGTGCGAGGGGCGAGGGGGCGGTAATAAGAGGGGGGGTTGGCGTAAGTTGGCGACGGGGGACGAAACCGCGTGCTGGACGAGGATTGCAATCGCTGGGAAATTTTTCGACACCAAAAAGTGAAAAAAGCGAAAACGCCGTGCGGACTGTGGCTGGTGCCCGCACGTGGCGGTGCAGGACCGCTGCTCTAGGCAGGGCTTTGTATGGATTATGTAACACGGGATGCTGTCGGGGCCGGGTCACGGGATTGTGGTTTACGTCGACTCAGATAGCGACAAGTCCATACCAGCAAGTACCCCAGCCTGCTTCGACTCCTCCCCGTTCGACGAAAAAGAAGCTGCTTGAGGACTTGTGCTCTTCCGATCACCATGGAGGGTCTCTTTTTTAACGTTAAGAGCGGGTATGTCTCCTGAAATACCCCTCAGAACTCCGAACTCCCCCCTGACTGACTGTTCTGGCCAGCTACATTGAGGGCATTGCCCGAGGATATCGGAACAGTCTTTTGACTAGCCAACACTACTCCAACTTGACTCAATGCGAGTCGATCGATGGTCAGTTGCTTCCGGATCGAATGCCTCGCAATCATATCGGAGTCTCACACGGACTTCTGTTTCTTCCCCGCAGATGTTAAGCTACAGCTCGCCCCCGCATACGGCGACTTCCTCGCCGCTCTTCCCCCGAACCCCTCGACGTCCGCTCTAGCAGGCAAGATGACCGACAAACTGGTTGCTGAATTCCGTTATCTCCTCGCGCAGGCCACGGGGTCCACGGAGAGATTCCTGCGATACCTGACATACGGATACATGATCGACAACATCGCCTTGCTTATTACCGGCACCCTCCACGAACGGGACACCCGCGAACTCCTGGAACGATGCCATCCTCTAGGCTGGTTCGAGACCTTGCCTGTCCTCTGTGTCGCCACCAACATCGAAGAACTGTACAACTCTGTCCTGATCGAGACGCCTCTAGCCGGCTATTTCAAGGGTAGCCTTAGCCACCAGGATCTGGACGAGCTCAACATCGAGATCGTGCGCAATACGCTTTACAAGAACTACCTCGAGGACTTCCACCAGTTCGTCACCACACACCCTGATTTCCAGGGAACGCCGACCCAGGAAGTCATGTCGGAGATTCTGCAATTCGAAGCCGACCGGCGCGCCATCAACATCACATTGAACTCGTTCGGCACGGAGCTGTCGAAGCAGGAGCGGAGGAAGCTGTACCCGGAGTTCGGTAAGCTCTGGCCGGAAGGCTCGCTGATGCTCTCGCGTGCGGATGATATAGAGTCTGTCGCGCTCGCCGTGAGCATCTCCGCGGATTACAAGGCGTTCTTCGATGCGGTCGGCTTGACGCAGGGTGGAGGCGGTCTGGGAGGTATGGGAGGCGGCTCGGAGGGCAAGAGCTTGGAGGATTTGTTCTACCAGAAGGAGATGGAGATGTGCAAGGTTGTATTCACACGGCAGTTCACGCCTGCGGTTGTATATGGATGGATGAGATTGAAGGAGCAGGTGAGATCCTTAACCTCTTCTAGTTGAAGTACCTAGCTAACATGCCCAACCAGGAAATCCGAAACGTCACCTGGATCGCAGAGTGTATTGCGCAAAATCAGAAAGAGAGGATCGGGAACTTCATCTCTGTTTTCTAGATACCATGTTTCTTCCTTTGTTAGCCGTGCCATGTTAAATCCCTATCGATTCTATCTTCTGATTCCTTTGTGTTTCATTTTGTCAAGCCGTCACTAAAGTATACTCCACACTCCCGGCTGCTTTCTGCGCACTTGTGAGAGAGAGAGTAACCCTGTATCCTATCTCCAATCAGGCGTCTCGTCCTTCCGGTTTGGTTTTATGATCTTTCTAGTCAATAAGCGCATCCGAACCATTCTGCATCCATCCGTTTCCGATCATGATCTTCCTCCGGAGTTGGATAGTAGCAGTACACCTGGCCACATCGACGGATGCCTTGGATTCGTCTGATGTGCGTGATTATCGCATAGAAACATAGTCCTCCAAGTACCTACCTGAGGCACCAATAGCTTCATGATAAGCACCCAAGTAGCGACGATACCATAACTCTTTAAACAAGAGATCACAAGGCAAAGACAAAGCGAAGGCCATACTGAATTGCTATTGAATCAGATAATTAAGTAAATTGTCGTTAGCTTGACCTCAGAACAGGGCCCGAGGTATTCATGAGGGTGGATATATATTCATGCATACATGCCGTGGTTCCGCTCCTCCCTTCACTTTGGGAACCACGAAAGGGGAAATATGATGTAATAGGAAGAAAATCAAAACTCCGCAGGACAGCCAAACAAGAAAACAGATGGACAAAGAAGGGGGAATATAGATGATAGAGAAGTAAGGCAATAGAGGAACGATGACCAACACCTTATGCTATGGACTCGCATGCATGGCATGCCTTTGGTCCGCTTCTCTTGGGATTGGAGTTTCGATATATTTTTGGTAGAGAAAAGCAGACAGGAGCAAAAAAAAGGATAAAAAAAAGCAGCAATGAGATGCAGTAGCGAGGCCTTATGCATTCAATCCAATGAACAACATGGGCACCTCAGCAGGTGTCAAGGCACAATGATGTAAGAAAAATCCCCTGGTAAATGACTCAAAGTTTCGTCGCTCCTCATGTTTTCCAACAAGTTTATGATTTACTTTGTATGGACGTCACACACAAAAAAGAAAGAGATAGATAGACATAAAGAAACCCGTGAAATGGCATATTCCGTTAATCGTATTGGAAGAGAACGCTGATACTCTCACCGTGGTGGACGCGGCGAATGGCCTAAATCATTCGAGTTAGTTCGTCGCATCAGGAGCAAAATGTAAAGGGAAGACTTACCTCGGCAAACACGTGGCCGACCTCCAAAACCTCGAGCTTAGGACATCTGCGCAGGTGGTCCGCCTGGTCAACACTGTTGGTGACAACGACCTTGTCCAGAGCGCTGGCATTGATGCGATCAATCGCATCACCACTCAGGATACCGTGCGTCACCAGGGCATAAACCCGGGCAGCTCCTTCCCTCTTCAGAAGCTTCGCCGCTCTGGTGATGGTGTTGGAGGTATCCGCCAAGTCGTCAATCAAGATAGCAGTCCGATCCTTGACATCACCGACCAGCATCATAGTAGCATTCTGGCGATCCGTGATCCGGGTGGGGCGGCGCTCCTGCGGGAAGTTAGATGAATTCCGACGTCCGAGAATCGAAACTGGACGAACCTTGTGGATAAGGGCGAATTCAACGCCCATCGAATCGGCAATCGCGGTTGCCCGCTTAGCGCCACCGGCATCGGGGCTAACAATGACAGCTTGCTTGTAGTTGGGGATATTGCGCTGAATGTAACTCTTCAGCAGGGGCCGGCCGTACAAGTTATCGACAGGGATGTCGAAGAAACCCTGGTATTGGGGGTCGTGAAGATCCATGGTGATAATGTGATCGGCACCAGCGCACGTGAGCAAGTCAGCGACCAGGGTGCCTGCCTGAGCCACCCACTGCTTGTAACCCGGGCGGGGCTGGAAATTGTTGATCTTGTTGGCCTCCTCTTCCGCAACGCTTCCGCTGTGAAGGGAGGGGAGGGAGTCCATGGTGTCACTGCGGGGCAGGCCATTGACCGGACGCTGTTTCTTCACCGGGCTACCGTTGCTGATGTCTTCCAATTGAGCCTTGGCCAGGCTCTTCTGAAGGTTGTCCACACCGTTGAGCAGGCTGCAGCTCTCAGGCTTACCCGGGTATGGGGTAGGCGGGGTACTTTCGAAGGTGTAGCCATTTCCGGCTTTGCTCGCAATGGAAGACTTGGTCAGTGGAGCACCCGTCTTGTTGTAGGGAATGTCACTCTGGCGAGAGTATGGAAAGAGCGGCAGAACCGCAGTGACTCTCTTTGCCGAGGCGGTTTTGCAGGCCGAGATAGTGATGAGCAGTTCCATCAAGAGATCGTTCACCTTTCCGCCACCAGACTGGATGATATATACATCCTTGCCACGAACAGATTCTTTAATCTCGACTCGGGTCTCACCAACGGAGAATTTCGATAGAAGGACGTCTGCCGCCGGAACACCCAGAACATTGCAGATGTTTTGGGTCAGTTGAGGGTGGGAGGTACCCCCAATAACGACAATATTGCGCACCATATTGTTCTGAGAATTCGACTTAGAAGCTTCAGGAAATCCGGTGGGTTGCAAAATCACAGGCGAGGTAGACCGAATCGTTTGCGGTGAGGGAGGGGAGATATCCGATGAATCGGCGGATCTGGAGGGGCGGGACGAAGGGTGAGATTAGCACGACCAAAGAAGAGAGGAGAGCGTTGGCTTGGAGCAGCAGAAAGTAGAACAGAAGATCTCGATGGTGGAAGTGGACAAGAAACTACCTCATGGCGGGGAATCAGGGATGGGGTCCAAGCGAATGGATGGAGAAGAAGGAGCAGACATCGAGATCAGAGAAGAAGGGAGGGAGGAGAGAATAGGAAGAGGTTCGTGGAGAATCGGCCATAGAGACGAGGAAAAAAAAAATGCCTCTGCCGCGAGTGGAACCCGCAGTCGGTTCAGGCTGCAGGGCGGGGGACGGCCTCAGGCTGCTGTTCTGCCTCATCCGGCTAGTCCCGCCTTGCCAGCACGGGCGAATCCCACGGCCCCGCAAGGATGACTCAGCACACCCGGGCCTGTGACCCCGGAATCGGACCTGATGCGGGCCACCTATTTGAAGGTTGGTAGGTGGTATCATGCCTTGGTGCCTGGGCAGCATGGATTCGGTGTCTTTCAAAGCATCAAAACAATCCCCACAGTAGAACTGCAGACACACTCGACAGCACAAGCGCAGTTAACTCAGCTTCCAGCAACACCTCCCTCAACCAGAGTCTAGTAGCCATCCGGAAGCTACTCCATTCACCTATTGCTCGCAGACAACGGCCTCGGCCCGAAGTCATCCTCATTCATCCACATGGAAGGGATTGCAGTACTTGGTCTTGCGGACAACTCATAGAATGCTTGGCCTTCCTGTGGCCGTATAATTAGAATCGATTTGATAATAGTCTGGGATGAGCACGTACCAAGTGATTACGTGGATAGGCTTGCTCGGGATGGAAACACAACGGCGACTTGCTCACAGGTTACGGTAAACAAGTTCCACGCGTGAGACGCTGGAGAGCAGTGTCCTTCATTGTCGTCTCACTCTCCTCACCTTGGACGAGCTTTGACATTGGGGCATGATCCTAGGAGCGAAGTTCTGGCTATGTTGTTTGGCAGTTCCCAGAATCACTTCAGCCCATGGTCCAGACCTGAAGCCTGCTTGGGATCCAAGATCAGGGATAATAGAAAAGGAAAGCGCTGTTCGATTTATCGTTTCAAGTATATGCTTGGGCTATCAAGGAATCCAATACAGATCGCCTTCTTATAACCATCCATTTTCTGTTCTGCGTCCAAGAAATCTCGGTTGCTTTCGAGCTCGGAGGTTGTTGTGCTCTATGTTCTGCCCCATCGGTTTTGAGGGCCGCTCGATTAGCATGAGCTTGTTACCACCATACCCCTCCCCAGCTCCTTAAATGCTCTCCAGCTCACTGATAAGGCAACAAGGTTGGGCAATCAGTGAGACAAGTGTCTGGTCTAGACCGGGCATTGGCAGGTGCGACACGATGCACGTGATGCGGTACGACACTCAGCGCAGAGAGCTCATTTAGCCGTTCAGGGACTAGACCGAGTCTGCTTCCTTTCTCCCCGTGTGGTGAGGATGAGGCCTCAATCTGAGTCTTGCAGCTAGAAGACTTGGTGCCTACGCGCTTGACACGCGAGCGAAACCCACCAGACTGCGACCTCCTGGTCCTGGTGTAGTCAATTGCTCCCCCTTTCCCCGATGCCTGGCCGCCTCATCATGCGGCGGCCGTCCCCGACGACCGTCTCGTTCACTGTGTCGAATGCTTCCCGACGTACCAGCAGGCCCGCGAAGGTTCTATTCTACCTGCAGATCCTGTTGCGGGTGCTAAGTTTTCTTTGCGTGCTCCTACTTGATGTGGCCAAACTGCGACACTCTTCCTACATTCAAGAAGCGCGATTGATCCCTTGGTCAGCTGTCTGGTCGACTCCGCTCGGCGCCTTCGTTTGTCGCTATGCGGACAAGTACAGCTATCCGATCGTGGGGTTAGCCAGTGCAATCGTGATGTATGGTGTCTTTAGGAAAGGATACACAGGTTCGTTTAACGCGCGCGATTTTCTTGGGTTCACGGCGCGGTGCTAATAGCGATTGCAACGTCTATAGAAGAGTCGCTCCTTGTTATACGCGGGCTGGGCATCCAGACCTCTACATCCTCCAATACATATTTGTCGAAAGCGTCTACGCGATTCATACCTACGACACAGATTCAGGATATTGTGATCCACGAGGCTTTCAAAGGCTTTGAGGTTCGCTTTTATCTAGCAGTGATTGTTGAGGGGGAGACGGAAGTTGTTGTGGTTTTCCCTGTGAGTGCAGCCATGAATCACATCTGCATTGAGCGTTGTGTGACATTTGAAAATCAGAATCTTCTTCCGAATCGACAAATCCTAGAAGAGGTCTGGAGGGGGTCGCGACGATGTCTGTATGATTCCAAGTCTTAGCATGCTCGACGCGAAGGGTGTGAACAATATAAGGTTCAGTTGCAGAAGCTCGAACCAGAAGAAGGTAGAGAGACCTTGAGCGCCACTCAATCAATATATGCAGTATGTGTGGTAAGTACAAAGAATTATTTTATCTACATCTCCATCTTAGATGGCTTTGCGCCAGCCTCCGTTTTTCGCTGTTTTGCAGCCAACCACCGCGCGTTCTGAACTTCGACGAGCTCAGTCTTGCGCTTCTGCATGACTGGAATATAGTCACCGCCTGTTCTGGATTCGTTGGCACCGAGGAACACTTTCTGTCCCCGATTCTTCCGCTCCCACACAGGATTGACGCCTCCACTCGTGATAATGCTTCGATCTCCCTGACTAACGGCCAGGTCGAGCAGTGTGCCAGCCAAGATCTCATCGATCTTACGCTGTCTCCAGACAGCCCAGAGCTCCTCAACAATTCCACCGAGACCAAACTTGCCGCCACCTTTACCGAGATGGGACTTGATTTGTCGGATATCGCCAGCATAGATCCATTCTAGCGTATCCTCACGGCTCCCGCTCTGCCTATCGGGGTAGATACAATCCCAAAGGACAAGAGGGGCGTCGGACGCCATTTCATAGGTTGGCTTGCGCGGGTGCTTCGACGCATCCAGCAAATCCCTTACAATGGTTGGGGGCTCAAGACCCTGGCCAACAAGGAACAGAACACTGACCATGTGTCGAACCTGATGCCATAGGAACGCAGATCCCTCTAAATTGAAGACGTACACCTTAGCCGCAGTGGGTGTAGGCTCGTCGGAAGTGCCAGTTTCTTGCTCGCCTTCAACAGCGCGGAATTCTGGCTCAGTGACATAACCAAGCGGAGTCTTTTTGGCATCAAGCAATTCAATATCAGCACGGAAGATATCGCGGTGGAAAGACTCTATCTGTTTGGTAACGTCCAATTTGCAGAAATTGCGGAAGTCATGTGTACCCTCGAAGTACTTGGCGGCCTCGCGCATCGCCTCAATATCCAGCCAACCTTCTCTGTACTTCGGACGAGTATTGCTTCCATCGTTAGAGCGGGGCATTAAGCCGTAAGGCCCGGGAGTAGGAGAAAATGCCGGCTGAGTGAAGAAGTACTTGTAATGGCGTTCTCCGCAGGAGAAACGAGCATCGAACCCTTCCGGGGGGTTGGGACACCACGCCAGAATCCTAATATCCTGCGGAAGGACCTTGTTCAATATGCTCACATAAGGGTGCTCATCTTTGATATGGTCCCACTCCTTCTCCGCTTCCTCCGTATTCTCCATCGCTGTGTCCGGGTTTCGCGCATCGGTCTTGCGCATCGGCCGCGTACTGCGCACCCGGATCCCGACGACCTGTCCGAAAGCGCTCACACCGCGATCGGTGCGCCCGGCCTTGGAATACTGGCATCCATCCCAATTGATCCAGTAGGGCTTGACCTCCCGCGGCGCGAAGCTCTCGACGAAGTCATCCCCGGACGTATCCGTCGGGAAAATCAGGCGCGTCTTGCGCAGCGCCTTGTAGAGTTCCTCCTCGATGGTCGGAAGCGGCGTGGCGTTGCCGTTCGCATGTTCCAACCCGTTGTACCGCTGTCCCAGGTAGGCAAACTTCAGCGCGACGAAGCGGGTATTGTACTTGGAGGGATCGATATCACGGCGCACTTTCGGTGCCCGGGGTTTGGGCGGCTGCTGCACTCCTTTCTTGGCTGCCGTGGAAGAAGGTGGCAGTTTGTTGGCAGGCTTATCTTTCTTACTGTTCGGCTGCTGCTTGGGTGTGACACCTGCGGCGGCGGCAGGATTTTGTGTTTCCTGCGCCGAGGGCGATGCGGCGTACTCCGCCGTTCGGGAGTGGAGTTGGCGCTCGAGCTCGGTGATGCGCGCGATCAGACTGGAGGTAGGCCATGTCGAGTAATCGGGTTCGTTGTTGGGGGCGCCGGTTGGCGTCTGCTGCTGCTGCTCCGCCATGGTTTGTGTCGGGGGAAAGGAATTGACTTGGGCGAGGGAACGGGCGAAAGTGTGAAAGGGGGCGATTGCTGCTGATTGGGATTTCTGGAGAGTCTTGGGATCTTGTGCGCGAGTCAAGACAGTGCGAAAATTTCCCTGGAGACTCCGCATTCCCGTGTGGAAGAGGGAAAAAAAGATGTGTTGGGCCGGAGTTGGAAAGTGCTGGCGGCGGGAAATTGTTTTGCGGAAGCAAAAATTCGGAGTCGCTCGCTGGTTGGGCTGCGTTTTCGCTGTGTATGGCCGGTGTAATTGCGGTATTATTACGCCGCTGGCCGGAGACGGAGTATATAGAGCGATAGTGGTGGTTTAGCTACTGCTGGAAATGTATTTAAGAAGAGGTTGTTCTTTAAATTTGGGATCCTTTTTCTATGCACATGTAAGTGCAGATATCGGAGTACTGAGTAGTCGCATGACTATGGAATGCCCGATTCACGTTTATATTGGGGTTTTAGCAGTAGTTCGAAGGCGGAGGGCTTGACATATTCCGGATCTTATCGCAACTCGCACAGCATCGGAATGACCACCGCGGAGAGACGTCTAGCAGAGTACTCGGGAATGGTTCTTCGCCAATATAAAACAAATTGTACGTCTCGAGCCATAAATAACCCTCATTCAATTGCAAAGAACCTATAGAATCGAATTTTGAATGGCGGACTCCTTCCCCCAAGATGACACCCCAACAGTCACCATCCTACTTCTAGGAGACTCAGGTTGCGGCAAATCGACCTTTTTATCGTGAGTGCTCCTGATCCTTTCATGTCTCAAGCACGGTTCGAACAGTCTATACCATCTCGAATGACTCACCGGATGACCGTCGACGAAATACGTGGCCGCTAACCTCTTTCCAGGAGCCTGAAATCCAACCATCGCCGACTCCAAGGACAAAGAGCGGACGACGTCTCATTACGGGACGGTGACCAACCATTTCTCTATGATATCCGCTTCTCGAAGCGATCCTTCACCCTCGAGGTCTACGATACCGCCAGTCCGAACCAGCACTGGTCAACTCTGCGGCCGGACGTGGTGCTTCTGGCCTTTGATATTTCGAATCGGGAGACGCTGAACGGATTGAGGGGGGTAAGTCCACCCAGTTTTGACGGCCCTTGAAGCACTTCAGGGATCTTCCGATGCCTTCTTCAGACCCTCCTCATACTTCAATCAATTTATGACTAAGATTTGGCAGTGGCGACACGATATCACTCGTTACTTCCAGTATGGTCACGGAGAGCGTATCCCTATCATGGTGGTGGGGTTGAAACGAGACCTCAGAGTAGAGGGGGAGGGGATCATCTATCCGCAGGAGGTGAGTCTTATGTTCCCCGAACCCCCATGCGGTGCATGTATCGAGCTCAGCTGACTGTGCAAGTCATATCGCATCGCCCAGGAACTTCGTTGCGATCGGTATGCGGAGTGTTCTGCTGTTACTGGGGAGTTGATGGCGGAGACGTTTGAGGACCTGGCGCGGCTGGCGGGCATGACGTTGACGGATTCTGGCGGGCAGAGTGAAGGGGGTTGTGTTGTTAGTTGATGGTTTTGTGATACCCTTGGTTTTGACGTTGTTGTATATAGGTTGTTGGTCATTGATTTGATATCATTTCTTTGGAAGGTTGTAGATTGTGTTTGTGTAGGTGGGCAGGAGCGTTGAATGGCCTGTTGGCTAGAACATTTCATGTCACTAGCAGTCCGCGACATCAACATTTCTTTGAACTTGTGTATAATCACGATCTACTCGAGTGATTTTCGACTACAGTCTACGACTACAACGAACAAAAAGACATGGTAGCTGGCATCACTTTTTCAATTACGGCTATGATCAACACACAGGGAGAAACCAAGGTAACGATTAAGTCCACCTTGTAAATTGACAGCACAGGGCTTTCCCCCAGAAGCTCACCGAGGCAAGAGAACAACTGGATATCTTTCCCTCATAAGCGCCAAGTCAACTGTTAACGTTGCAATTCCTCCCCGATGCATACCATAAACGAAACATCAAAAACGGATGGCGGGAATAAGTTTTCACCGTAGCATACCACGTCAGAAGGAAAAAAGGTAGGAAAAGGTTGGTTTTTGAAGTAGTGGATCTCCCGTTGATTGTTTTTCCTCATTTTTTCTTCCTTTGCTTTTTTGTTTTGGTAGATTGCTGAACAGAGACTAGGATAGACATGACAAGGGATTGCTTTCTCTTCTGTTGCTGAACGGATGCCAAGTGTCGCTCCGACCAAACGGAGCCCACTTCTATGCTCCATCATCAACCGCCAAGGCGCATCATGGAAAAGAAGACGTAAATCATGATCCCCTCTCAACGACCGTCCAAGTCACCGGGTTCAGTGATTTACCAGTTGCCCTCAGCGGGCTTGGTCTCAGCCCAGCTCTCGCCAGCAGGGGCAGCAGAGCTGGCAGCCCAGTCGGCACCGTCAGCCTCCCAGCTGGTACCAGCAGCAGCAGCGGTAGCAGCAGAGAAAGCAGTGCCAGGAGCACCAGCACCGGCACCGGCGGTGTCCCAGTTGTCACCAGCGTAGCCAGACTCAATGGCAGCGGGGCCAACCTCCTCAGCGCTGGCAACCTTGGCCTCGTCGGCGATCTCCTTGTTCTCCTCAGCCTCGGGGTCACGGTAGAAGTACAGGTCGACAACGACGTCCCAGTCAACCTCGCGGGAAGCAATGGTACCGCGGAGGCGGAGGACCTCACGGGCGAGCATCCACCAGACGAGACCGATGGCGTGGCGACCCTTGTTGTTGGTGGGGATGGCAACGTCAACGAAGTCGGTGGGGGAGTCGGTGTCGCAGAGAGCGATGACGGGGATGTTGACGTAGCTGGCCTCCTTGATGGCCTGGGCATCGGTGCGGGGGTCGGTGACGATGATGAGGCGGGGCTCCTTGAAAGAGCGGGTGATGTAGTTGGTGAAGTTACCGGGGGTGAAGCGACCGGCGATGGCGGTGGCACCGGTGTGGGAAGCGAACTTCAGGACAGCACGCTGGCCGTAGGGACGAGCGGAGATGACACAGACATCGGCGGGGTTGTCAATGGCGGCGATGATACGGGCGGCCAAGAGGATCTTCTCCCTATACGTTCGCGCGCGCGCGCATTCGTTAGACTTTATCCCGAATCTCAACTCTCTAATTCCGTTCTCGAATAGCCCAACCCGCGCATCCAACTTCCTTCTCCTAGTAAACGTACCAGGTCTTGCCAATGTTGATAACGTTGACACCGTCGGGGCGAGTCTTCCAGAGGTAAGGCTCCATGTGGGACTGGAGGTTCTTGGATCCCAGGTGGCACTGGGCAGCCAGGAGCTGCTCAATGTCCTGGGAGGTAGGGTTGAAGATCGGGGGGAGCTGGGAGGGGGCCATGGTGGGCGATTGATTCTGCAAAGGAGATCGAATTGAGGATATCAATCGACTGGCGCTTGTCGCGGTGGTGATGACGGGAGAGAGACGGAACGCGAAGCTGAACTTTTCCACGCCGCGCTGAGATGGTGATGAATTTCGCTTGCCGTTTGTGAATTTTAGGGCTAGGGTTAGCCAAGACCGGCGAACCCCCCGGACCGTCCCCTGTTATCACGTGAGACCAATCTGCCAGACTGGGACTAGCGGCCTTGGACGGATCTTCGAGATTTCGGAGAAAGTTCAGCGCGCCAGTGCTGGTAGAGAGGGCCTTAGATGCGAAGACGCTCCGGTTTGCCCTACGACGATTGCCAGTGCTCGCCGCCTCGGTCTCTTAAATCATGTCCCCTCGTTTCCTTCTTCAGCCCTCTCTCAGGGCTTTCACAGGTTTGTCTCTCGTCCCATCGAGCACTCTCAGTTACCGGCCCTTGACCTTTAACTAACCAGCCAATCTGTTGATTTCAGGCTCTTCCTCCGTTCAGAGCCCGTTCGCCGCCCTATCTCTTAACCCCTCGAAGACCACCGTCCGAGCCGGTTCTGCGGCGTCAAGGGAACGCCGGAGACATGACCCCTTCCTGACAGCCCAGTCTCGCCAGCGCAAGGCGGCCAATCTCTCTCGTCAACAAGCTCTCGCCAAGGAACGTGAACAAGCCTTGGGAGACCCAGTGAAAAGCCAACCGACCCCCTTCATTCAAGAATTGCAAAAGACCGAGGCCGAAGCAAATGACACCAGGCTCAACTTCTTCGTCGAAGATGAGGAACTTAAGAAAGCTCTCAAATACTCCAAGGACTTGACTGCGCCTCTCCGGAACCCCAACCCGGATACTACCGACCCTCAACTTGAGCAACAGCAAGCTGAGGAACATTCTGAGCAGCACCGTAATGCACAGGAAGCGATCAACCGGATCATGAACATTGCCAACGGAAACAACCAAGACCGCATGCGCCTCCATATTCAGAAATGCATTGAGACATTTGGGCGACACCAGACGGACAAGACATTGCCCCCCAAGCCAGCGTCTGTGAGCGATGATTCCGCGACTGTTCGCCCCGAAAAGACCCCCCGTGTTGGCCGTGACACTGGCTCTCCAGAAGTGCAGGTAGCCATCTTGACCGCCAAGATCATCAACCTGTCCAGACATCTTGAGGGCACGAACAAGGATAAACACAACAAGCGCAACCTACGACTTCTCGTGCACAGGCGACAGAAGCTTCTTCGTTACCTCCGGCGGAAGGAGCGCGGAGGTCCTAGGTGGCAGCACCTGATCGAGACTCTCGGACTCTCGGACGCATCTTGGCAGGGTGAGATTAGCATGTAATGGGCCTCTGCCGGCGTTTGTACTTCATTGGTTGATTTCTTCTATCTCCCCCTTTCCGGATTATACTTCTGGCGTGTAAACTTATGACATTTGAAACCGTTCCCCATTTCTTCGCCATGCAGCAACTATGATACAGAGTCGGCGGCATTGTTTTCTTCTAGTGTCCCCTTTCCCCAGCATTATCTGGTTGTCTTCAGAACCTCGCTGTGTACTGTATAAATATTACTATCATTGTTGCCAAACTAGATATCCTAAAATTGTACGGAATGCGACATCCTGTTGTGGTGAAAGTGAATCTGGCTGACTTTCCGCATACGGGTCGATATAAATGGCAGTTTTGCTATACTTTAGATTTGAGAGCTGATCCTACCCATCTCTCTACGATGACAGACAAGAGTTTCGCTTATGACTTCGACATGATAGATATTATCATCAACAAGGTATCCTATCTTTATAGTAATGAATCGAGTTCGAGTGATTAATCACTTTCTAAGGAGGTCTGCGGCGGAAGGCGATTGCGGGTGACCTCACCGCTTTATTCTTTCTGCCGGGACGTCACTCCGAACCGCAAAATTCCCGCGCAGTCGAGTGAATGAATATTCACTTCATCGCCAGCTTCATCCAACACCAGATGTTATAGCTTTGCTCGCTCTGGTGAGTGAATGTTCTCAGCTGCCCCACGGGTCCACGGCCCACACGCGCCATAACAACACAACAACAAAATCATAACACAACACACCCAGTCAGTTTGTTTTTCTTCCTTCTCCTCTCCCTCTTTCCCTCTCTCCTCCACCATCACCACTCTCTCTACCTGTTTCGCACTCCGCAAAGCTGCCTCTTCATCCATGAATTCTTGCTTTGTTGCGCTTTGAAACAGTACTCTTCGCTTTCCCTGTCCTTCTTCCACTCCATTTCCCGCTACAATCGCGTTTGTAGCAGACTCGAACCGTTGTCGCGTTTTCCCCTCGCTCTTTCCTTCCCGCCTCTCTGTATCTTCCCAATTCTACTTCCTGCTACAATAGCGTTTGTAGCAGAGTCGAACTCTTCGTTTCCCCCTTTTCTTCATATTTCGCCTCTCTGTACCCTTGTGAAAATAACACTTGGGACGTATCCCCGTTATCTGCTCTTTCGCGTCACTTCCACCCTCCCAGAGGAGAAACTTGGCTATACAAGACTCGAGCTTCATACGTGTCAGGCCTTGCTCTTCTGTTTCACAAACGTACTCACCCATCTGTTCCTCTACCCTTCAAAAATCTTCTTCCCGACCTCGTTTTTCATTCTGGAAGGCTTGTGAGATTCGCTCACAAGTCGCATTTATCACCGGTGCTCAAGCCAGTGCCGTGTCAACCTGAACATTTTCCAACTGTCGTTGACTCTGCAGTCAAAATGCGTACCCGTTCGCAGATGTTGTCGCCGGGTGGCCTTGTCTCCCTAGACGACAACAACGTTGCCCGTCGCACCAGATCGACCAGAAGCAACTCGCAGCAGCCTGCCGCCACCGAAGAACAGCCTGCTCCTCGTCCTAAGACAACCCGCGCCACCAAGAAAACAACTTCCACGACTACTAAGAAGACTACCAACAAGACCCAGTCTCGAAAAACGACCACCGCCAAGCGCACAACGCGGCAGACTGCCCGCAAAACCAGTCAATCAACGTCCGACGAGAACGAGCAATCCCAAATTAAGGAATCCGAGAATATCGAGCCCACTGCAATTCAAGCGGAAGCAGTTTCCCAGGAGAACGGACACAATGAGATAACCCAGGACTCCAAAGAACCTGAGAGGATTAGTGAGTCAAAGTCACCTTGCAAAAGAAAATGTCAAAACAGCCGATATGACCTTCGGCCGAGAAAGAAAGCTCGAAACCAAATCGAAGCGCAGGCTCGGCCCCCCAAGGATCTAAAGGCTGTCTTGGAAAATCCAGGGCAGAATCCGACTTTCCAGGAACTAAGGGCTGCCTCAGAGAACTCAATGCAGTCTCCGAACTCCCAGAAACCAAGGGCTCCCTCGGATAATCCTAACAGCCATACCACAGTCCCCTCCAAGGAGACAGGGCTAACTACCCAAGAAGACAGAAAGAGACGCCGCTCTACCAACGAAGACGACACCGACGCCGACAATGAGGGAGGTCCCATTACCCCTGCTGCAAACAAGCGACGCAACCTTGGTGTACCGGGTAACACACCGTACTCTTATGCCACCCCCCTGCCTCGCCGAGTGACGGCCAACATCACACCTTTTTCGGAAAGGATTCGCCGTCGCAACGCCGAGAATCAGGGCCGCATCTACCGGACCAGTCTGCGCATTTCGCAATATCTCGCCCAGGAGGATGCTGACCGTCAAGCTTTTGAGACCCCGGCGTCGGGCACAGACTTCACTTTTACTGAACCTTTTCCCAGTTTCGAAGATAACGAGCCGCACCAGGAACAAAAAACTCAGGAATCAGCGCAGGAACCAACCACTCCAGAGCGGCCCGCGAGTCGCTGGGGACTCAGCGGGCTACTGTCCGTCCCTCGAAGTCTTTCCCGCTTGCTTCCGACTTTCGGACGGAGCCCTGAAAGAAATGAAACTCAAGGTATGTCTTCAGGGTCGTGTATCTTTTATTTTACTCATGCTTGCCAGTGCCCGCAGAACCAGCAACCGAACCAGTCAATCGCACACAGCCTAAGGCGCCCGTTCCTTCGACCAGCACGGCGTCTCCCACGCCTAAAAGCAAGGAGCCAGTCCTCGAGCGCCAGCGTGATCTTTCCTTCTCCTTGTTCCCCCCTCCTCTTGACAAGTCCCGCTACCTTGATGATTTACGTAAACCTAACCCCAAGCCTTTGCAACCCCTCGCATCCGCGGCCACGTCTGAAGCTCCTGAATCATCGGCCGATACGTCGAAGCCCAAAGATTCTGCCGAATCCACTACCGAAGCCGGCGTGCTCAAAGGCAGCAAAGTTGTTTCAGAGGAGTCGAATACCTCAACCCCAAAGCAGAAGAAGCGCAAGCGGGCCCCATCCCCTGATGTGATCCCTAACCCTCCTGGTTGCAGCTATGGAATGTACGAGGAATATTTCGTGATCTCTGATAGCGACGAAGACAGCGACAACGAGGATGAGCCTGCACGTCCACAAACCGAACCTAAACAACAGGACCCCAGAGGAAAGTCCGCCGTCCGCAGTGCCCTCCGCTCCGAGCGTCCAGCCACAAAGAAAGTGCGATTCGATGCGAGCCCTCAGGACACCCCATCTAAGCTTAGAATGAAGCCGCGTGCCACCGATCCATACACCGGACAACACTTCGTCGGCATGAACTCACCTGGTGAATCGAGCAACTCATCCGCACCCGCGTCCCCAGCGCCCGCTTCCCAGGCCGAACAGCCCTCTGTTTATCCGGACCCTAGGAGTCGTCCAGGATTCGTTCCCAATCGTGATGGTACATTCGAAACCCCCTATTCTGACACATCTTCCGAAGCCTCTGATGACGATGCTCCTGCATCTGGCTTTGTCCCAAACCGTGATGGTACTTTTGAGACTCCTTATTCTGACACTTCCTCAGAAGCTTCAGACTCCGAAGATCCTGCACCAGGCTTTGTTCCCAACCGCGCCGGTACATTCGAGACTCCCTACTCGGACTCCCCATCGGAACCCAGTGCTTCTGCCCCTGACGCTGTTTCCCATGAGCAAACGACTCCGCAATTTGATTCCTCGTCGCCGCCACACCCCGACGTCACTGAAAGGTATGTGTTCTAGATGCTCTATAATTTGGGCTCCAGTGAAGCACAGAGCCGCTGACCAGTCTTTCATCAGTGCATCTTCTGAAGAAAGCCGTCCAGCCGCCCAGCAGGCGCCTTTCCCTCCTTCTACCCCAGCCAAGGTTGAAGATGTTGCTCTTGCTCGAGTCCGTTCACAAGCGGAAAAGTATAAGCCCAAGACACCAAGTGGACTGCGCACTGCCAGCCGCTACTCGAGCCCCCTGACTATTGCTACTCCTGACACCATCCCTGCATCTGTCACCCGCCCTGAGAGTGCATCCGAGCCCGAAGATTTCGGAGATGACCAGTTTGCGCGCGATGCTCAATGGCTCTATGAAAACTGCCCCACAGGAGATCTCTCCGAGCTCGTCTGGCCGGAAGCCGAGAGTTACGTGGATATGGGCTTCAGTGCCGAGGCAGTTCGCATCGCTAACGAAATTTGGGATCCTTCAGTGGTCGATCATGCCTACGATAACATCTGGACGCCTGGCTTGGAAGCCTTCAGGCGTGAAATGGAAACCGGATCTTTCCAGGCCGCACTGGCGTAACAAAACCCTGCTCTAACAGCTGCTAGTGTTGAGCTACGATTCATAACCAACCTTTCGACCTGCAGCAATTATCTTGTGTCTTTTGCAGACACCAGTGTGTTGAACTATGCTTTACTTGATTTGAGATTGCGGCTAATCTCATTGTTTAATTATCGATGTTTATGATATGGATTGTTGTTTTGTGTTCACCGTCGCGAATATGTGATCACCCCTCTATGGTTGAACAGTTGAACAGTTTCAGGCTTCGAATCGTTTGTGCTCAATGGCTCTAGGCCATTGGATTTGTCTATCTTCCCAGTCACGAATATGTGACCACTCCTCTATGGTTGAACGGTTGAACAGTTTCAGGCTTTGGATCGTTTGTGCTCAATGGCTTTAGCCATTGGAGTTGTCTATCTTCTCGGCCACAAATTCGTGACCGGCTCTATGGTTGAAATGTTTCAGGCTTTGGATCGTTTGTGCTCGATGGCTAGCCATCGAATCTGTCTATCTTGTCGGCCGCAAACCGCAAATATGCGACCGATCCTGTATGGTTGAACAGTTTTTTTACGCTTTGGATCGTCCATGCTCAATGGCTCTAGCCATTGAATCCGTCTATCATCTCTGCTGCGAATATGCGACCGGTCTTCTATGGTTGAACAGGTTTTATGCTTTGAATAGTTCGTGCTCAATGGCTCCGCTATTGAATCTATCTGTCTTTCTCGGCTGCAAATATGTGGCCAGCCTGCGATGGTTGAACAGTTTTTACGCTTTGGATCGTTCGTGCTCAATGGCTTCCGCTATTGAATCTATCTGTTTTGGCTACCAATATGTGGCCAACCTGCGATGGTTGAACAGCTTTTACGCTTTGAATCGTTTGCGCTCAATGGCACTAGTCATTGAATCTGTCTTCACGGCCACGGATTTGTGGCAAGCTCACTATGTCTAAAGTTGCTTAGGTTTTGGGACGTCGTTGTCAACTCAGTTTTCTGCGCCACACGTGGCCAGTCCATTATTGTCAAATGTCGTTAAGGCTATGGATCGTCGTTATTATCTCGCTCTCTGGCCCACATGTTGTGGCCAGCTCACTATGTCGAAAGTTGTTTAGGTTATGGGCCGTCGTTATCATCACGTTTTCTGTGCCACGTATTGTGGCCAGCCTACTATGATCGAAAGTTGTTTAGGTTTCCTGGGTCGTTGGTACTAACTCGTTGTTGTCTGCGCCACGGGTAGTGGCCAGCTCACTTAGATACAATGTTGTTCAGGCTTTGAATTATTGTCTTGTCTGTGGTGGGAATTGTCTTTCAAGGAGTTTATAAGGAGTTTGTGATACCATCACTTTTCTGTCTGGTTTACTTGGCGAAGCATTCCCGGTGTTGTCTATCAGAACCTGCTTCAAATGCATTGAGTGGCATTCTAGCGTCTTTATCATTTTCACAACTTAGGAATATGCAGTATTCAAGTCCTCAACTATCCCTTCTTTGCGGCTTCCTCTGAGCAAACATTCAAGGTCGTGATGGCTGTCTTGCTGGTCGAGATGGGGTTGGCTGCAAGAGCTATGACAGACACAGGATAATTGCACCATTACGAACCGCCAACAAGGTGTGGGATTTCGGTGCATGATGTATTCCATAGGATGTATTACCATATTCACAGCACTCGGTGTGTACTAACTGTATCCCAGGAGTAGCATGGAATGTATTCATCGTGCCGAAGGTGTTCAGTGCGAGTAAAACACCATATTTCAGGGGACTTCCAGGAGCTTTCCAGGGAAACTCCGCCCTACTTCTTCACCATAACTTACACTGTAAAAGGAGATCCGAGAACCTGCCACGAACCTGCCACGAACCATCCACCAGTCACAGCGACGTGCCATGGATCCTTCCCGTACTTGCCCCTGCCAAAGCCAGGGTTATTTCCTGTCCATCCTGCGGAATGACAGTCACAACAACAATCCCGATAATCCCGATGCCGATGCTGCGACCCGATGGTGCTCCCGATGCAAACGGCGCGCCGCGACCCAGGCTCTCCGTCCCCGCCCAAATCCTCCCCCAGATTGGTGGGCCAGCTCTTATTCAAATGACAACCCAGACCCCGTCATCACCGATGATGATCGCTTCTGGTACAGCGACGAGCGACTCGAACAACGACGGGCCAAGCAACGTCGACGCGAACAGAGGGACGAGGCCCTCCGTTTGCAGTGGGCGCTGCGTCAGTATCGCGAGGCCGAACGCCTTCGACTCTTGAGACAGGAGAAGGAACGGGAGCTTGAGCGGTGGGATAGGGACGACGAGCGCGAGCGGCGAGTTTTGAGGAAGGTGCTGACAATGGAGACGAGTGGGGAGTTGAAAGAGCAGTTTGGGTCGTTGGGTTCGCCGGAGCAGACGGATCAAGAGGTGGACTTGTGGTTGCAACAGCAGCGTCAGTTGCAGGAGCAGCAGGAGCAGCAACGAGAGCTGGAACAGCAACAGCAGCGTCAGTTGGAGGTGCAGCAGCAGCAACAGCTAGAACAGCAACGCCAGCAACAGCGTCAGTTGGAGTTGCAGCAGCAGCAACAACAGCAACAACTAGAACGGCAACAGTGGCTACAAGAGCAGCGGCTGCAGCAAGACCGGGATATATGGCTACCGCACCCAGGCCATAACCCACTCCTCCACTTCCAGCAACTGCAGCAACAATGGCGTCAGCAACGGGAAGAGCAACTACAGCAACAGTGGCGACAGCAGCAGCTAGTGCAACTGCAGCAGTCCCAGGGTCGGGTCTTTGGGCCTTGGACTCCATGGCCTTATTAGCTGCCATGGCCATATGGATGTGGTGACATGGGAAATAGGTATTTGACACAATGTGACAGATGATTTTGAAAGAATTGTTGGGTAATATGAGACGATGAGCGGAAAGACAGAGAGTTCTGTTTCTTTATTTGTTGCGTTCTTCATGCACGGCGAGGGGATTGATGTCTTGTACTGTACAAGGGTGGTAAATCGATTGGTTAAGGAATTTATCGTATGGGAAGTAGGTAGACACTGGAAGGCAAATGAGATTGAACATCTATTGGACATCAGATCTATATTGGTAGAAAGATGGTATCAAGATAATAACAGTAGAAAAATAAGACAGTATGATATCAGCTTAATCGAACCCCTCGAACTCGTCATCCTCAGCATCAGCATCGCCCTTGCCCTCAGCGGCCTTGGCTGCACGCCGCAGCCGTCGCTCTTCTTCGTTCTTCAGTCGGAGTTGCTCCACCATCTGCTCGGTATCCCGGGCCTTCTGCCGCTCTTCCTCCGTCATCTTCTCCCACCGGGTATGTTGGGCCCGTGCCTGCTTCACCTCTCTGCGTTTCTGCTTCTTGTTCCGCGTTTCGAGGTTCTTGCTCCAGGCAGCACTGTCGGTGGCCCGGCGCTTGTTGGAGGATTCGTCTCCTTCGTTCGCCGCCGCCTGCTCGGCTCTCTCCTGCATTTCTTCCTTCCGGCGCTTTTCCCGTTGCTTGTCCTTGTAGGTGTAGTTGTCCCAGTCCAGCGTGACGCCCAGGGTCCGGTCGCCTGTGAAGGACCGGAGCTCGGGCATCTTCGGCAACTTCAGCAGGCCCCACGCCTTGCCCAGCGCCTCCCAGTCGACGTCAGCCACGCGGAAGATACTGCTGGCCTGGTGCTTGCTGTAGCTTCGGAGCCAGCTGACGAAGGCCTTCTGTCCGCGATCGTGAAGGGTGCGATCTGCGAGAACGGCTTTGCGGGCCTTTTTGGTGGCTGCTGTGGCATCGGTGTCGGAGAAGGTGATGGACTTCGGGTAGTGGACGACAGGCGTTTTGCGGACGTCGAGGAAGGAGACGTAATCTTCCTCGCGGCCGGGGTGGAGAAGAACCACGCTCAAACCCTTCCGGCCGGCGCGTCCGGCACGGCCACAGCGGTGGATGAAAGTCTTTGGGTCGGAGGGAGGGTCGATCTGGACGACGAGGTCGACGGAAGGAATGTCCAGTCCCCGGGATGCAACATCGGTGGTGAGTAGAATGGCGGGCGTGTGGCAGTTGAGAAAGCGGTTGAAGTTCTTTTCACGGACGTTGGCTTGGTGTTTGCCGTGGAGAGGAATTAGTTGGAAGTCATCGCCGAGGACTAGTGGCAGGATGCCCGCGAGATAATCGACTCCGGAGCAGGTGGAGACGAAGAAGATGGTTTTCTGAGGAGTGGGTTCAATGGAGCGGAGGAGGGCAGGTAAGACAGCGAATTTGTGTGCGGGAGGGGTGGTAAGATAGGTCATTTGAAGACTGGGTTTATATCGTTAGCAGTGCTATTGCGGATGTTCTAAAACGTTGTCTGGTTCAACTAACCTGGCCGGTGTCCGTTTGTCCTGGGCTCCTGAGGTGCCCTTGACTTTGACCATGACCTTGACCGGATTGCGCAGACCGACGCGGACGATCTGGTCGACAGCCTCACTGATACTGGCACTGAATAGACCAGTGCGTCGTTGCTTGGGAAGTCGGCGCAGAATGTTCTGAAGTGTGTCCTTGAAACCCAGATCCAACAATCTGTCGGCCTCGTCCATAACAAGCATTTCAAATGAGGACTGAGGGCAATGTACGTGGGGAGAAGAGAGTAATTCCAGCAACCGCCCTGGAGTCGACACCAATACATTCGGGGACCGTTTCAAGAAGGTGCTCAAATCCTCCGCGGGCGTCGTTGAACCACCCAGGAGAAGCTGCGGGACAACCTTGAGGGCGGAGGAGAGGTGTTTAGGAGGAGGCGCATCGGCGTCTTCGGCGGGATTGAGCACTGAGGCAGATGGAGGATGGAAGGCAAGCAAAGAGGTCAGGACATTGTAGATCTGAGTGGCGAGTTCTCTGCATAGATTATTAGCGCTCCAATCGTATACCTATCAGACTCTCCTGCAACAAAGCTTACCGGGTGGGAGAGATAATGATTGCGCCGACATGGTGCTTCTTGAGAGGTTCTTCCAGGCGCAAAAGCTTCTCAACGACTGGAATTAAGAAGGACAACGTCTTCCCACTGCCAGTGACTGCCTCGACCACGACATCCTTATGCGCCATGAAAAGAGGAATGGCCGATGCCTGCACGGGGGTCATGCGCGTGAAACCCATAGAGGAGACAGCATCGAGCACCCATTCCGACAGAGGAGGCGTCACTGCATCCCACGCTCTGGCAGATGTGCCTGGAGGAGGTTTGGGGGCCATGCTGAGTCCGGTGCCTGGCGTTGGAATTCCCCGGAAATTTGCTAACAGATCGAACACCTCACAATGCTTTCAATCTTTTCTGTTAAGATCCAAACCTCCAGTTTTTTTCCTTATCGATTAGATATCGGAGGCGGTGGAGGCTTTCTGCCGTGCATACACGTGACCGCCTGCGGATTCGGCGGAAGCCAATCGGTTCAAGGCTGAAATCGAAGCTGAACGAAAGTCTGGATATGCCCATCATTCTTCCTCAGCTCTGTCCTAGTTGCTCTCCTTTTGGCGCGTTTCAGTCCTCTTGACTCCCCTATGTGCAAAGCCAGCCCCTAGAGTGACATGTCAGTCCTTTGCTAACTGAGGAACGTCATGCGCAACGGTTTGTCTGCCTGCACTGTACATACGACCGCAATCGACGCTGGCTGCCATAAGCCACCTTCCCTCGTCATCGCTGCACCTATTTGTCGCTCCACCCGCCCATCATTGCGTCGTTAGAAGCACTCACACCCCCTACACTGGGCTCTTGTACCGCCCTCTTCATCTACCTATCTCCACGACCTCTGTCCGGAGTCATCCTCAAACCGGCTCTTCCACCTTTTGTCCTTCCCGCGGTCGAGATGTCCACCAACCATGATGCCATTCCCGAGACTCCTCGAGTGATCTCGCCCTCTCCCACCCCGTCAGACCCGAGATCGAGCTCGCGAGACTATCTCGGACCTACCACGCGCTCCGCCGCGCGGCGACAACGGCTCGGTGAAGTGACAGAGGAAACCGATGGCGACGCGGATGCGAATCTCAAGCGCTCACGGGCTCGTTCTCGAAGTCCTGCCAGCCCAGAGTCAGCGCGAAAACGCAAACGCAAGTCAAACCCCAGGTTACCCGCTGGTCAAGCCAAGTCACCAAGTACGAACGGTTATACCACACCTAGCAATGGTTACTTATCGCCATTAATTAAACCCGGTGGCACTTGGCATACCATTTCGCGATCTCCATCTCCTCTCGGCTTGATTCCTCTTCACAGCCGTTATCGAAGCTTTATCCACCGACATGAAATCCCGCGCAAGCTCCTACACGTCTCCATCGGCTTCCTAACGCTACACTTATACACACGGGGCATCCAGCCGCTTCAAATCACTCCATGGCTCTTTGGTGCTCTGGTTCCGATCGCTACTGTCGATATAATTCGGCATCGTTCAGAGACAGTCAATAAGATTTACATTCGCTGTGTGGGTGCCCTGATGCGTGAAACAGAGGTCTCCGGCTACAATGGCGTTATCTGGTACCTGCTGGGCGCCTATGCTGTCTTGCGCTTCCTTCCCAAAGATATTGGCGTCATGAGCGTGCTACTACTTAGCTGGTGTGACACTGCTGCTTCCACCTTCGGCCGTCTCTATGGCCGACATACCCCTCAGCTCCGCAAAGGCAAGAGCTTGGCCGGGACTTTGAGCGCCTGGCTTGTCGGTGTTATCACTGCTGCCGCGTTTTGGGGCTTCTTCGTCCCCTATATTGGGACTTTCCCCAATGATCCCGAAGGCTCTTTCATGTTCACCGGACGTCTCAATCTGATTCCGGGCCCCGTTAAGAGCCTGCTCGGGTGGACCGCAAGTACCTCCAGCGCTGTCCTGTCGGGTCCCCTAGCTCTTGGAGTCATGAGCGTCGTTTCGGGCTTGGTGGCCGCTGGCAGCGAGTTCATTGACTTGTTTGGCTGGGATGATAATTTGACGATCCCTGTCCTTAGCGGTGTCGGCTTGTGGGGCTTCCTGAAGGTCTTCGGTTAAGACGGCTAGATTTGAAGTCTTCAATGCGGTTGGCGTGAGCCCTATTTCTCTTCCCTGTTCTATATGCCCTTACTGTTTTTTCTAGAGGAGAAATGGCACCTGATCATCCTTTTGTTTCTGTGTCCATATGAAGCGCAGCTGTTGTTTATCTTTAATCCTTCTCCTACTCGCCTCCTACATATTCTCCCCTATTGCCATTCTTCTCATTCATTCCAGCGTTACTGAGCATGGAATGCTGAAACGTTTGGGCTGATGGCTAGGCTAATATACATGGAATGAGGTTCCTCATGATAGATAGATGTTTTCAATTCGCGATACCTGGGTGCTTGCAATCGATACCAACTTTTTCTAATATAATGCCTCTCATCTAGGCGCATGTTACATGGCACAGTTTATCAAGTATTGCTTAATCGATCTATGACTCAATGATTCACCAAGGGCGCTTTGGTTAAAATGAATAGCCGGTATTTCAGGCTGGTACATGCCAGTTCTATGGCGAGGATATCTATGCATCATAAATACTTCCCAGATTAACTGAAAGCTCCATTCAAATCACCGTAACCAACCACATTAACATTAGGAGAGATAGAAGCACTCCAACTCTCAAGTTAATACCCTCTGTGACAGTAGTATTCCCTATTAGCGTATATACGATCTAATGAATCACTTCACTCCTCGTGGAGTGTCAATCGCAACATTGGAAAGACCATCGTCTCTCCATTTCGCCTCTTCTCTTCCTTCGCCTAACCAACCTTTCATCTCATTTAGCAAAACCAGCCACCGCTGCTTCATATCCTGGTTTTATTCTAGCGTACATCCATGGCGTTTTCATTTTAAGAACACTTCCTGCGATGCCTCGCTGTGAAACGACTACTGAGCTCCATGATTACCCAGTATACAGAGACGGTTTCGCCATCTGCGGGCTCTAGCAGACGAATCTCTCAAATCATTCGGACAATCCTATTTTAGAGCCCGTCTCTCACGCTCGAGGTGTGCTCGTCGATATTATGTTTCACACGAGCTGAGGACATGATTCCTATTTCTGCCACCCGCTTGCACAGGCTTGCTTCTCTTTCGCCGTGGGATATCTTCCCAACCATGGTTTCTGATAGCGATATTCCCAAACCCTATTCGCTTACACAGTATCTTGGAGCTCTCTTTTCATGTCGCGTTCACCGTCCATGCTCATCCCCATAAGAAAACCAATTATCGTCAAAAACTGGGCCTGTCAGCCGTCGAGTATGCGTCCGAGACTGAGGTAAATTGTACCGGCCCCCGACACCTTCCCTTCTTATCGTGAGGCCTAGCATTTAGCAGAGCTAGCATACTATCAATGGAACCCAGCTTCTCTCTCATTTCTGATCCCATTGCCTGTAGGCTGCCACAGGGATCGGCCTGCGAAGTAAAACCCGCCTCACCGGAGAGGCTTGCTGTCGCGTGGTGATATGGTAGAAAGCTGCTTCATTCTAGAGGCTGTAATCCTCGACATACTTAATAAGGGTCAAGACGCAATGAACCTTCGCGAGAAGAACGACGAGGCTATATGCTTAAAGTACGCAACTCGAGAGGGACATCGTAGCTTACGAAGAAGCATTCGCGGAGGCAGTTCAAAACCCGGACGACATCAAAGCTTATCTAGCTGTAAATACCTGATGTCAAATCACGAGATAGTATAATTACTTGCGTGTATTCTCTACAGCAACTTACTAACATGGATATCGGGAAGGTTATAGCGGCATTATTGCAGGAAATCAGCGCCGACGAAGCTGATAACCCCGACAAAGAAGAAATGGTACTGGCAGAAATAACAGGGAAACAATAATACTCACGCCGCAAACCCCTGAATACAAGAACATATCACATTTATTTACATTTCTTTTCTACTTCTTGATTCTACACGTTACTTTGGATTTTACATCGCCCTATTCTTAATTTCCCCAATTGCACCGTGTACACGCTCTTGACTATACGTATTACTGCTGATTTTACACGTTGCTTCCTTCTATATACATTATCTACGTCCAGATTATACTGTGCCTTCGAGGGGGGGGCTGTTACGTATACATTACGGAATATAAGACATAGTATCAATTGCGCCTCCCCGAGGCAGCCTCTAAAGTAAAGCAGCCTTCACCACCACGCGACATTTGCGACTGAGCGACGCTATATCTATTGCTTATACTGAGGAGAGCTATGAAGATTCTGATTGTTGAAATTAGTGACCATGAAGACGATGATGAGGAAGAGGATGCCCTGAAATATAGTTTTGACGCAGATGTTAGTGACCACGGTGATCAGGATAAAGGATTTTATAAAGATTATACGAGTTGATCCAGTTGTTCGCCATGATACAGATGCATGGCAGCTCTTCCTCATTCCTCCACTGGGCTTCATTCATTGATTTCAACATTCCAGCATTCGAATTCCGGCAAGTGCATACACTAACTATCGACACCTGAACTTCATCCTTACAACCATTACCATACTTGATTCACCAGTCCTAGACTAGTCCTGTAGTCAACTCCAGCCCAAGCCTCTCCACCTCCTCATCACTCAGCAATCCCAACCCCAAGAGCTCGTTATCCAGATCCTGGTCCCTATACTCAGCTCCAAACTTGCCACTGAAGAATGCCGCCAGAAACATTGCCGGTAAAAGCGCCGGGTCAGGATTCTTCTGCAGCATTGCCATTGTACGGGCAAGCTGCTCCTCCGCGTCCACATTTGTCTCGGTCCACTGCTCGCCGGCCGTCCACTTCCTGGCAAGATTGTAAACCCTGCGCTGCGTAAGCACAGCGTCATGCACGCGAACAACGCGATTCCTAGTCTCCTCGAGCTTTTGCAGCGCTCCAACCACCGCCTTCGCAACAGTGCTCGTCCGACTCACACTGAACGCATGCACGCCCCCATCATAGAGACGCACAGCGCGATGTGCAAGATCCACAGCAACAGGCAGTGTGAAAATCCGTTCAAGCAACGCGCCCACGGCAAAAATCGTATGCTCGATCTGAGTGTCTCTCTCACGGAGATAGTTCTGGATCGCCACGGCCGGAGCGTGGCAGGGGAGCTTCTGCGCCGCGCCGGAGGGGTCCGAGCAAATGGCGCCGTAATCAGCCGGGATAAAGCGCGTCACCCCGACCGCGATGCTCGCGTCAATGATGAGTTTCTGGAGTGGAATCGCGGCCGGGGTTAGGGTTGAGATCACGATGTCATGGCCCTGGAGGGCGGATTGGAGGCTCTCGAGTGAAGAGTAGTCAACTTGTTTCAAGGTGATGCCGACGGGAAGAGTAGCGGCGGTGCTTGTGGAATCTGAGCGCGTGAGGACTGTCACGGTGAACCGGGCTCTGAGGAGTTCGTCCAGGACGATGGAACCGAGGGAGCCTCTCTGGATGCTGTTAGGGGAGATACTAGAAAATGGGTGGTCCGTGATAGTGGGGAACATACCCCGAGGAGGGCGACTTTCTGAAGGGTCGACATTTTAAGGGGTTCTCTAGGTATCAGATCATGCACCTTTGGGTGGGAAATCTTGCTGAGGTGCTCACCCTGGTGGGAAAGAACTGCCTTTATATACGTTCATCTCTAATAAGGTGGGTATAGATAGTATAGGGCATTCATTCCCCGCCCCGAGCCCTTTGATGAAACTATATCTGAACAGGAAGCTTACTCGTGAATTAGCACCGAATATGAACCAATCACATCTGTGATCCACTTTTAAGCTCATCCCCACTTTGGTGAGATATAAGCAGCCAAATGACGAGCCTCTTAACTATTCTGTCCTGGTTAATCTCCTCCAGAACAATGGCTAATCGCAATCGGGGAAGTCTATCGTGCGAGCACTGCCGCCGCCGACGAATCAAGGTGCGTCCTCTGCTCTGTTCGTATGATATGATCGCTGACTTGTGCAATCACCAGTGCAACCAGCTCCGGCCGCGATGCTCACAATGCGCAAGAGCAGGCCTTTCCTGCTCCGGATACAGGGCCCCGCTGGACCTCCTATTCCGAGACGAGACTACAACCGTCGCGCGCAAGGTTCGCAAAGGAAAAGAGGACAATTCAGATGCTGACTACAGCGACCTCTCAGATATCTTCTCCCAGCTGAATCCATCCTTGGCTTCCAGGATCCACTCCATCGAAGTTGATGTCGCTTGGAATTATTACCTTGAGAATTTCAACGTCACGCGTAACAAGCGTGATTGTTTCCCCACGCTAACACTAACAAGTTCGTCGACGGGGGTTGCAAGCGTGACGGCCGTCGGTCTAGCCGGGCTGGCTCTTCTTCGTCACGATGTGCACATGATGCAACTTGCCAGGCAGAAATATTCTATGGCATTGAGGCATATGGGCCATGCGGTGCTCGATCCACAGCAGCTGCGGAACGGGACGTTGGCAACCGCGAGCTTCAATCTGTCCATGTTCGAGGTAAGTACTGTACATAGATCCCGCCCTCTTGCCCCTGAAGATGTGATTTCTAAATCGATTGAGGGATGTAGATGATCGTTACCGATGGTGTGGATGCGGCGCCATATGCATGGCTGAAGCATATCCATGGGACGGCTGCGTTGATGCGAGCCATGCATATGCCGACCAAAGGGGGTCTTTTCAATACCGCGGGGTGCTTGCAAATCGCCTTCGCTATTGTACGTATCCATATGTAACCCCCCCCCCCCACAACTTTCCACTGTGTTGTAGACTAATCAAACTAGACTATGGGCTGTCTCATCAGCGAACAACCTGTTTCTCCAGACATAGTCAGCCTTGTACAGATATACGCGAATAGCTCGCCCTTCATTGGGCTGTTTATCCTCCTTAGCGACTTGGTAAATCTATACGTACAGGAAAAGAAGGCTCATTATGGGTCTCAAAGCGCCACTGCCAGAGCCTTAGCATCTATCGACGCAGAGCTCACCAGCTGGGAAAGTCGACTCCCACCCCTCTGGAAAGACTCTCCCATCACGCGAGGTGTGCCAAATGATCAAGGCTCAACCTGGGTTCCCAGACTATGGGGTTACTACCGAGTCTGCCGAATGCTTGTGCACAGGGTATTCCTCGACGCCACCCACCCGTCGCCTGGCCGAGAGCAAGTCTCACATGGCATCCTTAAAAGCCTATGCAGCGATATATACGCAAGTGTCCCATCTATACTACGGCAATGTTTCACAGATGACCACCCGGACCCCGGCCCCGGATTAACGTCGGACGTGTTTTTCCTCGTCACGATTCTACAGGCGTTGTCGACGCTGACGGCGAGGAACGAGGTTGTTGAGAATTGGGCTACACCGGCAACTGAGGAGTTGGGAGAGGGGTTTGTTCCCTTGAAGGCGTTCGTGGCGAGGCATCTGGGTTGACTATCATGGCTTGCGATGGTCGTATTCTTTGCGCACCGCGTGGAGGAAACAGGTTTACGAGTGCTTCTAAATAATCTGGGCTGGTTCGGGGTTCCGGACTAGAGGAAATAAACAAGCAATACCTCCTTTGAATAGTGGAGGCGTATCCGTAATTCTCTTGAGTACCTTTACCCATCTGCCAGTAGGGGATGCGGACATACTTGAGCATTTGATCTCAAGGACAGAGTGCTGATGGATAGTTGTGAAAATAACTATGATTATCAAGTTATGCAAATCATCTAGTACATACGACCACAGGGTGTGGAAAACAGGGCTTCCCGTCCGCTCAGCCGTACTTAAGCCACACGCCGGGAGGTTAGTAGTTGGGTGGGTGACCACCAGCGAATCCCTTCTGTTGTATGTTTTTTTATTCTATGTACTAGTTTAGTGCCTTGATGTTTCTGGAACGATGAACATTTATACCGGCGGCAAATCTACAGCCCTCTTCACCGACGCAGGAATCTAACTGTTAGAGAAGTTGTTCCAAGCCAGTGCACCACTGCCGATCCCTTCCGGCTACATTATTGGCACATACAGCTGGTCATCTCCACATTCGGGGGGGACGGGGGGTAAAATGATTCGCAATCTTGGAAAGACCTTGATCAGCACAGCTACAAATAGATAATAAAAAGATTATCTATATATATAACCCAATCTATAATTCAGCTAGTATAAGATAAGAGATTATTATAATATACTATGATAAGTTAACCCAAAAAGATTTTAGTGTAAATAAAATAATAAAATAAACTATAAAGACCTACTATATTTTAAATCTAAGGAAAAAAAGGACTCGTATCCGAAGAGTGGCAAGGAACCAAAATGCCGAAAACCCAGGCAGAGGAACTGCGCATCTGTGTGGTTGTCTAGGGGCTCTTTTCAAACCATGGATTATTCGTCCCGCCTGTCATGTCAATCATCACGGAAAATCGATGAGGTTCGTTGCACTACAGGATCTTGTGACCTGGCCCCTTGGTCAAGAGGCGCCATTCGATGTTCCTTGTTGGAATCAACTATAGGATCCGACTTAAGGAAACCTTTGATTGTGCCAAATATCTTGAGCCAGGACAGGGAGACGACACTCTGCCTTCATACATTTCATGTGCGAGCGGATATTGCCACAGATGCATAGAATATTCTATGGTTCGAACACCGAGAAGAATTTCTAAGATGAAGCAATCATAACGCTACTTGCTGTTGGGGACGGATGAGCTTGACTGAGGTTAACAACCTATTTCGAAATTATTCATACTGTAAGGATGTTTATGCTATCATTTATGTGAAACAGGTAACTATATATCTTACTACTACATTCGCGGCGGCCAAACAAAGATAGAAAAGAACAAACAGATAAAAGGTCGCCCTTTACTGGAGCTCCGTCGCATATTAAGAGATCAAGACTCTTCCAAATTCCATAGAAACATAGTCTTTATAGATAAAAGAAATAGAGCTTTAATTAGATAGGTATACATATCACAAGACTTATTATAAAAAGATTAGGTGGGTAAAGATCTTTAGATAATCTCCGTGTATTAGCGGGTAGCTGTGCAAGATATACTGATTGTCAAACTACTATTGAGAGGTCTCCTACTACATTATAGTACATGATTTAAGCTTCAGCTGGTTTATTGGGTCCATTACAATGCTTATATTAATTGTCAATACCTGCTGTTCTATGAGGCTTACCCCTGATATGATACTTCCCGCTAGATATGTGAGGATAACCAGGCGGGTAAAGGAAAATAGATGCGGTGACAGAATGGAGGTTATTGAAGCTAGTTGTTGGAAGAAGGGTGAAAGAACAGAGAGGGGTCACCAAGGTATTATACTGTACTGTAATAGTGAGGGCTTGATCGTCGATAGATATCAGTGTAGAGGTGTAATGATTGAGATGATCTATTTATGGCAGCACAAGTAGACGTATGTGCGAATGACATTGTGAGCAATTTCTGCTTGCCCTACTAGTAGAGCAGGGCTGGTATACGCTATTGTGCATGTATACATTACCTTACCGCTGCTGCTTCAAGTTCAAGATAGAAGATCAGATGTGAAAGGAGGGCACAGCTACAATAATACTTCTTCGATTGTCTCCAGGTAAAATCGGCAGTGCTAGTATCAGCGGACGGATGTATGTATACATGCCTGTAACCACTCACAAGCAGACACATGGCCGTACCGCTGCCGTGTCAGTGAGGAGACAAAGGATGGGAATCCTAGCAGTCACACGATGTTCCTGGGAATTTAGTATTTCCTACTACCAGGGCTACTAAGGTCATTAGTGGTATTGACATTTGTATCGATATTAGCTCCAGTCACAGCCTCATATTCGCCCAAGAAGGGACTATACTGCTTAGAATGATGAATTAGTCAATGGATTCTTAGCTAGAAGTTATAAGTGCAATAGTTTTATACCTTGTTCTCTTAGAATGTTTCAGATAGTATTCTGTAAACTGGTTGATCGTTGCTTTTAACAGCTAGTAGATATCTCATGCTTGCCGCTCAAATGAGTCGGGCCTTTTACTCCGTGGTCTCAACTTACTGCCGGTCATCTTATTGGGTAGACTAATTTATCTAGACTAGTAATTTACAGTCAACTTATGGCCCGAGCGGCTACGAAACGAGGTTACAAGGTAAATAAGATCTGAGCGACCGACTCCCGCCGGAGGAAAATTAGAACCATCCTACTCTTTGAAGTATTTGTTACAGGATGAGCTTATGGATAACCAATGACATATCCAAATCGGATTATGGATCAATCTAAGCCTGTTATGCGTCGTTCTGAGAACCTAACTGTCTCCAATCCTAAGCTTTGAGGGCCGAAGACGCGCCGAACTGAGTGGGGAACCCCCACTACTGTAAAGTACAATACAAGGCTTATTACCCCCGCTTTCTTTTGTTGTTTGGGGTGATGGGGGATTATCCGAAAATACCCGCGAACTTCGATCTAGAATCGCTATTTTTCAGCCGCGATCCCGTGTTCGAAATGATGTTTCTTTTTAACGATAGGTGTAAATGATCATAAAATGTGGGACTACCGCAATCTTGTCCGGCAACCATTTGTAGGACCCTTGTTAGAAAGCATGGGTCGCAAATACAAGTCCAGTGTTTTTGGTCGATGACCTGGATATTGAGTGCAATCGGACTTTTTCTATTAATTTTTCTGGTGGCAGGCTAGCACGGCCTCGAGGCGCTGGGCCTGGAGGCTTTGAAGGGTTAATACATCGCCTGCCTCCGCTCATGGACTACACGTGCGACTCCTAGTTTCTCCTTTTCATTCTGACACAACATAAACATTTTGAATTCGGGGTCGAGTTTTCGAATTCAACATCTCTGAATGCAAGACCATGGCTGACAATAATCCTCGAGGTCTGCTGCAGTCTGTGCTTGGGTTCTTCGCAAGAAAACGACCCGAAAGCTCCGCGCAGCCCGGGTCGTTGAGTTCGCGGACACGCGAAGCCTGGCTTCGGACGGATGCATATTTGCAACATGATGCCGATGAATTAGACGAGGTTGAGCCTGATCGTCTTGCAAGGACGCTTCGTGTACTTGAAGAATATGTTCAGTACGACTCTGACCGAGAACCAGATTGTGTAAGCGCTCTTTACATACAGTTAGGTCCAGTCTTTCAGCCCCTCACTTCCTGCCTACTAACACAAAGTAATGCACCAGAGCTTGCGACGAGACATGCCGTATCCGAAACTTCAGGCGATGCGCAGCATAATCGAGCGTCCGAGTCACGATTCGCATTCTAGTCCAGGGACGACCATTCGCGTGAGTAAACGGAGACGGGAAAGTGATGCTGTCATTCAGGAACTGTCGTACTTGTACAATGAGGGCAAGAGACGCCGAGTTCTGCGTCGTGAAGAGCCAACTACTTGCGAAAATTCCGAAGACCCTGAGGCCGACTTCGCTGTACTGATGCGGAAACATTTGGTATCCCTAGACAACGCGTTACGAAGAGATTGGGTCTGTGTTTGCCATAACTGCTCAGGATTGAGCGTTCGACTCTCCCTGCCACAACATGAGAAGGGTCTGAAGCTTGATACGTGCTTCGAAGTGTTTTTTGGCGTACGGTCTCTTCTTGCAATAGAATTGCAAGAGGCTAGAATAACCGTCAAGTAAGTTTTCAAAGCTGTTTGCAACAACCTTTCCTGACTTATTCTCGACAGAGACGTACAAAACCATAGCCTGAGGAGCACATCTGATCCTTTGAAAAGCGGCGCGTCCAACTTTACCCACATATGCCAGAGCATTACAGGTTCCCTTGGCCAGGCAAATTGCTTGAACCTCGCTCTTGAGGATGGGAGATTTCGGGAGCTTCATCCGCAACCGAAGACCTTTGGAAGTAATCAAATGGCTGGCACAGTTTCTTTGTCGACATTATTCAAGCGTCAACAAGAATTACGTGGTGGTTCGTCGGCATTGCCACTAAAGGGGAAACGAATCTTAGCTGTGACACTGGCTACCGCGCTTCTTCCGTTTCTAGAAACACCATGGCTACAGCCTTCCTTTAATCACTCAAAGATTCAATTCTTCGAGCCACTGCAGAGTGGAGAACTACCTGACATCACAAAACCTTTCCTTGCCATGGAGCACATTCCAATTCTCTCAGCCCGCAATGAAGACACTGGGGTCGGTTCTGGCAAGTCCAAACACATGGTGCATCCCAATGCCAGCGTGCTAGCACTGGGCATACTCTTGTGCGAGCTTCATTATTGTACACCCGTGGAGCTGATGCAAAAGGAATCGGGCGCCGCTAGGAACGTCAATACAGACTATTATACCAGTCTTGAGATGCTTAAATCTCTAGAAGTCGAGGTTGGCGTGGATTACTATCTCGCTATCAAGGCATGCCTGCAGTGGGAGTACTACCCCCCTGGACAGCAGGCTGATTTCGAATCTGTCAGTGTACAGCGGCTCTTTTATCAGAATGTTGTCAAAAGACTTGAGGCTGAGATTTCCAAGTCGTGGGGACTTCGATTGGAAGACCTGGGTTCATTTGAGTCACGAGCGAATGAGCTCTGCTGGGGTTCTATTGGCCGAGAAGTTTTTCGCCATCAAACAGGCAAGGCAGATCCATCTGATACAAATAATCAAATCCAGACAATCTCCTATCGTTCTATTCCTGACGTCACGCCTGTGAGCCACATATCATTCAACCCGGATATGGGTTTACAGATGCCGACACACCCTTCTTTGAAGCCGCAATCTTCTGCCGGACCTTTTGTCGCGCTTCCAGAAAAAAGCTTCTATTTCTTTGACGCAAGCCACCAGGCGGGTTGCGAACAAGCGTAAGGTGTCTTCACAGCTTTCACGAGGCTTCATCGTTCTAATAAGCTGACAGGAGTCAACTTTCGCGACAATGGATGGATCGTCTTCTGTATTCGATCAATCAGCATGTTGACCCCTACCAATCAAATAAAGCCGAACGCAGATTCGAACCGGTGCGAATAGCGATCCTAGACTCCGGTTTTGATCCTGACAATCCACTTCTAAGGGCCGAGGATGGACGACTAGACCCACGGATCAAGGCTGCGCAAAGTTTCATCGCTGAAACAGAACCAAACGACATTCGAGACGAGATTGGGCACGGCACTCATGCTCTTGGACTTCTACTCAAAGTTGCCACATGTGCTGAGATTTATATCGCCAGAATTGCGCATCGAGAGACGCTAGATCGTAGCACCTACGATGACATTGCAAGGGTAGGATTGGCTCTATGCAAAAGCTGATTTTTTGAAGGATCTGACCGTCCATTCAGGCAATTAATTATGCAGTTTCCGAATGGAAGGTGGACATTATCTCTATGTCATTCGGGATCCGTGAATTGAGCCAGCCAATAAAAACAGCCGTTTCTGATGCTATACACAGTCAGACGTTGTTATTCTCTGCGGCATCGAATGACGGAGCGAACTTCGGCCGGGCCTTTCCAGCAAAATTTCCCGGCGTCTTTTGTATCCACTCAACTGATGGAAATGGCAATCCTTCCATGTTCAACCCGACAGCAGACGACAAAGACGTCAACTTCAGTTTACTTGGGGAGCATGTCTCCTCGCACTGGCTAGTCGGCAAGGATGACCACGATCAACCTGTAAAAGTAATGTCAGGTACATCGGTCGCCACTCCGATAGCCGCTGGGCTAGCAGCTTCGGTTCTGTCGTTTGTCCGGCAGCAGGACTCACTCACCAATCCAGGAAATGAGTTACTGGGGCCGTGGCTGCAAGGTGCTGATTCAATGGATGCGGTTTTGAAGAGTATGGCCAGGCATACACGAGGCGCAGGCTATGACTATCTCACACCCCACGTACTCTTTGATCGAAGTTCCACACGGGAGCATGTATATGAGAAGATAAAGGACATTAAGAAACGTATGTATACCTAGAAATCTATCAACAATCCAGTCTAGAATTGAGCTCAGCACGGTCAATCGGGGTCTCATTTGTATTGTAGCATATCTAAGCGGGGACACAAAAGACATTGCCGTTCTCGGTCACATCAAAAACGGTTTGAGCAGTCCCGATGTCTGACCCGTTCACTTCCTCAACCAAAATAGATTCGTCGTCTTCCTGTTCTCCACCAACGGCGAGAAATGCGCCCTTGTTGTACTCTTCAACCTTAAGTCTCCGCCCGAATCTTAGCCTTTTCACGCGGAATGCAAACACAAACTCGGATTCGCGACTGAGTTCTGTCTCATCGTCATTCGTGCTGACCCAGTGACCTTTGGGGCCCATCGATGTACCCAGCGCAGTCACGTCAAAACCAATGTTACCTCTGACTGTTGTACTTTGCGAAGTAGAGTACTTGATTCTGGCGCCTCTGACGAGTTTTATGCCCGTGACGAGAAAGAGCGAAACAACGGGGGCAAATTTCTGTTTGGGCTCCCTCAGCCACGTTTGCACGGCGGGTGCTTTGATGGCTTCTTCTATATATTCCTGCGTTGGCTCAAAGGATATAGTTGTCACCGTGTCAAATGCGAACACGGTCGCCGTTTTTTTAGCATTCTCGATGTCCACCTCAGGTCCGAGAGGCAATCCGCCGGTAGCCAACTGCAGAAACTGGGCATAAACACCGCAACCGAACCCTTTCTCGGTTGAGATGGTCCTCTTCCAGTCGGTCTCCACGACCGGCGGGAATGCCTCGGCCACGGCAATTGGTTTCGCTCTATTAAGAGGGTATTGCGGCGTTGATGTGGAGCGAAGTATAGATCCAAGAGATAGCGGACCCACTGGCGGTGGATGGATAAAATCCGACGTTGGACACAGGAAATACGTCTTTGTGAAAGACATGACTCTCAGCGGTAGGGTGACAGGTTCTTCAGGTCAACACTTTTGACTGTCAGTAGGTCGCGCACACTGAGCACAGTAAGCGCAGGCTTGAAACAGAAGAGTGTATTGCCAGGGGCTCCAGATTTGATGGGCATTGTGACAATTTGATCCGGATCTGATCAGAAGGGGTGGGGTCGGTTCAAAGCACAGGTGACGTGAGCTTGACCCGACTTCATCACAGTCTACTATGTAATTTGTCCCATCTGCCCCTTTTTCTTGACATAAGTAGTCTCAATCGCTCGAAGATCAGTCCACCAATCAGCCAATCGCAATGGTTGTCCATCGGCCGGAGAACCACCACTCGCCGCCATCCATTTACTAGCTCGTACGTTTGGGCTGACTCTGACATGATCGTGTATTAGTTAGGTTAACTTATTTTACTAGTTACCTACCTAACTTACACTTGTTTTCCTCGGTCTCGCCGAATCGCGTCAAAAGCTACTACCTAGTTTCCGGTCCATGCGTTGTGGGACGCCACTTGTAACGCAAACCCCGGCACAAGTACAGGACTGTACAACTCAGCCGAAACCAACACACATGGCGGGATCTCCTTATCTGACCCTTGGGGATCCATACGACATATCTGGGCACCTTGGTCGCAAACATTGGGCCAGCAATCTGTCTGTCGGAAAATATCACCTCACAAGCACCGGGGGGGCGCGCAGATTCCTGGTTTTTTGACGGACTCAGAAAAGACCTGCCGGACCGCTTGCACCGCACTGCTTCTCGCCATGGACACTCTAGGTCGCGGGGAAGATGCAATGATGGAAGACATCTTCCTACAAGACGATCTTCACCCGACTATCGCAGAGCACGCAACAGAGTGCAACTCGCTTTTCCACCGATATATGGTAATGCCAGAAATCGTGCCGGATCCTACTATTGTCGATGATCAGCTGGCCCGATTTACCTTGTGGGCATCAAACATGGATGTGTATGGTCCGCTCAATGTTTCGTTGGACTACCGGCTCAGATTCAGTCCCACAGTCGTGGACATAATACATCAGCTCCTGGGCCTCATTTGTGATACGCTGAAGTCTTGCAAGTACCTGTCGCTCCCAGATTTCGACAGACCAAGCGTTGGAAAAAATCAGTCTATGCTAACGAGTATCTTTGCAAAAGTGAAACCGATCGATGAGCCCCCGCCGACCCCGAGCAGGAAAAGGCAGCGCATATCAGAACAAAGCAATAGGGAAGACAGGATCAGGAGAGGCGACAACGACGCAAGCGACTCCGACAGCGACGTGGATCCAGCAGAAGACAATATCTCGAAAATTACCGATATAATCGGCGGAACAGTGACACGGCTTTTTCGTCTAAACAATGCTATTCGAAAGTCCGCAAAAGCGGACCGGGCGCGTAAAATCGAAAGATATAGAGCAGATGAAGACGCAAATAGGGTGATAGCGGAACTGCGTCATTACACAGAATGCTATATTCGTTTTCGTTTTCCAATGGCACCGGATGCCCTGCGCTCAGCACTGGTCGAAGCCAATGCAATGCGCCTTCGACGACTGTATTATCAGCGGTCCCATCGAAGGCGCATTGGACTGAGTGTGCAGAGTCCGCGAAATGCCCCTGCCGTTCAACTGCCGAAGATAAAAGAGAGTGCTACAACTGTACATTTTGATTTGAGCATGCTTCCTAAGCCTGCGACAAACAAAACGATAAAGGGAGCAGCACGCGCCCCACCGGTGCCAGTAACCAATGCAACTACCGCTCGACAATCTGCTGTCAGAGCTTTCTATGCCAAATCCACAACGGAGGTTCCTCGAGCTAAATCTGTTCAAGTCAATAACAAACTGTCTTTCCCCCCCATACCGCCGACCGATGAGTGTCCATACTGTGGCGTCATTATCGAATTTAAGGGCACGGCGAAGTCGACGCTCTGGCAGTAAGCAGAACTCTACCTTTATGAAAACATTGCGTCTAATATCCCGTAGTAATCATGTCATTCGAGACCTGGAGCCGTTCATTTGTGTCTTCGCACAATGCTTGGAAGCAGGTTCACACGAAACCGGTCCACCGACATTTGAAACGTCAAATGCCTGGATCGGCCACATGCAGAATGCTCACGGGCATACATGGGAGTGCCGAGCCCCTTCTCACGATCCGATCACCTTCGATCAGGAAATCCAGTATCGGGAGCATTCTATCAAAGAGCATGAGGTGCCTGAAACGCATGCCGGGACCCTCAGCAACGCAGCACGAAGACCGGTACTCGATAAAATACCGGAATGCCCATTTGGCGACGACTTTCAGCCTCCTCCGGGAAAAGTCGAACCTAGTGCCGTCTTCTCGAGCGAAGCTCTTCAGTCGCATGTCGCCGCTCATATAAAGGAAATTGGTTTGCTCACACTGCAAAAACTACCTAACGATCTTGACGCAGACACCGAGAATGTTGACAGCGATCAGCCTTTGGAAGATGATGGGCTGGGTCCTGCAAGATGGCGTGCATCCATGTACAGTGTATTGGATGATGACTCTTTGGAGTTTCGTGACGATGACGCCGAGCATGCAAGTGGCATTTTGGATTACCGAGAAGAGGAGATTAGTGCATCAGTCACAAAACTGGATTTGGAGGACAAAGACGACTCAGGAATGGCCAAGCTTCACCGTGCGGTGCAGGCCGGCCGCTTGGACCTGGTCCAGTCCTTAATCCACAGAGGCGCAAAACTGAGCAGTGAGGACGGTTTTGGCAGGACAGCGTTGCATTATGCTTCCATGGAACCGTCCCAGAGTCTTGAGATGATGGCTCTGCTTCTGAATGCGGGCGGCAGTGCCATCATAAATCTGGGTGATCACCACGGTCAAACAGCCCTACATTATGCTACGGAGAGGGGCTTGACTGATATCATTTCCATCCTGATTGAACATGGTGCTGATATTTGTAGAGCGGACAATCATGGGTTTCCTCCCTATCTCTGGGCTGTGGTTGCAGGGCAAACAAGAGCAATGGACAAGCTGCTAACCGTAGGTGCCAATGCTGATCCTATCAGCGCGGATGGTAACTCTGCGCTGTATTGGGCAGCCGGGCTGGGCAGGTCTTCAGTCGTTGCGATGCTTATGGACCACGGTGCCAGCGTATCTCATGGTCCGGATGTGCATAAAGGCCCGTTGGAAGCGGCGGCAGCGTTTGGCGACCTTTCCACCGTAAAACTGCTCCTCTTATCTGGTGGGGATCCGAACTATCACGGTCAAGATGGTTGGTCCGCGATACATTGGGCAGCAGAGGAGGGCCATTTTGAGACCGTGCATTTGTTGCTAGACCGAGGGGCCAACATCAACGCGGTCAGCTCTTATGGTACCTCACCATTGCACTGTGCTGCAAATGGTGGGCATGTTCAAATTGTGCGCTCGCTTCTTTCACAGCGAGCCGATCCACTTAAGTCTACATGTCACGGCTGGACCGCTCTACATCACGCTGCTTACATGGGGCACTCTCGCGTTGTCCAGTGCCTCCTAGAAGACGACCGCGTAAGATCCAGTGCCTCGCAGCAGGACAATCATGGCTGGTCCGCTCTCCATCTAGCCATTCATAGTCGAGATCTGCCCACTGTCAAAGTCCTGCTTGATAGCTTCGCCATTGCGGAGCCTTCGGCCCTGGTTGATGAGAACGGGCTTACTGCGGAAGAATGGCTAGATCTCGAGCCAACTAGCCACTTATACAAAGCCACCAGTAACTTAGCCTTCAGCAAGTCACGCTGTTGCCGGGCGGTCACCGGCTTAAGACAGGCAGTTCTCACCGGGAGTGTTCCTATGATCAGACTTCTCCTCAGACTCGGCCATGACGTTGACGGCATGGATTCCGGACGAAGGACCGCGCTCTACTACGCGGCGAAGACGCGCATGCTCACCATGATGGACCTTCTCCTCCAGATGGGTGCAGATCCCAATATCATCCCCGCGGGACGCAAATCCTGGAGGGAGTTTATCTCGGACGACGGCGTGTTACGACGGCTCAATCGAGCTGGCTACGGACCCCCAGATCCTGACCCCGAAGTCAAGCGCCAGATCCAGATTGCGCTCCGAGCGCACGGGCAGCCTTCCGCCCTACATCGGTCAGGTCCGTTACTGCCGGACCGGTCGATTTTACCATCACCACCACCAGCACCAGCACCACCGCCACCGGCAATGCGAGAACCATTGTCCTTGTCGGCTCCCGCTCCGTCAGCGCCATCCTTCCTGACCCAGCCGCTCTCCGAGACGCCCACACGCCCACCAGCGCCTCCAGCACAAACATACGACAAGAAGCGCAAAGCGAAATCCAATGGGTCGGGCCTGACGCGCTTTTTCAGGCGGCTGCTAGGATGACCACTTCATCGCACGGCGATAAAAATGGGAAAGCGAGGGCTGTCCATCAGTCGCTGGTGCAGTCTGAATGCCCAACCTTGTGCTCACATGATTGGGATAGTGGACTCGGGATCAATCACCTGGGCAAACTGTGGGCGTCGTTCCTAAGTCAGCTTGCCAGTGGCACGCCATTACAGTAGAGTGAATAGGCAGGCTGCCGGCACACAAAAAGAACAAAGCAAGACATGAGCGAGAGCGGCAGCAAGATGTTATTCTCTGGGGGTTAACGGTCGTCATCATTGACCCGGATTAAGTATAGATAAGTCATAGGCTGGCCTTGGCTTGAGAAAGAAACCATCGCGGACAGCCACGTAACGCGTTGGAAAAGCTTTATAGAAATCCTCTACTATTGTATTGTACAAACCCCCCGACGTCAGTTGCTCCGTCTCATCCATTACATACAAAGCGGAACCTGATCTTCCAATGCCACAAGCAGAATTTCTTCACGAAAAAGCAAATGCGGTAGACTAAACCGCGACTTGCGATCCTGACCGCCCGCCCAGCTGTACCTTTTACGGCTCAGCTCTCGCTTTGCGCCGGCGGCCTCCCAGGCCGAAAACGTCGACGTGGGACTTTCATTGATCAACAATCCTATTGACCATAATCTGAACTTCCGGCAACCATTGCAGAGTCTGGTTTACCCTTCGTCTCCAAGCCGCCGCCGGGAATGTCACGCCGTGTTGCTTTGCGATTATTAGGCACTCCAACAAGGTCTTGCACGCCCGCTTCTGCAGCGACCCTGGAGGCTGCTTCGATATCAAGATACTCATTGCCTCCGGCATTGCCTCACCGATCAGCCATTTGTGGGACAGGGAGTCTCCCTCGCAGAGAATCAGGCATGATGCAGAGGGAATGTTCAGGAAACGGTCCCGTCCTGCGCTCTTTGAGCGCTGCGCAAATTGGAAGATACTGGTGAGGAAGCACAGTAATCTGGCGAAGTCGCGGGCTCTGCTGATGTCGATCAGTTCACTGGCGCATGCCTGATTTACGTCAGTGAATAATTCAATCTCGTGGCTGCTGCCGCTGTATCCTTCGTAGAACTCCGCCACGAGCCTGGAGAAATACTCGATTGGCCGCGGTTCCTGGTTCTCGAGCATGGCAAAGTGCGATGTCAGCAGCACCACCGTCCGAGCCACGTTCTCTTCCCGTTTGCCACTTCGGATCGAGGTATCGAAATCGTTCAAGAAGTCGCGGACGCCGTAGTGCAGGAACTCTTCCGCGCCTCTATGGTAGGCAATGGCCGCCCAATGTGAGAATGCGCGGGCTGCGATAGCATCCCCTTCTCTCCATCCGTGCCGAACGGCTGCGAGTTTGGCTTCCGAGCCGACGAGGACTGCGACGATCAAAAGGGCTTGCAGGTCCGCGGGGGCGGCCTCCCGAAATATCTGCGTCGGCAGCTCAGTCATGGCCGTCAGCCCTCTGCGGTTTCTGGAAACAACCAGCTGGACGAAGAATTCCCGGTACGCTTCCGCCCATTGTCGCAGTTCGCTCATGTTATGCCTCGTAGCGACCTCCTGCAGTACAGACATATTCTCCCAGCGGTCAAATGCCACAAACTTCAGATATAGTGTCACCAGCGAAAGCATGATGGGGAAACGGACGGAAAGATGGAGGGCCTTCATGACCATGTTGACCTTGCGCGACGCCTGCTTGTACCGGATGACAAAGATCTGCTCTCGAAGCCCAAGTAGCTCTTCGACCCGCTCTTCCATTGGGTCTGAAGGCTTTCGAAAGGAAACGACTCCAGGGGGCTTGGGTAACCGGTCCAAGCGCGCTCCGTGCTCAAGCAATATTTGGATGATCTCTTTCGAATTCGCTTGGATGGCTCGAATCAGTGGAGTGTCTCCATGCTCGGTCTTACTCTCGAGACGGGCACCCCGGTCGAGCAGTAGAGACACGATGCCCTTGTGCTGGCCATTGACCGCGATATGAAGTGCTGTCAACTGGCTTCGATCTTTGACATTGACACGAGCACCATGATCGAGGAGCAATTCCACTATGTCTTGGTGACATCGATTGACGGCCCAATAGAGCGGCGTTCGGCCGTAATTGTCTTTTCGTGAAATGAAGCGGGCATGCTCGCTGATCAACAGTTTCGCCCAGGGTACATTACCCAGGTACGAAGCGAAATGCAGGACTGTGAACGAAGGTGCGTTGCCGCCGTTCTTCTCATACTCCCAATAGAATCTCCACCATTCGTCTCGAATTGGAGAGTCGACTTCAAAGAATGGACGTGAGAACTCAGAGGATGCATCAATGACATCGCTGGCGTGATGAAAATGCACCGGCCAGTATTGAGTGGCATACAGCGTGAGTGAATTATGGCTGGGTTTCTCGTCACTCGCTCGAGTCGATCCGTATATGTGCTCAATATGTGCTAGGCAGGTCCGCATGAGAGTCAAGTGAGTATTCTGGTCCATGTGGAACATATTGATTCCTCTAGCGTTGACTTGGTTGCTCTGGAAGAATTCTTTCGCTGACTGGTGGACCAAGTTAACGACATTTCCCTCGGTCTTCACGAGGGGTCCGCACAGCCTGAGCTGATTCTTAATCACCTCAATTGGAGCAACGGTACCAGTTGTTTTTTTGATCCCTGTGGCCACTGTCAATTCATCAATTGTGAGGGGCCGCGCAGCAAGAACAACCCATTGTAGAATGGGAACCAGCGCTTCCTTGTCGTCGATTTGCTGCAATAGCCGCTGATAGATCCCACCAAGGCCTTTTGGGATACGATGGATGATCTCATTGATCCTGTTCCAACTTCGACCCTGCAGCTCATTGGCAACGAACCCTACCCACAAAAAGGTGCCGTCGGCGCCAGCTAACAAAGCCCGCTGAACCTGTGCAGCCATTTCTTCGGAGAGCTTTTGCTCGGATGCCAGCTCGTTCACTTTGACGGAGATATATCTCTCCACATCTTGCGTTATCTCAGTACTGGAATCGTCCAGCCTGATTTGCAAATACTGGCCAAGTTTGCTCTCGGAGATAGCCTGCTGGGGCCGAGAGAGCAGGATAAGCTTCAGTTGTGGCCGGGACAGCTTTCGAGATTCTATCAGGTAGCTCCCAACGGCGTCGAGAAGCTGCCTGAGTGATTCCGTCTCACATTCATCCAGACCGTCCAGCACACAGACCACCTGGGAGGACCTACTGTGTTGGAGCAGCGTGAGGAACACATTCCACAACGCGATAAAGCTGGAAACAGTGTATTTGATTGTGTCAGTTCCCTCAAAGGAGGTCTTGATATATTGGGCCAGGTGCGGATGAATATCAACCCACTGGTGTATGAGGCCTCTCAGCAGGGTCAATGCCGTGTTCCGATTCTTATCGCGATTACTGCAGAAGTAGTAGAGAAGAACATCTTCAGCGACTCCACCAACTGGCTCTAGCACTTCGGTGATATAAATTGCTAGCATGGTTTTGCCTTTTCCAGGGCCACCCGAGATCCAAAGCAGTGGTTGGTGTGTGTTTGACAGCCACTCCTGATAACGGGGATGTTGTATGAGCCATTCGCAAGTGCCGTCGGCTCTACGTCCTTTCAATAGAACGAGCGACTTTCGGTCAACCTCAGGTCTTGTTAGAAGCAAGGCACTGAGAATTGGTGCAGCCTCAGTGTGTGACGTCTGAGGGGTCGTCTTGGAAGTCTTGGGGATAAACGAAATGACCTCCCTTGCATAGGCTGCAGCAGCCACTGCAGCATAGGCGTGCCAGAGCTTCGAGCTGTGGGAATCTGCATAGTCACAGATTCCCCGGATAATCAAGCACTGGGCAGCGTCTTTCAAACTGGTCACGCCCCTCTCGAAACACAGAACGCCTTGCTTCTGTGCCAATCTGTCTCTAGTCGCTCCGTGGCGTATCGGATGATGACCGGAGGCGATAAGGCCATAATGCACTATAGGGTCCTGAGTCTCTCGTGGCTGCCGAAACCTGATCTTATCCTGGTCGCAATGATTGCAATCATCTTCTTCAGATTCAATAGTTGTATGATCATAATTCGACTCAAAAAGAACGTCTTGCTCTGGGCCTGGACGGGTGAAAGTGACGGGGTCTTTGCTCACAATATCGGCGACGTACTGGGCCATCTTACTATCACCGAATATGGCGGCTGTCTCGGCCTTTCTCGTAGCTGTGAGCAGTAACGATGTTCGCAGACCTAATGCTCTGCCGCGAAGACACTGATCTTCCCCTTGCTTTCCGTTCGCGTCATATTGAAGGACACCCGGCCGGTCGGCTGGATACTTGCTTACGACGACATCACCAAGACGGATATCCTCCTTGGTGGCTGGAACCCCTCCCGCGATACCGACCATCAGATTGATCCGGATGGATTTGAACCTCGCATGCAACTGTGCGGCGACGTACGCCACAGAGGTCTCTTTATCGTCATAATCAGCACTCGCGCGGAAAGTTGGGTATGCCAGTACGACGTTATGACCTTGGAGACTCCCTAAGATGTAGTTAATGCCGACTTTCGTGTTTTGACTAGGAGATAGGCTGTCATGAATGCGGTCAAAGGTCGCTCTGGCTGCCTCTACCTCTATGGGCCGTGCGCAAACCCACCCGACCCGGTAGTCATCATGGGAGACCATGATGGGTGCTAAGCTTTGCTTCATTGATATACAAGCAACGAGATCAGCAATCTGATCGTGCTCAGTCGTAGATTTGAAAACGCATGCAGTGGAGATATGCAATCAAATCAATCAAAGTTAAGATGTCGGGTGAGAAGCAGCGAAACCTACGTGGGGATCAGACGGACGGGACGGGACGAGGCGGGAATCCCCCCTTCCCTTCCCCCCCTCCCCACCCTTGGGACGGTTGGAGGTTTAATCTGTTCGTTAATGTGTCTACTGTTGGCACTGCGAAAGGGGAGGCTGCATCTCATTTGATTGGAATGACAAAACCACCCGGGTTGGAACACCGTATTGGTCTTTTCATCCTTTCCGCCTGCTAATTCCATACTACCACCACCCGAGGACGACGCAAAGTCTTACGCTTCCCGGCTTGATATGGTCTTACCGGCTGGATTTCCGGCGCAAGAGGTCCGGCGGGTAGATAATGAGGTGGATCTTATCTCTCGAAGATGAGGCATTTTCTTTATTGGGCGAGCACAGGCGCTACGGGTTAGATTCACTCAGAAGTAAGCCTGGAGGCTTCCATGTCAGGAGCCTGTGAGTCAGTCAGCCTTGAGGACGGTGCATTCAAGGATGACTATCATTTGTCTCACCTGTAGATGTGGGGCTGAGTAGTACGACATGGTTGGCTGTCATTAAGCATGATGGATGCAGCTCGCATCACAATTTCCCATCTCTTACAGCCACTGGAAGAGCCAATAGAATAATTCAGGATTCTCTACGGAGCCGCGCGCCAAAAGTTAGTAGTACTTTTAGAACCACGCTAAATGCTCAGGTGTATTGCAATTACTCTATGCAGCTGTCTAGTCACTACTTCTATGCATCTGATCCGTATAGGAGTGAGAATCATTCAGACACCACCAGTAGGACCAAGCCAAGAGCCACAAATATAGATCACGAGCTGTGTATTCAACGGATCAGAATAGAGACATGGATATCATGCGAATCGCAGGAAGATGATCTATACTATCAAAGAAGCTGATTTCAAACAAAGATTACACTCAATGTTACTAGCGTAGTTCCATAATTTCTGGTAAATGGCTCCGTAGGGAATAATCTAGCGCTTCATAAAACATACAGCAAGACTAAATCTACTAGGTGCACCCCTCGTCCCAAAGAAAGGAAGAAAAAAAAAAAAAAAAAAGAGAGAAACAAAACACATCAAAAATCAATTAAATTGAGATACCCCCTTTCACTGATTTTCCATTTCCCCTTCTCCGGATCTTCGCGCCTCCCACGTTATCATCATCCTCATCTTTTCTCCATGAGACGCAAGGGCAATGGTATCATCTACCCGGCGTCGAGTTTCGTCCCCGCAGCCGCAAATGTTGCGCCAAGAGCAGGGCAATGATTCCCTCAGCCGACGACTTGCCAGAAGTCCATCCAAGGCCGCCAAGGCACGCAGAGTTCTTCTCACATTCGAACAACTGCCACAATGGCATCAAGATAATGAGTACATTCTTCATGGCTACCGCCCAATCTCAGGATCGGCTCGGGTATCTTTCTGCAGTTGGACATACCTCCACAATGAGTCGGTCAACATATACTCTCACCTGATACCAGCAATCGTCTTTCTCTTCAGCCAGTGGTATCTTCAGATGTTTCTGAAAAGGGAATACCCCAATATGACAATTTCTGATCACTTTATTTTTGCTTTCTTCCTTTTGACTGCCGCTATCTGCCTGGGGCTGTCAACGACCTATCACACCATGATGAATCACTCCTACGAGGTCGAACAACTGTGGCTGCGATTCGATCTGATAGGCATAGTCGTCTTGACAATCGGAGACTTTGTCTCCGGGATATACATGGTGTTCTGGTGTGAACCCCTGCAACGCAAGATCTACTGGTCCATGGTGAATTACCTTCTACCTGCCCGCCTTCCGACCTTAGATCCCCACGCTGACATCGCTTGGCAGATTGGGGTTCTCGGGTTGCTTACTATCTTCGTCATGGTAACTCCCAGATTCCAGGGCCCGAAGTTTCGCCTTTTCCGAGCACTGACGTTCGTGGCGACGGGCTTGTCCGGCTTTGCGCCCTTGATACATGGGATCAAGCTGTTTGGCATCTCGCAAATGATGATACAATCTGGAATGCCCTATTACCTGATTGAGGGAGCCTTCCTCCTAACTGGCGCCTTGATATATGCAGTAAGCCTTAAGATCCCGCATAATGTGGAAAAGTAATTCTAAACACTATGATCCTATAGACCAAGTTTCCTGAGAGTCGATATCCAGGTCGATTCGACATATATGGGTCCTCCCATCAACTGTTTCACATCCTCGTGGTCTTCGCTGCTGTAACCCAATTGGTCGGGATACTGAATGCCTTCGACTATAATTACCGCAATCGAACATGCTCATAGAACTTTTGACATGACTTGCACACAAGACAAGCTCGTCGCTCGTTCACAGCACATCGCAAGCCATGGTGTTATCGCTTGTCGAGCGTCCTCTGCAAGCCCTTTTGCCACCTGGGGCATAATTTATATTTGGCAACTACGTTCCAGACTGAGACAGGCTTTCATGATGAGGCTAGAAGATAGAATCGGAGCGAAAGGCTCTAGTGGTTCAAGGTTGAAGGGCCAGAAGAGGATGCGAGCGTGGGGAACACATGAGAGCTAGGTCGAACCGAGCGAAGGAAGGAGATGCCATGGTTCTGGGCCTTGTACCGGCAGAAAGCCTTCAATCCCTTGAGCAAGGTCACTACAGGACACATGAAGTTCCGCAAGTGCCATATCATCCCAAATCCTCGAATCTCGAAGCTGCACTTGTTCAAATTGTAGTGTTTAGCTTTTCTGCAGATCATGAAGCGTGGACAGTTGTTATTTAGTCTAAATTATTTAGAAATATTGATATTATTAATCTTCTTAAAGAACTAGAAATCATATCTTGATTTAGGAAAAATAATAAAATTTATCTTTAATTTAATAAGCTGTTATGTTAATAATCTATATTAATCTAATAATTTTTTATTTTTTATTGTTTACTTATTTTTAATATTATAGAAAACTTGTAGATCATTTATTTAGAAGATCAAAAAGAGATTGATTAGAATTACTGTAAACCCAGTAAAAGGATGTGTCAATATCTAGAGATGTAACTACTAAATCACATAACCTGATCGAATATAAATACTGTGAAATCACGTAGTTAGTTTTTTACTTGACCAAATCAATGATTATCAAAGGCTTCATACCTTTTCCCTGTAAAGCCGCTTATCTCCACAGAGTCTTGCTTCAGATCGCCATCTTCCTGGTGCCATATTAAAATATACGAACCACTCCAAGAATATGTACAAATTACTGTTCTTAAAGACATTGCAGATCCTGCTGCAGCATCAAACGGGGGAAACCAATGATCGATACTGTTGACGAAGTCTCGCTTATTATGATGTGGATTTCCATGTTACTGGCTTTAGAAATATGATTCGATGTCTCCGCGCATTAGCGCAATATCGCCTCTAGCACGTTAAGCATGTTCATGAATGGATGGGTGAGTGGCTGAAGCACCGTCAATACACATTCAGCATCGTTTGACCGAGTCAGCTCGCTTTGGGATCAACAAGGCATCAGAATGGTCAGTTGTGACGGAGGGAAGAACTTTCTTCAGATCGAGGCGTCTGTCTCATACCATCATTTATCCACTACATTTGCGAACTGAATCTGGAATTCTCGAACCATGGCCTCACGGAACCATAGCTTGAATTCTTCAACCGGGAAGTCGTAATCTGTAATCCGTCGGAGTAGTTTGTTCGCACCCTCGTGGGCGTCCTGGCGCGAAGAATCCTCGATAATCTTCCACCCATCCGCATAGCTCCAAGAGGCTCTGGGCATATCCTTTCGAACCTGAACCTCCCACTTCGGCCCGGGGTTGCTGTAGATCGGGTCTGACAATATCTGGTGTAGGTTCTCGGGCATGTCGACAATGATGAACAGGTCCCAGCACCACGCCTGTAGTCCACGAGTGAATAATTGCTCCAGGCAAGTGGGATAATTCTCGAGTGTGTCTTGGGAGACCGCCAGACGTCGGATCAAACTGGATGGCTCGATAATACTCTGTTTTTTAAAGTCTTGACCCAGCTCCTTGTAGAACTTACCGACATACTCAAAGAAGTACTCGATATCGTCATCAGGGCACAACACAATGTCGATGTTGGGATGAAAGCGGCGGACAGCAGCAGCAGCGCTTTTTTTTTCTCTCTCCATCCGGTGGCGTTTAATCCATAATTCAGTAGCTTCTCGGGCCTCTTTGTTCACATGAAGCAAGGAAAGTTCGATCTGGAACCAGGAGATTTTCCGAGAATCAATGAGATTATTGCCCTGGTCGGATTCTTCTTCATCAACCGGCCACTCCTCCCACAGCCAGAAGAACAGAGGATTGCCGACCAAATGGGACAGAGCAGCTTCCCAGACCTTGAGACGGATTTCGGGAGGAAGGCGCGAGAATTGAGGGAATGTCGCGCTTGCCAAAGCTTGTGAACAGCCTCCCAGTGTGGAGATTGCAGGGCGATAGAGGTATGGTAGGGTTGAGGAACAACGATATTGATAGCTGAGGATGGTTGCCAGGAGGAAGGACAGGTAAGTGAGACGTTTTTATACCTAGTGGATGAGATTGGAAGCTTTTTATGGTACCCATACAGGGAGTGTGTTTTCCGTAGAACTTAGTTAGCCAAGACCTGGAGATCATCGACTATCGGAACCCATGGCGTGAGCGAAGAGAGACTGGGGGGCCACACATTCAGTCGATAGAGATGTTGTAACTACCTATACTACCGCATGTCTCGCTGCTTTGATTTGTAGAAGGCAGATGCCAATAAGCCATCCGGAACCTGAATATGGAATGTTCCTGCCTGTCTCTCCGGTGGAAGTTTCCACCACAAACCACCAATGTAGAGATATGTATAAGCAATTCGACTTCGGTCTGTCTACTTTGTTCTTACTTTAGTACTCCGTATAGTATCCGGGTGTTCTAAACCCGTCACATGATGCCTGAGGCTTCACGTCGGCTAAGCATGGACCGGCTCCACCCAGCTAAAAGTCAAAATTAGGTTTTTTGAAATTATTTTCTAGGTAGATTATTTTTACAGTATATTGATTAGGTAAAATTAATATATACCGCCTATGATATGTACTGGCTCAAGGACCGGAGGGTGATGGTACTCGATGACAAAGATAGTGACAACCCACGTTATCGTTGGAATATGGGGAAGTTTCGACGACCGGTTGTCAGGGCATTATGATTAGGTATGATCCACCTCGAGCGGACAATGGTCGGCACGACATATATCGGAAAAGCAATCAGAGCCCAATCAAAAAAGTCTCTTTTTCCACATTGGGAAAAGGCCCTAGCGATAAAGAGAATAGTATTCTTTGCGGCGAACAATGGAGGTCCCTGGGCATCTTGGTTGCTGTTAGGACAAGGAGACTCTAAGGCTGCGGAGAATCTTGACTCAAGGTACGGCGACATGGAAATTATTGATAGTGTGGAATTAAGAAAAGTTCTGGGATTCACTTAGGTCATATCTTGACTTGGGTGGCATTTTCAAGGGATTATATCTATAAGAAGATCGCTTGGTTATCTTGAATGTACATTCGGTACATCTCGTACCACTTAGCTGCCACTGTTGGATGTGCTGGACGTTCGGTTTATGGTCTGATCCCCATGTGCCTTGGCTTTCCAGCCTACACATAATCAGGTGTAGCGCTTCACCTCGACCCATGTTGGCAAGCATTTGTAGCCGAGACTGCCCGGTCTTTTCAACCTACAAAAGCTGAATGCAAGCGACCTGATTGCTCTTCATTCTTTATAAAACCAGGGGGCGTTTTGTTTGAGTTGTGCTGGTAGGCATGGCCTATATCGAAAACAGATGAGCAGTTGACCGTGGCTGCTAACTTGTGGTGGGCGATAGGACGAGACTAGCTCGGATAGCTCTAGATAGCTTTCGAACCTGATATATAGCCCCCAAAAATGGCAAGGTCCTGAACAACATATAAAGTATTGTCGTCGACCCGGCTACAGGTCGGTACATCATCCAAGCCCGAAAGACGATACCGAGTTGAAAATCGAGGGGACAATTCAGTCGTTTCTGGGTATGTAGAACGAAGCGGCTAAGGTCGTACCTTTATAGCTCTCGCACTGGAATACCAGAAAAGGTCGTGAACTGTCTTCATCATCTGTTGGTCACAGAGCTAGTTGCTGCTCTGCTCGAATGCACTGATCGGACCTTTGGTGCCCTTGCTAAATGTCGATACTGATCCTTTTTTAGGAGATCCAGACCGCGATGGACCATATATGATAAGGGAATCTGTAGTGTCGGCCTCGTAGTGTCTTGAACTAAGAGCCGGATTCGTCTGTGGTCTTTGCGAGCTGGAGGCGCTTGTCGCTTCCGATCTCGGAGCGCTCCTTCGTCAGGAACCCATACTTCAAGATGCTTCCTTGCTTCATGCCCGGGTCTATGACTTTCTTCCGCGGACCCGTCTTCCGTGTGGACTTCTTCGGGGCGTTGGCTTTCTCCGCCTTCTCCGCTTCGGCCTTCTTCCAATTTTCCACCACCTCCGGAATCCCTATCTTTGCCAGTGTACTGAAAATCCACACCTTCTCCGTGGCGTATGGGTCGTACCGTTTCGTGACACGTTTCTTGACTGTGGTTTGGGGAACAGGGTCCGCATTTGCTTCGAGCTCCTCTTCATCCTCGTCGGCTGATGCTGCCGTTTCAGGCGTAGGAAAAGGAGGATTTGGCTCGTCGGCCATGATGTCCAGGCCGACGACATCGACGGGGACTATGTCAAGCTGATATTCTGTCAGACCGTCGGTACTGTAACTCTCCCGACTTTTGTTGATCTTCTGCATCATCGGTACGCTGCTATTGGAAAGTCTAGGATGGCCTGCGGGGAATGCTGAAGCCTGCTTTGCAAGGCGAAGCCTGTAGCAAACGAGAGGCTCAGCGAGTAGTTTGGTCACTTTCCGGGCCCCAGAACGGTAGTTCCAATCAAAAGTGTCGGCGGCGAATCGTCTCAGCTGAACCGCGTCGATCTCTTGGTCCCAGGCATTCTCCAAGCGTCGCTCTAGAGCTTTGATCTCACTGTCCGTCGATACCATGGGTTTTGCATAATACGAGAGAATAGTCTTGTCCGGAAATGTCTCCGGAACTCGAACAACCTTGTGCTTGGTCTGGAAGTAGCCGCTCTCGTTCTCTTCAAGTTCATATTGGAGCCTTTCTCTCCACTCGCTCAGCCGCTCCTCCATGTCGGGGCCTTCTGAGTCGATAATCTCCAGTAGATCCTCCCCAAAGCCGGCCCTTGCAATTTCGCCAGCCAATTTGCTTCCACATTTCGGGACGCCAGAGGGAAGGTAATCACCGCCACTCAGCATAGCGAACAAGATCATGCCTGCACGATCAAGCATCACTTTGCAAGGCGTTCCAGTGCCATCCATGCGATAGCAAGTGACGTGTGTCGCCGCCGCCGTGCCGGTGCCGCTCTCTTTCGAGAAGTTCATCACCGTAAACGTCGAACCGAACATCAAAGCATCGACGTCATTACTCATGACAGCATCCACCACGCCGACCCGTTGGAGCCTGGCGCATTCGGCCTCGGCCTCCCCCGGTGCATCGTGGCGTGGGAATCGAAAAAGATCCACCAGGATCTTCGACAGCCGGATGATGGGCGCACTCCCGTAGCTGCGCGTCGTGACCACGCGACCTCTTTTGAAGGGCGGCTTGTGCTGTCCATCGTACACAAAAAGTGGATGGATGGGTAGGGCCAAGATCTTGAGCAGTCGGTAGAACAAAGTCCGCAATTCCGGGTTTCGCCCGCCTCGGCCGGCCTGCACCTGAAAGAGCCAAATGGAGATGTCAACCGCTACACGGATGGGTCGCGCATTGCGTTCCAAATGTCCTATGGCCAATTTGGACAGGGAAATACGCTCTCCGGCGCCAATTGCGTGGATCAGGCTATTCGAGGGTGGTCAGAATCAGTGGGGTTGGGTGTTTAACAGTTGAGTGTCTCTCTCGGATGCGACCACGTGCGGACGACAACGGGACATCTATTTGTCTCCTTCGGGAGAAAAAAGCAGACGCCCCCGGAGAGATGAAGGGGGTTTTTGGGGGGAGGTTTCACTTACCCTGGGATCCCCATTCTGATGGCGCTCTCAAAGCCAGAGCCGTGAGCGACCAGAAAAATAGCCCAACCTGCAAGGAATGTACTCCAAAGACCAACAAACTCGTCAGTTTCTGGGAGACAGGGAGCAGAAAGAAAACGCCGACCGATTGATTGTGTTTGTTGATTTGACGCTGGCCGACAACTGGGCGATTTCCGCGGCCCGATGTAGATCCGCCCGCCTGGAGAGATTCCCTCCGCCGCTGCTCTGGAGCTTTGCTGCTGTCTTGTCGCGTTCGATATTGGCAATTCGCGGGTTTTATTTGAGAGAAGCTGTACAGTTGTTTGTTGGTTGCACAAATCAAGAAGAATCTGCAAGCGAGGCAAGCATGATCTGTGCGTGTGGTACAACGACATCAACGACAAAAACAACCAGCCAATCGACTCTCCGTCCCCCGAACCTTCCCCGCGCTGTGAATTAAAGGAAAGAGTACAACGACGGGCAACCACAACACCAAACGACAGACCACACCTGACAGGGGAGCCCAAAGACCCAGACATGGCCAGCGCTTCCTCTGTTGGTCACAGCTACGATGACAACAAGCGCCCGTTCTCCATGAGCAGCTTGCGACACGGTCACTCGGGGACGCCGTCCTCCCCCCATACCCCACAACACCACTTACGATCCAACAACTCCTCATTCGCCAGCACCACCTCGAGCACCTCCTACCGCGGCGAGGAAGATGCCATTATCTTCGAATTAGGCGCCCGCTGGCTCCGCGCTGGTTTCGAGGGTGAGAGCACCCCGATGTGCGTGGTGGGCTGCGGCCCTGAAGAATGCCGCCGCGTCGGCGACTATCGCGGATGGCTGAAGACGAACAACCCGGACACCGACCCGGGGCAGTTGCGGCCGCTTGTCAATGCGGAGGATTGGGCGAGCGCCTACGAGCTCTGGAAGATGGATCTTCGAACGGTCGACCTGGGCCTCGTGGAGGACAAGATTGAGCGGATGTTTCGAGAGACCTACAACAAATACCTGTTGACGGACGCGGGCACGTCGCGGCTGGTACTGGTGCTCCCCGCGATCATGCCACACCCACTACTGTCGTCGTTACTGTCGGTACTGTTCAGCCGATGGCGGTTCCCGAGTATCACGCTGTTGACGAGTGCTACGATGGCGGTGATGGCGGCCGGGGTGCGCTCCGCTCTGGTGGTAGATATTGGGTGGGCGGAGACGGTGGTCACGGGGGTCTATGAGTATCGTGAGATCGCGGTCAAGCGGAGCACGAGAGCTATGAAGGCGCTGCTGCAGGAGACGGGACGGTTGCTCACCAACATCCCCGCGGCGCGGGGTGGGAAAGCGCAGTCGTCGGGATCGGGCGATGCTGGTATCTCGGTGAGGTTTGAAGTTTGCGAAGAAGTTGCCAGCAGATTTCTATGGTGTAAACCCAGGAATACTCCCTCAACGGCAGAATCAACAAAGGCAGAACCCGACGACGACGAACACGAACCTACCACTCAACATTCCTCTTTATCTTCCCTTCTACAACGGACGGTGGAAATTCCTTGCCCCTCGAACCCAGGATCGGCCTACGTCAACCTCCCCTTCTCCACCTTCACCGAGCCCGTCGAAACCACCCTCTTCGCAACCGGCACAGCAGAGTGCGAGCTCGACGACGAAGAAAAGCCCCTTCCACTTCTAGTCTACAATGCCTTACTCGCCCTCCCACCCGATGTCCGCGGCATCTGCATGTCCCGCATGATCTTTACCGGTGGCGGTGCCAACATTCCCGGCGTCCGCCAGCGCATCCTTGCGGACGTCGCGGCTCTTGTCGACGAGCACGGCTGGTCCCCCGTCCGCGGCAAAGTGATCGAGCAACAACGACGCAAACTCGCAAACTTACGTCTCTCCTCCCCATCTTCTTCACCTCAACAAAAACAGCAGCAGCGGCAGCAAGAGCAATCCCCAATACCTGCACCCACCCTCACCAATCAAGACCCCACCCCCGACACAAACAACACCACACCAACCGAGCCTCAACCCCAAAAACCAGCCCCAGCCCAGGAACCCCAAGACTCCGACTCCGACTCCACACTAGACGGCGAAGACCCCATCGAAGCAAAAATCCGGCGCAATAACCGCGACACCGTGGCGCCACCAACACTGCAGGGTGTGCTCCGCGAGGTCGAAACCCTCGGTCCCTGGGCCGGGGCCAGCCTAACCACCTCGCTCAAAATCCGGGGCCTGGTCGAGATCGAGCGCGAGAAGTACCTGCAGCATGGCCTTGCCGGCGCGACGCGGGACTTCGAGGCCCATGCGCATGTGCCTGATCGACGGTCCGGGTTGCGGGCCGGCGGCGGAGGGGATCGCTCCAGTTGGACGTTGGCGGGGTGGGGTTGATGTGGTTGATTCTTGTTGTTTTTGGGGAGAGGTTTTATTATGTTGGGGGAGGGAAGTCTACGGTGCTTCTACTCTTCCTCTACGGTTGTTGTTTTTGTGTTGTGAATTATAGCGTTTGTGTTTGGTTTAGAGTTTAGCACTGCATTGTATCTTGTATACCCCTCTTAGTGTTTTACTCAATTGATCGGTTTCGGAACGGTTTGCGGGTGCGTATGTGCTTTTTAGAGGTAAGGGTTGCGTAGCTTGAGATTATTGCAACCGTAGACAATATATTGGGCTATCGGGTGCATGAGATCATTTATGTACAGTGTGTATGGCTTGCAGAGATCTACAGAAGTAATTTCAATAGCTGGCCAGGGAGTAAGACGAGAAGTATGCTCTTGATTTTGTTTTTGCGTCGTTCTTAGCGTCATTCGAGTAAAGACGTCTTAGACCGTGCCGAACCTGTAGGTGGCCCAGTTGACGGCGGGGCCGGTCTCGGGCGAGTAGATCTGGTCGGACAGCTGGCCCCATTGCGGGTTGTTGATGCCGTCGATCCAGCCCTCGGTCTCGATCACGAGGCAGCCGTACTTGTTGACGTACTCGGCGCCGCTGATACCCTCCTCCTTGTTGAGCTTGATCTGCGAGTCCTTGATGGGGATGGTGCCGTTCTGGCCGTTGCACGAGTAGATCTGCAGGGCTTGCTGGTTGGTGGCGACCTCCAGGCTGATGCCCGTGGTGCTGGAGTTCATGCGGACGATGGGCACGATCGAGTTGGCCGAGGCGTACTGCGGGGGGCGGTCGACGACGAAGCAGTTGTCGTATCCGGTGCAGTTGGAGCCGCAGAGGTGGACCGCCTCGTCGATGTCCTTGCCGACCAGTTTGCCGGCGGTGAAGTCTGCGGATCCGTTGTACGCCGTGTTGACGTCGAGGATGCTGCCGTCGGGGATCAGGATCCCGTCAGTGCCGATGAAGCGCTTGGATAGCGGCAGTTGCAGCCAGGTGTCATCCAGGATGGTCTCGTTCTTGAACGCGTTCAGGTTCCAGTAGATGTGGTTGGCAAGCATGATCGGGGTGGTCTCTGTCAGAGCGAGCGAGACTAGCTTGGTGGTCAACTGGGGCAAGCCCTCGGGATTCTCGTTGGTGGCTTCGGTCTGGACACTGAATGTAGCGTGCGTGATCACATCGCCAGGGAAGTCCTCCAGCGCGCGATCGACCAGAGTGAAGGTTATGGATGAGTTGGAGTGGGCGGTGACGGTCCAGTTGCGGCCATCATAGCCCACTGTGCCACCGTGGAGAGTGTCCTTGCCACCATTCTCGTTCTCGGGCACATGGTAATCCTGGGTGCCGATTGTGAAGGTGCCGTTCTTGATGCGATTCGCGTAGCGGCCGACAACAGCCCCGAAGAAAGTGCGATTCGTCTCCGTGTCTTGGAGATAACGCTTCGGGTCGTCGTAGCCTACGACCACATCCTGAAAAGCACCATTACGGTCGGGGACTTTCAGGGATGTCAATCGTGCTCCGTACGGGATTAATGTTGCAGTGATGTTTTTTGCGCTGATAGTGTAAGCCTGGAATGGGTCCGTTGTTACTGCTGTCGCAGCCTGGGACAGCACAGGCAGCCCATAAAGGGCGGTGGACAAATAGCTCTTGAGATGCATTCTGATGGCAAGAAGAGTAGTGACCGAAAGGCACAGACAACAATACAAGAATAGGATCCGCGGGGTGATGCGGGCAGGGCAGAGGGTAAGGCGGAAGTAACCGAGCAGCTGGGGAAGTCCCTGGCCGGGTGTGGAGGAGCGTCCCATCGTCTTGCTTAAATATTCCGCATTGGGGCTCTTTCACCTCATGATGGCGCACCTGACCGCCGGCGGAGGGGGCGAGGTGGACGGCAGCACGCAGGAACTGGGGTAGGAATGCCGCTACTGGTGCTCATGGTTAGCTCATGTTGTCAAATGTCCGACGGGACATCGTCGTCATCTTACCCAAGGATAGGGAACGATGGAGGGCGTTGGCCTGTCAGGGGCCAGGTGCCAAGTACGTGGGCAGCTAATCAAGCTACACTTCCCAAGCCGAAGCCCCGTTGTCCGGGGATACGGGGTTGGGAGCAGGTGTGACGGGAAAAGTTAGTCCGCGTCTGACCACTTAGCTGCAGATCTGGAGATGACGTGAAGTTCCGGGATGGAAAATGAGGGGAAAGCGGGATCAGGAAATGCAAGCGGTGATATCAATCCGGAAGGAGAAAACGCGGATTGGAAGAGAACAGGGGATAGTGACAGTCCAAGGATGAGTCCAAGGATGAAGCCACGGAAGTGGACCAAATCACTAGAAGGAAAGAATAAGGGGGTCCAAGCCACGGGGTCACACACACACTAGTCCGGTTCGGGCATATTCCGGTGGGGGAATTGGTTTGCGGGGAAATCTAAGCTCAGCCTGGGGCTTACATGTACTTTACTATCAAACTGTTGTGATGTCGACAAGCTTCTCTCACAGTGCCGATTGCCGAGCTAAGCACAACCCAGAGGCTGTATATGATCCTGGACAGGTCATACCATGGTATGATGTTACATGGGAGCTTAAACGAGACTTCTTCTAAGTGAGCCGGTTCTCATTGACTTCCATTGAGTGCAGTTAATGTATGCAATGCGAGTATAATTCACTATCGGGAGGGGTGATCTGATCTGTGCGGGTGCTGCAACCAGCCACTGCATCGATGGATGATTGTTGCTGCTGCTGCTGCTGGTCCGGGTTCCCGGGCGGATGGGAAGGTGCATCAGGCATTTATGCCTGAGGCATCAAGCCACCTGCTCCTGCTTACATAAGATTCACCTCCTCAGGCTCTCCCAGTCACTCCGCCCGGCCGGCCCCTGCCTGATCGGGAGAGTTGTTTATGTTATGCGTGGATAGTTGCAGAGATTCCCCCCTTCCCCCGCCTTCTGATCAGCAATTTCTTCTTGTCTGGACTGTGAGAATCTCTATCCCGTTGCTTTGTGGTTGTTTTCTCCTGGAGAATGTCGATTGTCATCTAGCCTCCGACGGCGGTGTCCCCTCTTCCTTCTCCTTCAATGAGACGCGACGGGCGACCCTGTTGAGAGTCGCCCCTCCATGGCCTGCAGCTCCCTCCATACCTCGATATGTCCTCTAGCACTTCGAGCTCCTCCCCGGACATTCTTGGGCCAGCTGGCGACAGTGATTATCTAATTTCCTCGCCGTTCAAACCATTTACCGGTCGCCAAAGCTTCATGTCGCCCGCTGACTTCAACCTCCTCCAGAGTGCGCGGACGGCAAAACGGCAAAAACGGTCGCGGCTCAACCTCACACCGGGCGCCCATTCTTTCGAATTCAACGATGTTGTTCTTCCCGCCTCACCAAACCTGAAGCTGAATGGAAAACAAAAAGTCCCGTCTCCAGACAAAGTCCAACCCGATGGGAATGTCAGCCCCTGGAGGATTCGTGTGACTCTGGAAGCCACCCAAGATCAAGAGAACAGGAATGATTACGACAGTCCGACGCGAAACCGATTCAAACCATCGACCATGATCACAAAGATACCGCTCAAAGACGAGTCCGAGCAGACCCCCCGAAGGCGCAGAGGCCGTCCGAGGAAGTCCGATACACTATTGTTCGATGCGATTCCGGCCGCAGGCAGCCCTGGTCATACCCCCGGTCCGGCTGGGTCCGCGCAGAAGCGAAAGCGCGGTCGACCCAGGAAGACTCCACTGAAGGTACCTGCGGTGATGCGCGAAGAACGGGATATGGGCACACTAGACATCGATATGGATACTCCCACCGCTGGATCTCAATCGCGATGGAGCCCTTTGAACCTCGCTGGGGATGCGGGGTCGGATGATGGTGATGATGAATCGCCTAGGGACGAAGAGATGTTCGATGTGTTTGACGACGAACTCCCACCCGAACAGCCTGCGGTGGCCCCTCACGAGAGCACCACTCCGCGAGTGACATTCGAACCCACTTACGACACCCCAAACGTTGACAACATAGACAACGAGGAATACAACTTGAACTCTACCCCATCTAAGATGCCATCTCCGGCTCGCGAAGCACAGTCGAGCTCTTCCAAAAGCACTTTACATGCAGGTCATACCCCCAGACCACCCCGCCTATATCCCACCCCGACGGCCTCTTCACCGATCGCGGAGGAGGAAATGGGCGCGCAATTCCGAAGGCCCAATGTGCCCAGCAGCAACCGCCGTACCAGTAGAGCAAACGGCATGAATGATCCGACGGACGAGCATAGAGAGTTCGACTCGATCATGGAAAGTGAAGGATTCAGTATGGTCTCACTAGACACTCTTCCATCAGTCAAACAACATGGCATCGGCGGTGATACCAATCAAAAAGTCGCCAAAAATGCTCTCAGACCTTTCCTCAAGCGAGAATCCAATGGCGTCCTCAGGCAAAAAACATCGATCATTCCCGAAAGTCATGGTGGCAACAGTTCCATACCCCATGCAGAACATGAAACGAGTCTCGCGGAACAGGTAACAGAGTACCCTCGCATGCGCTCTGCCGAATTTGATATTTCAGTGCACCGCGCATCAGCCGATAGAGCTGCTTCGACAAGAAGCATGCGCTCTTCCCCTGCCATCTCGACATTACCTCCAGTTCGACCTGAACGAAGGCCCTTACTTCGACTCATCCGCATTGTGCGAGCGGGTATCGCCCTACAGGGTCCTCTCACAGAATCAGACGAGCCGCAAACCTCGCGGGACTTTGACTCCGCGTTAAGCGCCAAACGACAACGTTTACAGCATCTTTTCCAAGATTTGGACCCTCGTTCCCAGCAAGAACTGCAGGCAGGCTTGGCCTTTGGACACCAACTTGCGAAGCGAAGACAAGTGGATGTAGAACGACATCAACAGTCGGTAGCCGCAGATGCCAAGGCAACTGGGAGAGCTATATCCCGAAGCAGAGAGGCGAGTAATTCTATGTCACCTCAGCACTTGCCGAGTGGGGCAGACTTCTATGATACTCCTGGCTCCGTTATGCGGCGACGGATGGATGAGTGGCAGCGCGAGAGAGAAGCCATCAGTCGGGAAATTCAAATGGCGAATTCTAGTCAAGTCATTGTGATCGACAGCGACAGGGATGATCAGTCGGATATCGCAGCCGACAACGAGGGTCACTGGAATGAAGTGGAAAATCTTGACAGTGAGTCCGAAGCCGCACCAAACCAGGATGCCTACGTGGAGACAGAGCAAGCGAGCGAGGCAGATGACGACGAGGGCTACGAAGACATTTGGCAGCAGGAGGCAATGGAGCAAGGCCACCAATCAGATCGCTTGTCTGTCTCTGACAATGATGACAATGACCTGCATCCTAGACAGGGTGAGTCTAGCCCATGGAAAACCGGCTGGACCCCCGCGCGAAGTCAGATGGGTCAACAATACTCTCCGGCTCATTGGACAAAGGAGCACGAAAAGGTGCCATTCCTGGGTCGTTCACGAGTTAAGCAACTACAGGAAGAAGAAGTTGACCTGACAAACTTGTACCGCGGGGATCCTAGCCCGAAGCGTCGCCGCTATTACTATGGGGAAAGTAGTCCTGCGAGCGTTGCGATTCAATCACCCTCAGAAGGTAGCTCACCATCGAACCAAGCATTCGAGAGGCAAGACTCTCACGAACATGCGTCCGACGATGATCGGCTGTCCGAACAAATGATAGAGTTGGGCTCTCACAGTGACCTGGAAGACGAAACGTTTCAGATCGATCCCACTACTAGATTAGAATTGGCCAGACAGCATGGCGAGCCAGAGAATTTGAGAGACGACGTCGAAAATATTGCCGATGCCGCTGTAGCCGAAGAACAATTTGTTCCAGCTGCGACTGACAACACTCCCGATCCTGCACGACAAGCCAGTCCGGAGAATCAAGCATCATCCTGGTTCCAGAAGATTACTAGCCTGACACCTGGATGGCTCAAAGCGCCCAAGTCTCTCAAGCCACTTTCCCCAAGGGAAGAGAGCTCAGTCGTCTACGACGATGAAGAAGTAGCCACGGCAAACCCAACACATGTTCATGGGGTGGCCGGCTCGGATCGCTTGGAGGGTAACTCCTTATCATCGTCTCACTTGGCGAGGCCAAATGATGAGCAACAACGCTCCCTTGGCCGCGAATCCTATGAATCGGATGAGGATGCGGGGGACCCTTTCTACGAGGAAGTAAGGCAGACGAGGCGCAAGCGACAAACCTCCCGTTTCTCCGGACACTTCTCCAACGATCACTACCGGTCATTGCATAACCTATATCGCCTGGCCCAAAAACACCCTGAACGTTTCCCTTATTACCCGACTTCTGGCCGCACGGAGATCATTGGAGATTGGATTTGGACTTCAGACGGGGTTTACGGAGTCCCAGTAACGGAGGTCCAGTTTGCAGTCATTGACAGGTTCGCTCAGCAGGTCTCTCGAGATGACATCAAGGCCGGCGGTACAGGGCAGATCACTTGGACGGAGGCCGAGTTGCATAGAAGATTGATCAGCATCATTATTGGCGAACAGGTCAGAAAGGAACGGCGAGCGATGCGCTACAGGGATCATCCGGGGACAGGCAACCTTCGAGGCAGGGACACAGTTAATGAGACGTGGCGCAGATGAAGGTCCAGAGCTGCAGGTCGCTTGATCACTGACGTGCAAAAGCCGACGTACTGATTTCACGAAACTCAGACTCAGTCTCTGCTGGCACTTAAGCTAGCATACGCTGCGATGACTTCTATTCTTGTTGCATTCTATCGGGTCGTTACGGAGTGGCAAAGCGGTGGTCGGTAACTTTTTAGGTTCTCATTGGGTTGGCAGGTTTACTTTTTCGTCGTTGATTTCTTTTTGTGCTGGTTTCTTGTATAGCACGTACTCTGTACATGTACTATCCCCCCCCCTTGGTTGTTTGGGTTTCAAGTTGGGCTTTTACAATTGGTCGTGGACGAGTCAGCTGCCAAAGACGCCTTGCTTCTTGTTCATATTCTGGATTGAATTACTGTGACATCATTGGTGTATAGGTTTTAACTTTCGCATCCTGGCGAGTCCACCGGTGTGGATTGGGGACATTGTTCTGTTTGTCGACTTGCCTTGTGAATGCCGTGTACAGGGAGAACATAAGTCCAAGTATGTGTACATTTGACAAGATCATTCTGCAGAACGTGCTTCTGGCAAGCCGATTGTTTGCCTTGCAACTACAAGTACATACCTTCCTTCTTTCTTCTGAGCAGTTCCATGCTGTTCCCTGATGGAGTCAGTGTGTGTGCGACCCAAGACCCGTCCATCTGCCACGTTTCCTTGCTCCCCGAGCTGCAGTCATTGAAGTGACACAAGGACTCGTAGGGTCGATGACTTGCCTGTCCAGTCTCGCTTTCTTTCTGACGAACCCTTCCCCCTTATTGGATGCAGTTATTGTATTTTTGACTGCGCTTCTGCAGGCAAAAGGACGGGTGCCAGCCAAGCACAAAGAGACGAGACACACGAGTTCTAGCCCCCCATTACCGCCCCCCATTTTGCAACCCTTCTCAAGGCCTGAAATGGGGAACTGTGCGTGTGTCTCTTATGGCGCCTAACCGAGAAAAAGAATTGCGGGTCTTCCCTCTTCGATTATGTCGAAAGGTTGCAGATAATGATGACCGTTGAATCGAGTAATCATGGACTGGGTGAGCAGCCCGCGGTGGGATTCAGTTCTGATATATAAGAAAGGCATATCCATACGAGGTACAGGGGGAAGGAATCGGGATTCATATCTTGGTGCAGACACAGTACAGAACAGAAAGTCGCACGCGACATCACACACAGGACACGAGGTCTGGTCTTTGCAGGGTCCCAGAAGATACCTCAGGCTCTTTTCTCATTTCTTCTCTTCCATCTCAGGCCTCTTGACCCTTGACAGGGCCAATTAAACAGTTCACAACCGTGGCCCAACAAACGAGACGCAAAGGAGACGCACGAACCCAGGAAAGGAACGCCATTTACATCCACTTTTCTTCTCTGCTTCTTTTTTTTCTTCTGCTCTTTTTAACCCTTTCTCTCATCGTCGTCGTCGTCGACTGCCCTTATATACCCAACAAGATGGGAGTCAGCAACCCAGTCAAGTACGTCCTGGGCCTGTCTCTTTTCACCAAGCGCCCGGACCAGCGGTCCCAGACGGCGGTCTGGAAGGGAAAGGCAATCGAACATCATGGCCCTGCTCCACCCCTCGAGGTCCGCTGGGGCGGTGCCGTGCAGTGTCCAGATGACGATGATTTCGTCGCGGCTGCAGCAGTGCACATGGCGGTGAGCGAATCCGACGGGAGCAGATGCAGCGGAAGCAGTAGCCGGAGCAGTAGCGACAGCAGCGGCAGCGGTGGCAGCAGCAGGCGTCCCTTTGGGGTGGTGCGCGTCGTGAGCTGGGCCAGTTTGGTCGGGGAGCGATGTCGGTGGACGATGAGGCAGGAACGAGAGTTGGCGATTGCCGAGCTTGAGTTGGCTCGGTGTCAAAAGGCGTGGAGTTCAGAGCAGGAGTTATGGCTTGATCAGGTGAGCCCTTTCTTTTTTCATGCTTTTTTTTTTATTTTTTATTTTCCCCCCCCCATCTCGTTCCTGGATCTCGCTGCTGCATTGTTAGTTCAGTGTGAGAAGTTGTGTGTTTGGGGAATCAGTCACGGGGCTTTCTCTTACTTTGCTCGCTTCCCCGTTCTATACCGAGCCAAGCGCTGGAAAAACAAAATGGCTGTGCTTCTTGTACCTGCAGAACGCTAATCAATCATCGCCATCAATCTCCAGATCAAGGCCCTACACGAGGAAAAAGAGGCTCACGAAGAGTTCCTCCATCATCGTGCCAAGCAGCAGGATGAGGAACAGCAGCATTTTCGCAAATCGTGGAATCGCCGGCGGTCCCATGAGGAACCCTCACATCCTCAGCCTCACCCCCACCCCTCACACCCACCGCAACGAAACTCTTCTACCCACCGCGCGAATAGCAAATTGCGACGCGGGATCCGGCGCATGGGGTCATAGGTTTTCAAGCTGAATGATGAGGACTGGGAGGAGGGGGAAAAAAGGAGGTGAGTTCTGTCGCAGCTTGAGGGTGCGAGAACATGAAACGATGGAATCATTTCTGACAGGTCCCGGGCTTCATTAGGCTGGAACTTTCTCATAGCGGAGAAATATTGAACAGCATGGCTTGACTGGTTTTCCAGGCATGTGATGAACGATTTCTACAGAATTGCGATCAGCCCTGCACGACCGACGTCTCTCTCTTTCCTGGGTTGAAAGAAGGGGCGTGGGTGGGGAGGTCGGGGTTTGACCTTCAATGCGTGTTTTGACTAGCTTGGGGATCATTGATCTATCTGTTCCTTCGCTCTTTTCTTTATTCTTATCTTTTTCTTTTCTTATCTTCTTTCTTTCTGGTCTCATTTGCATTGCCTGGATGGTTGATCTGCCAGGCCATACTGCACATACTTACGACTGTATTCTTGACCAGCCTCCAGTGGATGAAGGATTATCAGACTAATGATCGTCTGATACTATTGTCTGTCTGTGACAGGAAGTGGGGAAAGTGGGGGAGGCAAAAGCACTGACGAAATTTTCATTTGTACCTCAAGCTGTTTATGCCACCATGTAGTCCGTAGTCTGCGGTGACGGCGAATTACTGGATCGGTACAGTGTCCTGTTTGCAGTTTCCACAGGGAACTCTAGGTACTATGATACCTAGTAACTTGACACTGTGTCTAGAAGGGAAAGCTTCTCACTTGACTCAAAGGTTAGATATAAAAGAACCCAAACTTCTCTTTCCCGCACCTTTCTTCCCTGCTTCTCAAACCTGTTCTTTTCTTTCCGGACTGTGATGAAAATCTGCTGGGATACACAGAGAATGTACCACCGAGTTGCAAACCTCCGGGAGGAACATCCTGCCGGTAGTCTGAGCCCACGAACATGATAGGTTGTATACACTCCAGATTGACCTTGAACTTACCGATTGCATGATCATGGGCGCATAACCTGGACAGCGAGCCATGATAGACTGGTATCCGAAGGAAAGACATGCATGAGAGAGCGCGAAGAGACCGATAACTAGTCGGAAGACTTGCTTGAGTGATGAGAGAAGACAGTACGGGAAGGCGAGAGGAGGGCAAGGAGGAAAATGGTACTTTTTATTATTCGCGCTGGAATCGATACTTCTTTCCTTGATCACAGTCCTTAGTTCGAGGTGGGAGGTGGAAGGTGCGTTGAATAGGTTCAAGCAGAAGAAGCTACATAGCAGTCATTATTGGAAAGAAGTAACCATGAAGACTTGGTTCGTCAGTAAGTAGCTTCTAGAACTTAGGCAACTACGAGAAGGCATGGATGCACTGTAAGCACAATATACAGGTTGATGCAGATCTAATCTTACACGGCTCGACTAAGAGTGGCTTTCTCTAATGATGTCTTCTTTAGGAACAATTCAGGTACTGAGTTCCTGGGTCCTGTCCCGGGGTACGCCTGGAAGTCATACGAATAGAGGTAGGCGTATAGCGTTAAAGCCACCGGAGACCACCGATAACCATCAAGTAATGTACATGTACAGTACCTTTTTTTTTTGCTTATTTCGCTCAGGGGGCGCAGGAACGATCATGTTGCACCGCATTGTCGGGGGCCCGATCGATCTCTCTTCTCTGAGCATACCCGCCCGAGGTTTTAATGTTTTCTTTATGCGAGCGAAGCAAAAAACAAAAAGCAGAGAAACGCGTAGCTTCCGCCGACATTGCATGATGTATGTGGATGTCGAATTATGGCGTAGTAGAGCCCAAGGTCGGTTTATCTTAGATGGCTGTGGACACGGAGTCTGTTATTATGGCCAAGATTCGACTAGATGTCTCTTTAGACCTCATGCAGAAGGCCCAATGTGCTCTAAGACAGCATCAAAGGTACTTCTGTAACCTCATACCTCGCTCGAGTCTCAACCATGACGGTGACGACTCGCCCCGGAACCAGAGAGTGGCGCTGCCCCGGCCCACCGGCGATGCCCAACCGCGATCTGAGACAAGGAAACATACACTTTGGTGAAGATGGAGCTTCGCTCTGCATTCCGAAGGCCTAGTTGCCCATCCAGTAACCTAGTGCAAACTGGTAGCGGGATTTCGAACGGAGGGGACTTTTGTAGGACTGATACTCAATACTAAGTTACCCTAGAGATAATTGGGAATACCTTCCCACCTCTTTCTTACTCTAGACCTTGTCATCGCGCAAGGACCACACGTCCCACTTCATCTATCAGACTGAGACGGGGTGTTGTGCAGTAGTGGTTTGATGTTATACGATTTTTGGCGGTGGTGTCGAGAGCACCTCCTGCCGACGTTTTAATGTCAACCGTAGGACCCATGTCCCAAAGAACAAGTAAAGCCCACCCCGGGGCAGCTAACTAGATACCTAACGCATTTCGAGTCTATGATCGCTGGGGGTGTGCAAGGCTTATCAAGGCTGGTTCTGACAAATGAGCGCATTTGCATGAATAAACTCGGCTGTCAGAGGGTCGAACTGATAAGACGTGCATCGCTGATACTGACGAATAGGGCTGTCCTGATAGGAAAATCTCCCCTGGGAAGGTTAGTGTATGTTACTGAATTCGATAGAGAGGGGATCTTTTGGTTTCTTTTCTTTTTCCTCTTCTTATTCTTTTGGGGGGTTTAGTTTTTCTATCTTGTTGAAGTCAATTGCTGGTTGACTGCGATGGAGGATTATGGCGTTCCTTCAACTCTGGTGGTCGCCCTAAGTTGGCGGGCCTGAAGAGCTTACAGGATGAATAGACTAGCGTCTACCACGCTTCTGCCACATCCTCGCATTAAGTACTCTGAGACTTAGTAGCTGGGTATTCTACCGTACTATCTGCTGGACTTTTTTTGTAGAGACCCATTGAATCCTTTGCGCCACGCCACGTTTCTTGTTCCGGCTTAGATTTGCCTAGTGATCGATGGACGCGCAACCCTTGCTGGTCTTGTTTTCGAGGCGGTTGTGTAGTGTGAAGGATGCAAGAAGGGTGATGGCTCATAATGATATTGTGACTGATCGAATTGATCTGTAAGATTGTGTCAACTTGTAGGAAGTGGCAAAGATGCAACTCGTAGTCAAAGCTGTAACTAAACAAGTGAAAGGGACAGATGGCCGTGTTGGGACTAGCGCCGCTGGCATGTTGATTCTCGACGGTCTTGCTTGCTTGCTTGGAGTCTCCGGCTTTTGCTTCTTCATTGCTATCAAGTGAGTTTTCTCCGACTCTTTCCTTATCGGCCTCGCTGTTCGGAGATACGGACTATACGAGTAAGCCCATCCGAGAAGAAAGGAACATTAGCCATGCTGATATCCACGCGGACGAGCAAGGTCACTTCGCCATACTGGCCCGGTTCGTGACTTGACTCGCTGCTAAACTCTACGGTTGTATACATACTTCTCGCAGCCTCGCATCCTTTCCACTCAGTCACGGAGACAACGGCCTGGGTTCTCTCTGCCAGTCCAAGTATGAACCGTTGCCACGCTGCCGTGGTGATCCCTGCCAACTCGCGGCCTCGAGCTCTACTGCGGCCCTGCAATTACTGGGGAAGGTCCCCTAGTGCCTTGGCCAGGCATCATGGTTGTGCACTAAGAGACTGCTTGTTCCTTTTGCTCGGGTGGTCATGGCGGCTTGAACTTGGAGCATAGACCAACCACCCCAGTGCCACCCACACGGGCAGTATCGGCACCATATTCAAAGCGAGGCCCGGTTCGATGCCCCGTAAAACTGGAGTGATAGATGAGTGCGACCCCTCTGGACTCCTCTTTCGTCTTTCCTTGTCCTATGACCATTATGACTATTGATTGAACCCTCCCAATAATGGCGTGGAGAGTCCCCCTTGCTGTCTGATAAGCCTCGTGTCCACCAGTAGATTACCCCTCCGTCCTCCGCCGACTATATCCCCCGATATCTTAGCCTATTATGTTTGATGTTGATTGGCGTTCTGTGTTTTCTGTCGCAGGTTATTCTTGGTACTATTTCTCGAATTTTTGGGCTTTGGTGCACGCCTCTCTTATTAGCTCTTTCCCATACTTTGCTTCTCTCCCATTGATCTTCGATTTCCTGGTTTGTTCATTGCTCGAACACCTTCATGGCAGTCACTTGCTGATATCTCATAGAGACATGTCTGTCCTGCATAGATGCGGCCGGTATTAGCATCTTCGTCACTCTCCCCCTTTCTCATTTCCTCCCAGTAATTATATTAGATGTCCGCCCCCGCCTGTGGGGAAGCCTCCTCCCTCGATGACCCGGATCGCCATGAGTCCGAAATGTCGGCTCCCGTCACGTCACTTTGGTGGCCAGAGGATCGGGTAAAGACCACCCTCTTGCCTGAATATGTCTTCGGCCAGCTTCCTTCGGAAGTGTTACACCGGCTGGTCGCTCCGCTGCCCTGGGGGGAGGGTCTAACAAGCGAATCCTACTTGGACTGGATCATCGCCAAGGCGGGCAGGCTCTTTCTCATACTTGTCGACATCGGCATCCCCGATCGGATTTTTGCACTGATAGATGAGTCTCTGGATGACTCGGATCTGCCCTTCTCTGCACCTAGTGTCAAGCGCCTGCCTCTTTCTGCGGAGAGCCCGAATCCTGACCTCGATCACAAGTTCTTTCTGGCTCAATGGCGGTTCATCGTCCGTGGAATCACTGCGGGCGATCATGTCAAGTACACTCCCAATGAGGGCGTTCCGGTGGAGCTGCTCCGCACCGGGACTTCGTTGGTAAGAGAAGGGGTTGAGAAAGTGGTTCTTGCCGGTGCGCCGTGTCGTGTACTCTTGCGAACGCAAGTTACTGTCGGCGGCGCACCTCACTTTTTTGAGGAAGACGAAGTATTAGAGGAAATCCGCTCGTTGAGGAGATTGGCCCATGACCACGTTTATTCAATCTATGCTTCCTACTTCGTGGATAACACGGTCTGCATTTTGTTCTCCGGAGTATACGAACGCACCTTGATGTCCTTTCTCACCGACGTGCCTCAACCCTTCAAACGTCTTCCGAAGAACAAACGACGGGAGATATTGGTCAATTGGCCGCACTGTTTGGCCAATGGATTGTCTTGGCTGCATGCGCATAGTCATGCGCACAGTGTCATCCGTCCGTCGAACATCTTGGTCGACGCTGACTTCCGGGTTTATCTAGGCCAATTTGAAGCACTCGACACCCTGCTTTCGCCGGCCAAGCTAGATGACATCGAGTCGTATCAGTATGGCGCACCGGAGCGCTGGGTGCGCTCTGTCAGTGTACAGGATACCAATGTGTCGCGACCTACAATTAGTCTTCCGTCTGGGGGCCGGTCAGCACGGAAGCAGTCTGCTTCATCCTCCACACGCCCGTCTTTCCTTAATCTATCTAGACTCCGAAACTGTCTCCCGTCGGATCGCGCGACAGAAAGCCCACGTGCAGAATCGGTCACTTCGCAGGGGACTGCTATACGCATCGGCCTGCGAGGATCGTCCTCTCGAGTCTCGTTCACCCAATCATCCTCTTCCGGGTCCAGTACTGGGAGTGTTCGCAAGCGCGCTATCGGCTCCATCAAACGACCCATGTTTTATACACCCTCCATCACCTCCTCTCACTCATCAGGATCCTCTTCCGCGGCCTCTGCCATTTACCACCCAATCGGCTATCCCATCATTGGCACCAACGCTGCCATCGTCCAGACCTGGCAGACACGCCAAACGGACCCAGAAGCCTCCGATATCTTCTCCCTCGGAGCCGTGATGTTAGACATATTCACTTTTCTGTGCAAGCGCAAGCTCTCCGCCTTCGCCCACCATCGCGGAGCCAAGAATAGAACAGCGGGCCGCGGGGGCGGCGTCGCCGATTGCTCCTTTCACCTGGACCGAAACGCCGGCCAGGTCTGCTCATGGATCACGCTCCTGGACAACGACGCCAAGAAACACAAAGACTCCATTTTCCAGGCCGTCCGGCCGATGCTGGATGTCATCCGGGTCATGCTCAGCAGAGATCCTGTGGACCGGCCCTCCGCGTTCCAGGTCGAACAGGTGTTCGCGCGCGCACTCCAGAAGCTAGACCACGCCGCCCCGCTGCACTGCACGTCCAAACTGCAACATCCCGCTCCACGACCGAAGAACGCCCTGCGCATTGGCCCCAACAAGAACGCAGACGCAGCTTCGCATAACCTGATTGTCCCGCGCGCAGGACCAACAGCAGCACCCCGACCCCCTTCCTCGCTGGTCAGCTCGTCGCCAAGCACGGAATACATCACTAGTAACCCCGGAGGGCCCGTAAGCCCGATGAGCTACCACCCCTCCACTGCAGCCTCTGCATCCAGCTCCAGCCTCCCCGATTGCTATCTAACAGATAGCTATGTTACCGGCGGCAGCGACACCGATCCGGAGCAGGACCGGTACATGAATCCCTGGCTAGACCCGGACTATGTGTCCGAACCGACCATGCATCATGATCCGTTCTGGAACTATAGCATTGCACTAGGGAAACACTGACCTATCCCCTTGGAATCCCATCTATGCTCCTCGCGCATTTCGCAAGTCTAATACTGTCAGCCCTTCCGTCATTGAGCGCCAGGCAACCGGCTCTACCTCTCCAGACCCCTACCGCTTCCATACCCTTCGCATTCTTTCATAAACACGGAGTAATATTTACCTAGATATCAATCGATACACCATGCACATCTATCCCCCTGTACCTCACGCGAGCACATCCTCTCGTCCCTCATCTCCCCGTCCTCCTCCACGTCGTGGTATATCCTCCTCCTCCTCCTCCTCTGGACATAAAGCAAGCGCATCGCTTTGGCGTAATGAGCGACGTGCACGCGTGAATGCTAGCGGTGTCGTCGACGCGATGCTCATCCTGTAATTAGCTATAGCTATAATCATTGTACTGTATCTAGTCTTAAGCTTGACCACCATTGATTCCGTGAGAGATTCTGATGTGGGGAAAGGCTATTGGTATGACTGTCGTTCATCGCTGAGATCCGATCAAAGTCATTCGTAGTAGCTAGATAAAAGGAACCTCTAGTATTCAGATATAAGGAACGCAAGGAACCAGAGGTAGAATACACTTCAGGGTTAACCGGTAACCGTATCGCTCGTATACTGCAAACTTATGAAAAGGGAAAGGAAAATAGCAAGTATCCAGAGGAGCTAGGGGACCGCGAATGTGAAGACTCCGAACCCAACCAACGGTAAAAAAACATCTGGCAAGGTGGTACGTAACAAGTCATCCAGAAGATACGATTCATCAAGAACTTCCATCATAGCCACAGCGCCAGACCGCCTACCACTGTGCAGAGAGCGAGGGATACCTCGATGGCACGGTTGAGGCCGCCCTCGCGCAAGATCGCGAAGGAGCCTGCTCCGTTGCTGAGCTCGTAGGCCGGGAGGACGGTCTGCGATGCGGACGCGGACATGGCGTCTAAGGGGTCGACTTCCTTTTGCCTGGGGGTGTCGTCTGCGTTCTTCGAGTCGCTCACCGCGCCTGTCGGGGCCGCGTGGTGGGAGGAGGAGGACGACGAGGCCTGGCCCAGGGTTGGTAGGGGAGCGCTGGGATCGACGGCCCATCCGCCGGCGGTGGAGGCGGGACACTCGGGCGGCTGGATGGTGGATGTGGAGGCGGCGTAGTCGGACAGCGCGACGCCGGTGGGGTTCAAGGTCGCCCATTGCGCTTTGAGGTTGTCGAAGTCGGGCGCGACGGGCGTGGGCTCACCCTGGCGGACGAAGCCATCCTGCACGAGGGGCCCGTTAGTAGTGGCGGCGGCGGGAGCGTCCGCGGCGGCCGCCGGAGGAGGCCCGTAGTTGATTAGCCCGTAGTCGTTGGTCTCCTCGATCCACTCGTAAATCATCGAGCCCGACCAGGTGTCCGCCATTTCGGGGCCGAAGATGGCGGCCTGGTCGCCAAAGGTCCGCGGGCGCGCGACATTGCAGCCGGTTTCTGAGAAGAAGATTGGCACGGGGTACCCCTCTGCTTGCTTCTGGAGGGTCTCGTAGCCGGATTGGGTAAAGGTCGACTCCCCACACCATTCGTAGGCGTTCAGCGCGAAAAAGTCGAGTCGCTCCACCGGGTCAGACCGACAGGCCAGGTAGTTCTGCAGCATGGGACGCAGCTCTGCGATATCGGCTGCAGAGTAACCCACCGGGATGTTGCGGTATTCCTTTTCGTCGCGGTAGGATTTCATGTCGCGAACCGCGGCTAGGACGTACGGTGCGGCGGCAGAGCCGTCCTTGGTGGTGAGGACTTCATTGCCAATGAAGAATCCAGCGGTGTTGTTGTATTGTTGGAACTCGTCCAGGACGGCTGTGAATCGATCATATTGTGTTCGGTCCCAGTGGGGTTCGACCTACTCGGTGCAGTTAGCATCCAGCCTACATGGTGGTCATGTGATATAACATGAACAAAGCAGGTAACGCACCTGAGAGATCGCCGTGTCGAAAGTGTCCAGATCCACAAAGAGATAGATGCCTGCATCTTCAAAGGCCTTCATGCAGCCGTCGTGGTCGGCTTTAGGGTCCACATGATAGACGCGGATGGCGTTGGTGCCCAACTCAGCCATGCGGGCCGCATCTCGCGTGCATTGAGCGGTGTCAATCAAGGGATCGTCGGGAACGAGCTGATAGGCGATTCCTGGCGCCAAGGACAGTTGCGTTAGTAAGGGGATCGGTGCGGTGGTATTGGCGGACTGTGTTCCTGTACCTTTTATATAGTATTGTCTGCCATCTTCGTAGAAGAATTTCGAGCCAACGGCCGAGATGGTCTGACTGGCGTGTGCAGCGCGAGGCCCCAATGCTGCGAGCATCAGAGAGAGCGTCGCCAGCGACGACGGTGAGCAGCGTGCCTTCATTCTGGTTTATCCGAGCTACTGTGCGTCGGCTTGTTGAGCTGAGGCGCTTCGACGTCGACGTGTAGCGGGTTTCGTGCAGAATAGCTGATTTCGGACAAATAGATCAGGATAAAGAAGGTATACCTGTCTCAAAGACCACTCCGAGAGTTAACGATTTCTTGCTTTTGAATGCGAAAGTGTTGACTAGCTACCAGGCTAGTTCGTTTCGCTGAAGCGACAGCTGCAGGATTTCGATAGACAATTGAGCCAATTCTCCGCAAGTACAGCACTGAGAACAAATGAATTGACGGGCGCCGTGACATCCATCTTTCAGGATAGAGACAGGGTCTTTAATATGAGATTGCATGCTTCTCAATGGACTCAGGACGCGGTACGCGACACTATGAGTTTGAGATATCTCCCAGCCATACCATGGCACCGTGAGTTCCTGGATGGAAACATGCTTGACAATGGTGTTCAAAATAACCTAATGTCAGAGAGTATTCGTGCACGCCTCCTTGAAGCAATTGTGGTCGGTGGAAGACTGGAATGCAGCGGGATGGTAGGCAGGGGCGGGAGTTGTCAAATGCTTGAGTTTCAAGCCGCCATATTAGCAACAATGGATGTATGCAGGGTTCGCGTCGCAGCCGCATGAACAATGCTTCGAGGGGATTGACTATGTACCAAAAACATTATCTCTGGAGAGTATGGAGGGGGGAGATGAACAAGAGGTGCAATGGGCACCGCGTTGTATTCTCGCTTCCTAGTTGGGCAAATCGGGAAGCCTGGCCAGGGACCATGGATCTAAAGCCTATTTACTCAGGCACCAAGAGCACCAACCACAGCCCGGCCTCCTCCGAGGATCCCTCGGAAAAGCCCGGAATGACAGGGCAGAATCAGGTGAGCTTAGTCATCCACTAGTCTCAGACATCCCCGCCAATCGTTTCGCTTCGATGTCTCAATTTTCCCCCCACTGAATCCCACTGTGATAATTAAAGCACAATCTACATGCTTCCCAAGTCGATATTCGATACCACCCCATCCCCCATCTCTCCCCGAATAGGAGCAGGGGTAGCAACCCGAGTCGACCAAAAAAAGCACACCTTGGGATTTTTTCGATTTGCCTCCTCGAATGTCTTGGATCTTGAATCCGCACCTTGAGACGATGTGCTGGCTGTGACGCCATTACTGGCTGATTCTCGTGATGGCAGCGAAATAGTGCCCAACTATCCCCCCAACTATCCTGACTATCCCGACTAGTTGGTGGGCAGCCCAGCATCCCCCGAGCCAGTTGGCGGCACTCGACTGGAATTGCCCCCCCTTTTTATGGACCGAGTTATTCGGAGTCAAGGCCTGCCTGGGCAGCACGAGGGGCCACTGGGTCTAGCCAACGATCGAGACCCTGGCCGATCCATGGCCAGATAATGAGGATCCCCTCGCGGGTGAGGTCCGTTCCCTCTCACTGTCTCTTTCGCTCCCTCTACCGGACATCGTGGAGGACCAGAAAGGGTGCCAAAAATCCGCGGAAAAAGAATACAGTGACTATCAGAGGTGACAATGGTTGCACGCACCCAGGCTGCAGACCGGAGTCAGAATATTGGACGGTCGCAGGGGTGGATAAGTGAAAGTTGTTGGGGTCTCGAAATTGATCGTCGGCGGCTTGCGTGGATGACGGGGCCTCGCCTGACTTGGGCTTCCTTCCCGCATGCGATGGGAATCGCTCGTCACCGTTTCATTTCCTCCTTTTCCCTTTTCATCTAACTCGGACCCTCCCCCTCTCCCCTCTTTTGTCTTTGGTCCTCATTGTCAATCGAGCTTATTATAATAATAATTTCCTCAATCGCATTGCTTTTATTCCCCCTCTCCTCCCCGGATTTTTCTCGTCATCGTTGTTGTCTTGAATTACTTATCATCCTCATACCTCCCCTCTAGAAACACTCTGTCTACCGTGAACCGTGAACAATCCAGTAATTCTTTTTTTGGATCATGCTATCCGTGGTTCCTACCTGCCTCAACATTGCCATCCCAGGAAAGCTTCTCTGCCTGCTATTACCTTAATTGATTGGCCGGAGATTAGTTGTGTGCGCACACTACTCTACTATTGCACGTCACCTCAATTCTTCTATCAGGCGCTCCATAGATTGCCTGTAACCGAATTACTTTTTTAAAACAAACCGTCGCCTCCACAGATAGTCGACCGGCGACTCAAGTCAGCACAATGTCGACTGGCAATACTGTGTCGCCCTTTCGCATCTCACACCAGGATCGCGACCACCTGGATCGCAATGAGGCTTTTCGCATGATGCGAGAGCATCTCAGGCGACAGGAAATGGGCATGAAGGCCCCCAGGTATGTGGCTTCAAGAGACTGGTAGAGATGGTCACCCGGCACTAACTGAGTTTGGTTGCAGCTTTTGCGCCTGCCACCGCAACACCTGTACTGTCCAGGAACAAGAAACATTCCGCCTGCACCGCGACATCATCCATACACTACTCCTTCCACTATCCCTTCTGCACCACGAAGCCTCGCGCATCGCCGCCGATGTTCTCCCGAGTCGCAAAGGAGCGGAAGCCGACCGCGTCTTCCGGGGTGAGGCACGGAGTGCCTATGCCTGGTTACATTCGATCCTGACCGAGGAGCACGATTGGTACTTGACGGAGCGATGCCCGGCGTGTATCGTTCTTCATGTGATGAATTCCGAGCCCACCATCCGCTTTATCGCCGTGGCGTGTCTCCTGTCGGACCACTTGCAAGGCACGAAGAGACGGTTGCCGAACTTTGATTTCTGGCTCCGGGCGCTGGAGGCGGCCGTCCGGGAAGATCCCTTCTGGGGCGATGATTTCTGGCCGGACATCGAGTACCGGGCTCGTGCGTTGACCGACGGTGTCAAGGAGCTGGTGCTGCAGTGTCTGGAGCTGCAGGCGGCGTTGGATCGGCAGGACCTGCCGCCGTCGATGTCGTACCATGCTAACGCGCACTTCCGGTGTGACTCGTCCCGGCCGGCTGTGGTGGTCAAATCGGCCAGCTGCACGCCGGTCACGATCACCATGGGGGACGATCAGAAGCTGCTGGCCAAGGTCGCCGCCAGTCGTGGCACGCCGTCGCGTCGGACCGATCGGCCGCAACGTTTCCACACTCGCCGCCACGCGGATGCTCGCAGAAGATCCGTGACGTCTTGAGGGTTTACCTTGGTTTGTGTGATGATTTTTAGTTCCGGATTACGTATTCATCATTTACGAACGATCCCGACGCTGTGAGAGAGGGTAGCCTGACTTCGGATCACTCTGCCAACAGGCCCTGATCCAGGATTGACATGTCATCCCTACACGAGACATGATCAACATGCATTACAGGACCTCTGAGCTGAAACATAGCCTGGAAGTGGGTGCGACGATGGAAAGCGATACGTCGCTCTTTTCCTCATGACATGTCGCGGGGTTACAACTCGCACAGAGTCAATCTGCTGCGTCTGAACGCAAGGAATTAATCCCTATGTTCACCCGTTCTGCAAGGTCGTCATGATACGCCTGGCAGGTTGATGGCTGTAAGCCACAAGCCACGTACGCAAGGAGGCCATCCGCGGAGATGCACTGTGCAGCAGGTGTCCGTCAACCAGCAGAAGAGCAAGGGGCGGTTCGGTCACCGTTGCAACGAGGCTGCAGCAGCCACACAGCCTGATGCAGACCTAGAGCGCGGTGAAAGAGACGAAAGTTGAATGACTGGCGAGAATTTTATAGCCTGCTGAGACGAGTTAACTCTGGAGACGTTGCACATGCACTGTCACTCAGCTTACTCTGTTGTTAATTCTGAGATCGAGATCAATCATAACAAGTCAGTTTCCATGAACAGCCACCTGTGTAGACGTTCATCTTCGTACTGAGCCATAGTCCGGCACGGTCATGTAAGCGACGCCGTCCACCGGTTCATCCAGAGTAGCACGCCTCCTATTACTCTACTCCGGCCATCTGACTGACGCTACGCGACGCACCAGTGACGATTACTTCCATAACTGCATGCTCTAAGCTCCGAATCTCATTCGCAGACTGATCTTTTCTCCTCGTGGCAATATATGGCACCGTGAGATCGAGGCATCTACTCAGGTATATACTACTCTGCACTAATACTCCATTGCAACACTCGCAGACAGTCAACCAACCCCTCCGTCAACGATAGACGACATCTATTACCCGGGCTCTCGATTTCCAAGAAACAGGCCAAAGAATTCTGGATTGAAATAGAGTGCGCCACAGATATATATATCACCGATCAGCCAGCATCAACAAACCCGGTCAGGGTGACTGTCAGGTCTTATAAATCGGTATAGCAAAGCACAACGACACTCATACCGTGAGACAAACCCTCAGCTTCTTTCGTTGCAGGTCGTCACGGCCCTGGATCTGAGCTAGTACTACTTACTACCCTGTGGGTTGGTTCGGTTCGATAGTGTTTACGCTAGGTGGTGATGTTGCTGCTGCTACACTGCTGTCAGCTATGTATTACTGATCTTGAGGTATCTCTCAGAGATCTACGCCCCGGGCTAGGCTGGCTGGGGTTCATTTGTACAGCTAGCTAACTAGCTATCTTCCTTGCGAGTCGGAGGGGATAAGTCTATAATCTACAATCTGACCGTACCGAATGGACGGAGACTCAACCGCTTGGTGGATGCGAACAGGGCTGGCTTTTTACCTCTCGGATAAGCTACTCCGTCTCAACGTTAGGCGATGTACTCGAGGGTTTTGTTGTGTATCGAGAAGTGCCAGGCGGCGATATGTGTTGTGGTCGGGCTGGGCTGCTTTGCCTGGATCAGATCTGGCATGATTGATGCCCGCCCGGGCGGATGTGGTGGACACTGGATTGAGTTGGATCTCGTGTGGAGTGGAGATGGGCTAGTAGGAGGGGGACTGGGCGTCTATGTGGGCTGTGCCTACTTTGGGGGTGTATACGAGCGTTTCCCTTCTCCTTGCTGAGGCATACTTCTGGGTTGTGAGGGATACTAAGATTGTACAGCAGTGGTTATGGTGGTGGCTTTGTTGCTTTCGTGTGGTCGTTGGTTATATAATCAGTTGTTTATATTAGACTCGGTTGTATACACCTGGTCAGTTTGATTATATTTGTATGAGCAGGCCTGGATCTAGAGGAATGAGGATATTATCCAGGTACAAGGACCATCATTGCCAAGTGTTTACAAGATATACCTCTACTCATACTCCAATACTTCACTAGATATGCACGTCTATAAAAACTGTCTGGATATACTGTATCCCCATCCAACACTATAATAGAATCCTCCCCAAAAAGAACCAAGTTACGACCAACCCAAATACCAGGCCAAAAAAATACCAAGCTCAAAGACAAGCCATACTCCTTCTCACTCCTTCCACATTGATAACAACCCAAGATTAAGGAACCTTCATTGCAAACCCAACCCACAAGCATACACATCAACCAACCCCGGCCCCTCCCAGGAATACTGCACAGACTACTACTACCCCCCAGACTACTTACTGCACCCCGACTTACCTACCTACATATACTCACAGTATATACAAAAACCCACCTAACCAACACCCCTCATCAATCCTCTAAAATTGATGAGGGCTAATCTCTACACACTATACATATAGTCTACCTTAATTAATCCGATAACAATCCAACTCATTTAACCCAACCCCCAGAGAACCCTGGGCACTTGCAGACCTCTAAACCTGCCCAAACCAGCCCGGGCGGTGGCGTAAACCAACACGCAAGGCAAGAAACCCGAGACGCCCGCCGGGCAAAACTGAGGAGTGAGTACGTACCACTTTTCAATTCCGCAACAACCACAGCTGTTAGACCTCGTATGAGTGGTCTAAGTTGGACGGGATGGAAATTGAATTGGATTGGATTGTTGATTGAGGAGCGGGGGCCCGTTTTTAATTTATGTTTCCGTACATTTACGGAGGACTGAGATTAGATTGCGTGGTTTGATGGCTGGCTTTTATGGATTGAAGAATGCGATTTGATGAGGGGAGTTGTTGGTCTAATATGTGGGAGTAGGAAGGAGAGTAATCTACTTGGATTTGGATCTGGATCTGGATGTGGTTTGTGGGGTTGTTGTGTTGAATTTATTGATTGATTGATTGATTGGTTTCTTTTCTGTTAATTGATTGATTGGTTGATTGATTGGTTGATTGATTGATTGTAGATGGGGTGGATTTAGGGGTTGGGTTGCGTGTTGTTGATATTGTTGATTGTGATTTGATTGCGGAGTTTATGGGCAAGAGGGTAGACTGAGTGGGATGATGCTATGTTTTACAGAACCGGTCGCATCAGGTGGGAAATATGTACTGTACATAGAAAGTAGAATGTTGGATCTTGTCGTGGTAGTCTGGATTCTTCCGAATAAACTGGACGGTTCTATGCATTGAACCTACCATCAAGAACACTTAATGCACTGTATGTATGCAGATAGATAGTATCCCATGACAGTAGCACGAACATTCATAGCCATCATACTACAGCAATACTATAGACAACCCAGACCATGATCAACACACAATAAACCACCGACCAAAATCTAGACCCTTGTCGAACCGAAGAAACAGGATTTCGCAGGATCTACAGTCCAAATCTACATTCAATCTAAGTACTGTATAAGCCGGTCGAATTCTGATGTCCTCACTCTTTAAGTCTGAAGCAAGTCTCCCGAGACAATCGACAGAAAATCAGGTGACAAGTCAGTCCCAATCTCCCAGACCATGGGTGGTGGGGGAGGGGGGGGGGGGGGAAACGGAGGGGTGGCTTATGGGCAAGTCATGGCTTAGCCTTTCGAAATGTGTCCGTAGTGGCTTGGACTGGGACATGACTCCAAGGGACAGACAACATAGGTAGACCCATTTTTCATTATCCCTACCGTTACAGACAGATGTCAAAACCATCCACCATCATCCCGCGGAGTTTTCCCTGTGTTGACAACTTGACCCAAAGCACGGGACCCAACAGGCCAGGCCGACAGGACAGCCACTGACGTCGATACCGGCATTTTAGATGGAACCAGAGCGCGGGCGGATGGAGCCGATTCAGAAAAGAATGGCCAGAACTGAAGGTTGCGCCTGTCTGTCAACAGTAGCAGCAGCAGTTCGACGCTCTTTCTTGGGAGGGAAGAAGGGGGGGAGGCTTCGATTCTCAGTATTGAAAGTGAATTTATCGAATGAAAAGGGGTATCACGCCCAGTAGACCGGTAAGTAAGTAAGTAGGTTCATGAGTGTGGTGGACCAGACAGAAAAAGCCACGGGCACATCTGGATTTCAGCCTCAGGCTCGGCGGGTGTCAGCCCTGATCTACAGTACAGTACACACAGTCGGTCAATGGATTGGGTGGGTGGTTATGGTTATGATTATAGTTATGGTTATGGTTATGGTTGGAGGATCTCAGACACTACGGTACAAGAAATCGTCACGGCTAGGTCGGCAAGTTAAATAGATTAGGGAGAACAGGGAAGTGCTGTGGTTAAGAAAGGTCAAGAAGTTCCTTTTTAGGTTGCCTTCAGTCTTCAAGGTTTATGAAAGGGAAGAGGAAGGGCGCCGCCGGGGCGGGATACACCCTTCACCACTGCATGAGAAAGTAAATTGTTCATGCTTGGTGACTGTATCTCTTCGCAATCAACGTACGAGTAAATAACTTCCAGATCATCTCATAGGCTAAGCCACAGCACAGTCATACCCCCAGACACAGCTGGCTGGCCAGCTAGCCGGCCCGAAAAGCACAACACCAACGATGACAACGACACAAGCCCAACCCAAGTACTCAGTAAAAGCAAATCGAACCTTAAATCCTCAGAAGTAAAAAAAAGTAAAGGGGAACAAAAAAGACCAGTTATAGTACTACTACTACTACCACCACCACCAAACCACCCCCCCGATCCACGCATCCACGCATCCTGATCACATTAGGCGGATCTTTTCGGCAGCACGGAACAAGGGTCTAGGCGTCAATCCGCCCGGATGCGGCAGTGGATTCGATCGCGCCATGCAGGTGCGCCTTTCTGCGGTGTTCCCCCAGAACCCAATCAAAAAGACGAATAGAGCGACACTGGAACCAGGGTGAGGAGGGGGGACGGACAGGGAAGTTCGACGACGTCAAGATCGGGGAAAGCATAGATGGGAAATGAAGTTTAGAGATGATTCATGGAAAGTAGTCGTTGACTGGTCGATGCGATCGGGGGGATTGGGCCAGCGGACTGGGTCTGGGGAAAGCAGTTGAGTGGGAGAGGAATCTTTTTCCTCTGGGTTTAGTGTTTACTGTTCTGTACTTACTTCGAGCTACATTTTCATATTGTATCGATCATCAATTGAGTTCCATCGGAGCTGAGAGGACAGGGATGAAGCTTTTCCATCGTCTACGTAGTCGTACACCTACCGAGAAAAAAGAAAACCTCCGAACAACATTATGTATGAACTTTGTGCAAAAGGCCGGCGATGATCGAGCCCGAGCCATTTCACCACTAGGCCCCTTCAATCTATTTATACATGCTCTCCACAATTGTTGTGCACAGATTTTTCAGCCGAGAGCCCCATCTTTCATCTGTGCAGGGACTATCTTCCGGGGCGCGGCCTGGGATGCTTTTTTTCGCCTGTCTGTCGGTGTGACGAGGTGTTTGCTGTTAGTTAGGTGGGAAGATCAATATCAATTTAATCTGGGGTGGTTTTTTTCCAATTACCCCTTGTCGCCGAGAAAAAAAAAAGGGAGAGAGACGGGTTGAGGCGAGCTGTTTCGCATCTGATTCAGAGGGTGTCTCGACCCGGAGATCCGATCAATGGCTCGCACTCGCGAGACCAGGCAAACAAGCCTCCCGATCAGACTGCGCAGGACGATCGTCGAAAGGTATGCTGATCCGGGTAATACGAGATTGTTCTAGGGCGAGTGCGGGCAATAGGGCGCGACTCGCAAGAGAGAAAAGAAGCCCAGACCATCACTTGTCACTGCCACGGACACACCTTGACGGGGGGGCCTGGTAGGCTGGCAGGCAGGTCGGCAGCCCTGCCATGGATGTAGAAATGGGGACGCACTGCTCGGAGATCGATAATGCCGCATTCGACATAAAAAGTAGTACCAGCAACGCAACGGCTGACTTCGGGGAGGAAAACGAGGAAAGGGTAGAGGGAGCCTGAGGAGGGGGTATACTGACCAGGTCATCCGCAGGTCGTGTGTGCTTCCCCCCGTTACCACTTACCAAGTTAACCACCCACAAAGAATAAAGCCGGGTAAAGGCGACCGTCGAAGGGGACAGACTCCAGGGTCCGTGGAGTCATGACTGGAGTGAGTCCAGTGTGTCCAGTTCTAGGCGGTGGGTCTTTGAGTAATGGAAAGAGGAGGAGGGGGCAAAAAAAAGCCAAAAGAGAAAATTTAGAAAAAAAAAAAGAAAAAGAAAAGAAAAACCAAGGACGGGCGGAGGAGGGCGGATGGAAGGGAAAGAAGCAGAGGCAGAAGGCAGGCTCAAGTAGTGGGTGGTGGCCACGACAAGAGGAAGGTCCGTGTAATGCCGATTACGGTAAGATATCGCCTGGCTTTGCCCATCTTAGCTCCGATCAGCCACTACTGTATGGAAAGGTGGACGGTCTAGATGAGTCGGCGCAGCGTCTGGACTAATCTGGGAGAGAGAGAGAGAGAGAGAGGGATGTTACCGGACAGTTACAGGCATTACAGTAGAGATGGTCAGTAGAGGAAGACAAGTGGGAAGAGAAACAGATAATTATATAGATCTATAAACTAGAGCAGAAATGAGGGATCATTCAAACTAATTAATTCCCCAACATAACTAACATGTAGATAGTCAATTCCATTCCCTCCGCTCTTCTCTCTCAGGGCGTGTCTGCAGGTGTATTAAACGGGTAGTAAGTCGAAAGAGCCCGCTTGGAGAGCGGGCGGCCTCGTGTCAGGGAATTCCCCAATCAGGCAGGGCGCACGGCGGTCTAGAACACGGGTGGAAAGTCGCAGCCCGAGGAGACTGGACTCAGTCGAAAGTTGGTCCTTTCGGGCTGTCAACTGAAGATGGTGAAGGAGGGAGTGAGGGTGCGCAGTCACTCTTCAGAGAAAGTTGGCCAGTTCTGGCCCTTTGGCTCATTTCCCTTTTTCTTCCATTTTCTTCTTGACCCTTTTTCCTAACCAACCTTTCTTTCTCCCCCCCCCAAGAAACCTTTTCCTTCTTCGACTGAAGTAACTGACTATCGTGGTTCTCCAGTTTCTAGTTTCTAGTCTCTACTTTCTAGAATCTAGTGTCCAAGTTCCTGGTCTCGACAGCAGTCTAGTCGCGTCCATTTGGTTTGAGTTGGGTCTTTGCTTGCTCGCCCTTCAATTTCGCCCTTTCCCCACTGTATCATCATCGACCATCATCAATCAACCACAATCCACCCGCATTTCCACTCTTCCACTAAACTACTATTAACACCACTACCACCACCACCACCACCACCACTCCAACTCTCTTTTCTCTTCCTCTCCTCCCTCCTCCTCTCGCTCCTCTTCCTCCCTTCTTCCTCTTCCCCCCTCTCTCTTCGTCCCCTCATCTATACTTGCCTCCTATACTCCTACCACCCAAATATCCCGACCGTCCCGCCTAGTCTCGTCCTCCTCCGCTCACTCTAACCGGTTTCCTGTCTCAACCACCACCACCACCACTACTTCTTCCACCACCTCGTTGCCTCTATATGTGCGATCGGTGATTCGACCAAATTCTCCGTGAAATATTCCAATACAATACGATCCCCTCAACTCCCTCTCATTCACCTCGGTCTTATCTTCCGCCTCTTCCTCCCGTTGCTCTCACGGCCCGGTTCTCTCATTGGGTCCGCCTGCATCTCGCTCGCGCTGCTTCCTCTGTGCCAGCAGCGCCTTCAACCGCAGACTGAATGAATCCGCCGTTGTGCCATGGACAGTTTCGGCCTGCCTTGGAGGTGCGAAACAGCTCGGTCATGCGTTCTCCGTACTCAGCAGCCTCTAGCTCCTCAACTTCTCCATCATCGTCAGAAGTGTCGGGCGAACCTAGCTCGCCTATAATAAGAGCCGTGTCGCCATTCGACTCGCACGACCCCCTTCGCCTCAGCCCGATCTCTCCTGTCAAGCCATACCACCACTCTCCTCGAAGATCTCCTGCATCCTTCCCCCCCGACACCGGCTCGAGTCGGCTCAAGCGTCGAGCCTCGCAAGGGTCCCTTATCACCAAGCCCTCTCCAGTCTCCCGTTTCCTCTCGCGCAGCAACGCTTCTCTCCATCTCCCATCATTTGAAGAACTAGGTCTCTCGTCGAAGGCCTCTCGCCCAGACTCGCATTCCACTTCTCCGCAATCCCGTCTCCGTCTTTCCACTGGTCCGACTGCCGCAGGTTCGCTGGCGACTCGAGCATCGCAGTCTTCCTCGACGACTGGGTGGGATTCGTCCGCCAAAAGTGACTACCTCTCCGCTCTTCCACCTACTCCCCCGGATGACAACGACCATATTGCGTGGAACCCCACTGCCGAGATGTTGCTGTTCGAATCGCATGTGACCCGAGATCATGGGCCCATGGTCATGGACGAGGGCCCCAATATCGGCAATTCCCCAGCGCGGACTGACGGCCTTAGTAGCCCCTCCGACCAGCTGTCCAACGTGTCGCCGTCGAGCTCCGGTGGCAGCCCAGGTTCATCAGGCGAGATGGATTGTGACCACAGCTCGTGGCTAGAGAACAGCATCGAAGCCACAGGTAAGTCCCGGGTAGGCCATTCAGGTTCGCGAGCGAAGCTAATCGATGCATCGCGAGTAGTCTCATCGCTTGCGCTTTCAAACTCTCGTGGCGAAGCCGTCAAGATCGTCTCGCAGATGCTTCCCTACCCTCGTCCAGGCGACAAGGCCGCGACGATATCCTCCAACGACAGTGTCTATTGTTCGTTAGTACAAGCGGTCCAAAATCGACTTCGCCATGGACAGTCGCCCTACATCAACATTACTCACGCGGTCCCCGAACAATTCAGCCTCTGCAACCTACCGTCCTCTCCCCCGCATAGTCCTCGCCCTCTCTTTCCCAACAACGACTACTTCAACCCGACCGTCTTCTCCAGCGCCGCTGTCGTGTCGGCCTATCACGATTTCCGCGGTCCCATCCAAACCAGAGCCTCGCACTCGCCTATGCCGGTCGTGCCGCCCCATACCGTCCACCTCTCGATCCTGGAGCGCTATCTTCCTCCCTCGTCGGCCCAGGAATACAAGGATCTCTTCTCGCCATATCGCCCGTCGTTCTTGGTTGACCGACTGTCCGAGCTGTCTCCTGATGGGGGCTCCCTACTCTTTGTTTACCCTACTCGCAGGGGCGGATCGACCTTCAAGTCTCAGTATTTGGGGCCTATCCTGGACCCCTTGCTTCGCCAACTCGTGGTCGTGAATGAGCTCTCCACGGATATCGGCCGTTATCTGGGCAAGCTCTCTTCCGTTTCGCACATGGATGACTTCGACACGATGCGAGAAAATATTTCCCAGCTCTGTGGCTCTTTGAGCTCTTCCTCTTCCCAATTTCACATCGTGGACGCTCGTAAAGGCAGCGCCCACCTTGATCGGGAACTTTGGACCGAATGGTTCATTCACCAGGAGAAAGCTCGCATGAAAGAGGTGCTGAGCGTGTATTGGCAGAACGGCCGGCGCCTCCCAGCGACCAAGGCTGTTTCCAATGTGTCTTCCACGAACTACATTTTGGAAGACAAGGAGGTGACGTCGGCCATGCTCTTGGGTGAGATCTTGGATGGAATCCGACGACGGCCCTACGGCGAGGATTCTGACCCTCACGACGGTGTCGAGTTGGGCGTTTTCGTCATCCGCCGATCGCACTCTTAAACGGGCTCGGCCGGAGTGGAGCGAGCTGCAGCGGGCATTGCCCCTTGCGTCTCTGCCTCGTTTCACCTCCTTGATTCTTGTCTCAATCTCTTGTCATTTCTTTCTTTCTTTCTTTCTTTCTTTCTTTCTCTGCTTTGCTTCATGGTTGGATATATGGTCGTACAATAAAAGGGGGATCTATTTGATCCGGTGGCGTCTTGAGGAGTTGGATGGACCTTGGGGGTCAATTTACATGTTTGGGATGTCTGTCTAGGCAGCATTGGTTGTTTGCATTGTTTATCCGTTGGAACAGAATACCCGGGATATCTTGTGTTATGGAAGCGTGATGACCACTTGCTTTGTGGCGACGATGTTGATGAATATTATTACCATTAGCTTAGATGATGGATCGCAGGATCCCAATTATCAAAACAAACAGGATGCGTTCATCCCGAAAGACTCTGCGCAATTGAATAAATTTTACTGAGTACATGATCAATTGTATCACCAGACTACAATATCCTATCATGTAGAGTCAAGGATGAGATGCAGTGGGCAAGCATGAGTTAGCGGTGTTCTTCTTTTTCTTAATTATGCATCAGTCGTCAATGACAGGATGTTAAAAGAACAATGGATGTTCAATAGAGTCCACCTCAATCAATCAAAGAAAGTCCAACTGGTCCCCTTAAGCCGGGCGGTGAGAAATGTCCCCGACACTAGCCTGCATCAGGCCAACGGCCGGCTGCCCGCCTTCTGCTTCTCCGTCACTGTCCAGTCCATCCATCCATCCATCCACTCCACACACATCCAACTTTGCTCTCGTTCGCTTGGTCTTCCTCTCCAACTGCCAATTTCTCTCTTCACCTGGATGTGTACGCTTATCGGGATTGGGACCTGTACTGCTCTTTGATAGCAGCAGTCCTCCACAATCTTCCGCTTATACCGTGCTCCCCCCCCCCCCCCCCCATACAAAACGGCAACGTGAAAGAAAGATTGCTTTCGCACTTTGCCAGCCCTCCCTCTCTCTTCTACCCTTTTGACCACCCAGCGACCGCTCCCAGATTATGGCTTATTCGCCTGCTCCTCCATCCCCGGTTAATGGTAGTAGCAATCCCATCATGTCTAATAATATACACTCCCGAGGACGCTCGACGAGTCCCCCGACCAGCGTGCCGCTGTCGAAACGGGACAAGCGACGCAGCGCGCTTCAGGAGCGCCTCCAAGACCTCACAGCTTCCTTCAGCCAAAATCGGGACACTCAGTTCCGGCAACAATTGCATGCCCTCCAATGTGACATGACCCTCATCAACAATGCGGATCCCTACGATCCGGGCCCGCTGCCCGACAATCCGGACGAAATCGCACAGTTGATTGAGAGTACCGTCGGCGGAGGAAAATTCGCCAAGGAGATGGCCAGTCTGGCCGGGATGTGGTATGCGCGATTCGTGCAGGAGATAAACCAGGCCAAGACTGAGAGAGACTCGGATTTGACAATGTTGGCGGTAAGTCTGGGTTCTCTTTTTACTTCGAGCATATCCCCTGTCGGGAGGGATTTTTTTTTTCTGCCCGTGCTAATGAACTTTCTTCCCTAGCATCGTCATACCAACAACCTTGAGCGGTTTCGGCGAGAGTATGCGTTCCGCGTTCACTTTGCTGAAGAAGAATACAAGCACCTTGCGAACACCCTCCGAGAACGTCTCGTCCAGACCATCACCGGCAAACGGGCTCGTCTGATGCGGGAGAAGGAGCAGTTGGATTTGGCCGACACCAACGCTCTGCTCCTGCACCCTAACCAATTCAGTATCACCAATCCTGCCAGCCCCGGCGGCATCCACGGGAATCGCAAGACGCGGCATACTCGCCATCGCGCCGAACCTGAATTCAACGACGGAGCCATAGCCGAATCCTACAACCGGCGGAAGAGAAAGGCGCCCGAAGAAGATGTCGGCTCTCCTGTGCGAGATTCGGGCTTGTCATCACACCCGGCCGAACGTGCTAAAGCTCAGATGGTGCAGCAGCAGACGGCGCCCGCGTACGCGATCCAGAATCTCTTCACGGAGAAGGAGCTCAGTGCGCACGCCAACCACGCCCACGTGGCGACCGTGCATTTTTTCTCGACCTCCAAGCGTGCGGACCAGCCGTCGGGGGCGGCGACCAACGGCAACAATACCGACGCAGACGAGGGCTCCGGCGTCGACGGCACGGGTGCGGAAGACAACGGTACCCCGGCCACTGATATGGCGCGGACGGCCAGCCAGAACTTCCACGCTACGCGCTCGACTCGGGGCCACGGCAACCACGCCCTGAACGCGCTGGCCGAGCTGTCCGACAAGCCCGCAGTGCGACCCAACCTTCCGTACAACATCCTGGCCAACTACCACGCGCGTCCAAGCAATAACGGCGCTCCCCCCTTACCGCCGCTGATGAACGAGGAAGTCGACGATGACTGGGCCCGCATGGACCGGCTACACAATAAGCCGGCCGGCTTCGTTGACCGAGGCCTAGCACAACTGCTTGTCGAGAGCATTCCTGCCGAGGTGGACGGCGTCCCTCCGAATCCCAACCGATTCAACATGTTGCACCCGGACTTCCCGCCGGACATGGGAATGCATCTGTACCCTCTTACAAAGGACACGGGCGATGGGCCATACAGTAATGAACGGGCCAAGAAGAGCAGAACCTAGAGCACCTTCACCATCTGTCATTTTTTAGCTTCCCATTCTTGGAAGATGCTCGTTTGATGCATGACAACCCGCACATATGTCTCATTCTCTTCGATCTATTATACCTTCTTGGCCCCGGCCCTTCTCATAAATCGTGGTTGAACCTATCTATGCATTGAATACCGCCAACATTGCATCGCACGAATCTTCAAAAGACGATTGAAATCCCAGCCAACTACGACGATGACCATTATCTACTACCACACCAAATTCCGCCAGAGTACCTTTTTACAGTCCTTTTTACAACAACTACTACTACCACTTACACAGAACACACGGGAATACATACAAACAGCGGGAGTAAAAATCGATAACTCTGATTCTTCTTTTTCTTCGTGCTCTATGTTTCAGAGCTTGAAATCTTTTTTTTCTGTCTTGAAGGGCGTTTGGGCGGCGAAACTGGGGAGAATTTGTTTTGATTGATTGATTGCTTGTTTATTTATTGATCCTTTGATTTTTGCTTCAAGCTTTACTGTTACATTATCCTCCCAGGAAAGCCATTGGATTGGGGATTCTGACCTTGCTTGTTTATTTGGCTGTCTGTCTGTCTGGCATACTTGAATCGATTTGAACAGAGCTGAACAGAACAGGAAGCGGAAGAGAAACCCGGCTCGGTAGTTTAATTTATCTTCCATACCCTACCTACATACCTACCTACTCACCTATCCACCTTCCTAGCTAGAGAGAGAGAAAAAAAGAGATGAAGAAGATCCCAATGCGATGACAAGACATGACAATGTTATGTTATCCTCATTTTCAATTTAATATTGATTTCGCATGCGATGTATATCGTGTTTAAGAATATGGTGATGGATATGGCTATGGGCATTGGTCACGGTAGTGATATAGTCGGCAGAGGATTATCTCCCCCGTCCCGGCTCCTCAAACCCGTTAACACCTCCTATACTACCTTGTCTGATTTGAGACCATTCGATGTGATAATCTGAGGAACCTGGAGGACTATGCATGCTTTATCCCCTCTATCACTCCAGTTGCTATCGCTGTTGCATTTCTTGGACAAGATAAGATAAGACTCTGTTTACTTACATGGGGTTGTTCTTTCGGAAATGGGTGGGATATACGTACGTCTCTCACCCTTAATATAATCTCTAGCTAGCTAGGATGTATGAGAATAGAAGAGAAGAGGAGATGATATAGTCAGTTAGGTTGTACGGTTTACGCCCAGGATGGATCTACGTCTCTAACCCTCGATGCAATCATTGGATTTGAATGGATGGGGTTCGAGGAATGAGAGGGTAATTAATACAGTCAATTTTGTAAGGTCATTTCAATTACCTGTTCTTCATCCATATCAATCAATATTAGTTGAAAGAAAGAAAGAAATAACAGAGAAAATGGGAAGATGGAAGATGAAAATAATGACCGAAGTAAAAACACAAAGGAAAGGAAAGGAAAAGTAGATTCGCTGGTGGATAAATCTGGGTCCAGCTCGCCTATCTAGTAAACACAAGTAGATCATCATTAACTACGAATTAAAGCAAAACAACTAGACTAGCTAGGCTAGGCTAGGCGTATGAGTGTAGCGATCATGGCAGCTACCCACCACGTCCATGAGGGGACCCCGACGGTCACACCGCTGTTGGACCACAGGGGCGTGTAGCTCGGCGACGGGGTCGGGCTGCGGCTTGGGGTGCCGGAGTGGGAGAGCCAGGCGGCGGAGGAGGGGTACCAGGGGTTCGGCAGGCGGGTGGTCGATGGTCCTGGCACGACGAGCCCGATGCTTGTCTGCGAGCTGGCAGTGGCGGTGGTGAAGACGACTTGCGGCACGGTCACGGTCCAGGTGGAGTAGGTGATTGTGGTGCAGGGGACGGAGGGGCCGGCGGGGCCGCTGCTGGAGATCAGAGCACTGCTGTTGCCGCCGGTGACGGGGGCCACGCCGCTGGGGATCGGGGTTGGGCCGAGGGTGATGCTGGAGGGGATGTTGGTGACGATGCCTGGGTTCTGGGGCACGTAGGCCGCGCAGATACCGGTGAAGCAGGAGAGGGCGGATTGGACTTCGGCCGCCGAGGAGCTCCATGCTTGGATGCACTCGATCACCTTCTTGGTGAGTTTCTCCGAGGGGCAGTAGCAGCTCGTGTCGCTGTTGGAAGTGCACTTGGGGACCAGTTCGAGCCACGTGTTGATGCACTTGGGGACTACACTGGGACACGAGGCAGACGGCGCGGGCGAAGGCACCCCTGTGACAGGGGCAACGCCTGTTGGAACGACGACCGTCCTTGCGATGGTTGAAGTCGCGACCATCGTGATCGTGGATACGGTGCTGGAGACAGAGGTGACGGGCTGTCCGGCGGATGTGATCACCGTCGTCACAGGGCAGGTGGTCACAGTCTCCCATGTCACAACGGTGGTTGCGCTCTCAACCGACGTGATAGGAGCGACGGCGGTTGGCGTGGCCGAACATTTGGGGCAGATAGTTGAGACGGAGGTAAGAACCACTGTTGAGACGGTGCTGGTGACAGAAGTGACAGGAATACCACTCGAAGTGATGACCGTGGTCACTGGGCAAGTAGTCAATGTCTCCCAAGTGACGACGGTCGTCGTGCTCTCGAGCTCGGACGAGACAGGGGAGACTCCTGTAGGCCCAGGAGGAGCGCCCGATGAGACGAACGAAGTCACCGTGGGAGCAGCGACAGTTGTGCTCTCGGATTCAGAAGAAACAGGCAAGACTCCCGTGGGACCAGAAGGAGCACCGGGCGAAGTGATTACGGTCACAGTGGGAACACCGGCTGTTGGCCCGGATGGGGAACCAGGAACAACAGTTGTCGAAGCCGAAGGGACACCCGGGACAACCGTGGTCGGAGCAGACGGAACGCTAATCACAACAGATGTTGCAATGGTGGAAACTGAGGTCAGAGTCATCGTCGACACCGTACTTGTGACGGACGTGACAGGAATGCCGCCCGAGGTAATGACTGTAGTAACCGGGCATGTGGTCAAAGTCTCCCAAGTGACTACCGTTGTCGTGCTCTCTAATGCAGACGAGATGGGTGAAACATCGGATGGGACTGGCGTGGGAGCAATGCATCGAGTGCAAACGGTTGAAGTCGACGTAATGAACACAGTCGACTCAGTCGAGCCCACTGACGTAGATACAGTGCCACCTGCCGAGACAGTAGTGGTCACAGGGCTGGTGGATACCGATGTTATCGTGACGACGGTAGTGCTATCCACGCTCGAAACAGGGGACGAAACAGGGCCTGATGTGACGGGAGCGACACCGGAGGGAACTCTTGTAGGGGCAATGCACTTGGTGCAGATGGTTGACACCGAGGTGATGGTCACGGTTGACTCCGTAGAACCCACTGAGGTAGATACAGTTCCACCCGCTGAGATAGTTGTGGTCACGGGGCTAGTAGACACCGAGGTGACGGTGACGACCGTTGTCTTGTCCACACTCGTAGTGGGCGATGCAACGGGCCCTGATGTGATGGGGGCGACATCGGAGGGAACTGTCGTAACAATACACTTGGTGCAGATAGTCGACACCGAGGTGAGTGTGACAGTTGAGACAGTAGTCCCTACCGAGGTGCTCACGGACCCTCCTTCTGAGACAGTGGATGTTACGGGACAGGTAGTGACAGTGACATAAGTAATCGCGGTGGTCTTGTCCACGCTAGTGACAGGAATGGGGCCTGAGGGAGCAGGACCTGTAGGGGCAGGGCCCGAGGAGATCGGACCAGAAGAGATGGGCGCCACGCTCGAGGGGATTGTTGTCGCTACGCACCTCGTACAGATAGTGGAAGTTGAAGTAAGGGTGACGGTTGATACGGTAGTTCCCACCGAG